TTGGAGCCTTACGTATGTAAATAATGTAAAACAAAATTACAAAAAAAAACCGAAAAACATCCAGTCTAGACCCATCCTAGGATAGAACAAATATAGCGTAAAACATCATTTACGTCAAAGAAAAAATGTGTGGTCAGTAGAAAATAGGAACACAAGCGTAAAGAATGGTAGAGGAGGATTCGTGCTTATATATATTATATAGAATGTGAACCATAAATAGTTAAATAAATGTCAAAATTTGGGAAACACATATTGGTAAGGTTTCATAATTGTCATTGTGAAAGAGAATTATTCAAACCAAGAGACAGACAAGATTGTTCTGTCTGTGTAAGGTTAAATTATAGTTATTGTTATTACAATGTACTAACACTGGGTCAATACCTCTGCTAGTGGGCTTTTTAGTCTCCTAGGGTATCACCAGCCCAGTAGCTAGTTCTTCAGTACTGGCATGAAGATATTGTGTTATTTAAATTTACTATTACAAAATTTTGGAAAGCATATTAAATTAAGGAATATATCACCACCCTCATGCAAAACTCTGATCCATTGCCCGGCTTTTTGCTTTACTGTTTGTTCATTTTTGTTTTATCAGGTCTTCAATGTTTTGATAATTTTTGATTTTCAAACATTTTAGCCACGAGCATCACTGAAGAGACATTTATTGTCGAAATGCGCATCTGGTGCAGTAAACTTAGTACTGTTAATCGATTTATGACTATTGAACAGCGGTATACTACTGTTGCCTTTATTTAATGCTTTTATTTCTCTACAGTAAAAATGAATTATAAACAGAACAAAAAACTAAAACGTCAGAGTAAAAGTTAATAGGTGGTGCCGGATTTTTCCATATCATACTATGTTGGACACAATTTATAAAGTTGGGATACTATATAAACGAATGATACCAACTTCTGAATAACTATCATCAGGAAGACTTGAAACCAAAGAAAAATTCCAGAGAATCAGAACCTATAAGGGCTTACAGAGAATTGACAAAATTCATAACATTGCCAGTTTGGAACACTATTGGTGCTCAAAGGAGTTATGAATTTCAGAAACAAATGAAAGTATCGTCAAGAAGAAAAAACCCAAATATTATAATGAATAAGTTTGAGCTAAATTTTTAGTTTATATTTTGTTGCAATGACACATCTCATTACATTTCTTCTTATATTTACTAAAAATATAAAGTTCGATACACAAGATGACGATGATAGATGGCCGCTTAACGTCCAACTGCAAATCAATATGCATATAAGGACGAGAACATGTTAATGTAATATGAATATTTACCCTGTACTAGACCGACACGCTGCGCCGGATTTTTAACGTGCTAGCTCACAAGTTAACAGTCCGCAGGATGACATGTCACCTTGCCCGGACACATTATTCTGACTCCAAGCCGACCAGTCTTTGCTCTTACTCCTTAAAACCACGTGCTTAGCGGAGAAGCAGCAAATACCAATTTTAAAATATTTGTTTGACCCAGCCGTGGTTTGAACCCACGACCTCCCGCACTCGAGGCGAACAAGCTACTACAAGACCACCGAGGCGGTTTTAATACACAAGAAAGATATGCGTTCACTTCGGTTTCTCGTCATAGAGAATAATACTTATAGATAAGTGTCACTATAAGCATCTGAATTCATATTACAGTGAAACCTGTCTAAACCGAACCTCTTCGGGACTTAAGTTTTTGTTCGGTTTTGGAAGATGTTCGCTTTAATCAGGTTCACAACGCATTAAGATTGATATGACTGGACTTAAGAACATGTTTGGTTCAGACAGGTTTTCGGTTTAAGCAAGATTCGGTTTAAACAGATTTCACTGTTACATTGCCTATATTTAATAGATTTGATAATAGACATGCAGCATGTTAAAATCTTAATATGCATTCTCTGAAATGGAGTTAGTTGAAAATTAATTATCCAGACACAGGCCTACCATCAACAACTAATTGATTAAACACTACCAACGATCTGCCATCAACAACTAATTGATTAAACACTACCAACGATATGTCATCAGCAAGTAATTGATTAAACACTACCAACGATCTTCCTTTAGCAAGTAATTGACAAACAACTTTCCATTATCTCAACTTTTATCTTAGTTAGTTAAAAACAAAGGTAAAGGCAAAAGTAACTAATAAAAACTAGTTAAGAAAAAGCATTTCGGAATACTGATATATCAGATATAAAAAAAGTACAATGGTTTTAAAGTATATTAGTCATTTCGAAAAATGCTCTAGGAAACATTGCTATGTAAACTCCATACCAAGGCAGAAAATTATAGAAATGTGTTTTGTTATTTTACTGATCGATTAACGGAGGAACACATTCGGTACTCCGCAATAGGATAAACGAACTTTCCATCATAGCATTTCCATTCAGATTATGATCGTACACGAACATGTTTACAAGTTGGTTTAGTGCAACTAAAAATTCTTGCCTGCAAATTTATACAACAGGATGTCCACTAAACTATCATAAACAGTTTGAGAAATGCACGAATTATGTACAAAATATCGACAGGATGTAGAACCATCAGTGTTCATAACTGTATAGAAACACACATTTAGTTAGGTTCTAAATTATCAAAAACAAAATTATAACTGCTAATACCGATAAAGAAAATCATATTCAAAGATCATACAATAGTGTTTGATCTGGTAATAAATTATATCATCAAAATATAGGTATTCTGATTAGGACAAATTGTACCGACTTGGTTATTAAATTATTGCTGTGAATCTTAATTTCTAGCTGCACGTAATATGGAAACATCATTTGATAAAAGAGAGGCGGAAGATACCAAAGGGACATTCAAACTCATAAGTCGAAAATAAACTGACAACGCCATGGCTAAAAAAGAAAAAAAAAGAGATAAACAGCAGTAGACAAAACACAACATAGAAAACCGAAGACTGAGCAACACTGAGCAACACGAACTCCATCAAAAGATGCTCCGGAAAGGAAGCAGATCCTGCTTGATAACTATCACAAATAATATGTTTAATCACATAACATATTGACTCTGAAACAATCCCGAAATGAAATTTATTCACCAGCACTTACTCATATCTTGTCAGAAAAATGTAAAATAACAAAAATAAACGAACTCCAAGGAAAATTCAAAACGGAAAGTCCTTTAGCAAATTGCAAATTCAAAAGCTCAAACACATCAAACGAATGGAAAACAACTGTCATTTTCCTGACTTGGAACACGCATTTCCTTAAGTAGAAAATGGTGGATTAAACCTGGTTTGATAGCTAGCTAAACCTCTTACTTGTATGACAGTCATATAGAATTCCATTATATTGTCAACTGTAAAATTTTTAGGAACGGATTATCTTTTTTACCGTGAGAATCACAAAAGTTTCCATACCTGTATTTAATAAACGAGGCTATATATTTTTGTATTCATATAGTTCTACCATCAATGGTGATATTCTGTTGATATTTTATCCTTTTTTACAAAACAAAATCATTGCACTAAAACATTCAAATGACGAGATGTTATGTTTAATTGTATCTCGAACAATGAAAATACCATTTGTAAACTAGAAATTGAAATGGCTGTATGCAATATATACTATGCAAAAAAGAAACTCATAACGGATTTATTAAAGCAACGTTCTGGTATATTGAGCTAAAATTGCTAAGGAACTGATTGCCCCCGAATACAAAAAAACATTTGAACAACAATATGATTCCACATGACACTATCACATTTCCATGTTTAGTGAACCGCGAAATACAGGTCAAAACCATAATTTGGTATACATTGTTAAAAGTTTATTTCATAATGTGTACATAGTTTTAAGTTGATATGACCACACTTTCTTCAACCAAAACGTTATTCTAATAACCTCCCTTTAACCAAAATGAGACGGACGGATGAATGTACAGTCAGACGGAGGAATGGACGGACGAACGGATGAAAAGACGGACAGACGCACAGACCGAAAAACATAATGACCTTTCGTTTTAGGCGGACCATACTAAATTGGACAAAAACAAGCAAAGACCTGTCATCAAAACCATGTATATATGTTTAACCCCGCCGCATTTTTGCCCCTGTCCCAAGTCAGGAGCCTCTAGCCTTTGTTAGTCTTGTATTATTTTTAATTTTAGTTTCTTGTGTACAATTTGGAGTTTAGTATGACGTTCATTATCACTGAACTAGTATATATATTTGTTTAGGGGCCAGCTGAAGGACGCCTCCGGGTGCGGGAATTTCTCGCTGCATTAAAGACCTGTTGATGACCTTCTGCTGTTGTCTGTTCTATGGTCGGGTTGTTGTCTCTTTGACACATTCCCCATTTCCATTCTCAATTTTATATATATCCATATATAGCAAAAACAACCATTCAGATAACATAAGACAACCAATGACTTAGGACATGCACATGAAACGGAAGCGGGGTTAAACTAGACTTATTTTCCTTCAAATTTCAACCATCTCTGACATGTTGCTATTACTTTTTTCATTATTAAGGTTAATCTACCTCCCCCATTGTATAAATTGCCATGCAATGCCTTGTTCAGAAATATAACCAACTAATGGCTTTTTTGATCATCAATGGTCTACGACTTATATTTTGTTTTCGATCTGCTTTTATTTGAGCACCACTGGTGGGTCTTATGTAGACAAAACCCGCTCTGATGTAGCAAATTTTAAGCCTTGTATCCTTGAATAGTTTATTTTTAATGTTTGTTTATTAGTATATTTTATATTTCGTTTTGCTTTTGATTTTGTTCTATCTTGTATTTTATTTGTAGTACTAATTGTGTTTATATGTTTTGGAGTTTGACTGTTGAAAAATTCTCCATCTAGTGATATTGACGTTTTATCAGTAGACATAGTGAGTACAATTTTATCAATAGGGTAAGAAAAAAATAAACCGCGTAAATAGTTTGTATCATACATGTAAATTTTTTTGTCAACATGCTAATCTACTTTTACTTTCTAAAAACAATTTAAAAATTGTACTCACCTTTATGGGATGCCGCCGATGTTTTGATGATCTCCTTCTATTTTGTTTTGGGAATGTCCCACCTCTTGATGTGACGTCACTAACGCTAACACTACGATTCTTACTTCCGGAAAATACTTCTGTACACCGTCTGCTATTTTCACTATCATTGTTATATCCGGTACTTTTATTGTTCATAAAGCTGTAAGCAATACTTGTCATCTTAAAAACAAGACCTTCACCAAAGGTTAACATAATATGTAACAGCCTCTTGAAAATCCCAAGAGATGCATTTCCGTTCTCTTCGTCAATCCGTAGTTTCAGAAAACATTTCATCAAAATAGTACCGATTCAGATCCGAGTTTCTAAAAATTCAAAATGGAAGGATTTTAGAGCATAATATATATTTTATGCGACCTTTGATGTGAGGATTTTATTGAAGAAAACATGCATAAATATAAGTTTTCTTCCACTTACACTAACAGCAACACATGTACATAATAAAAAAACTACGCTTTACATTTCATCACTCCAAATTGCATGAATCTTTGGCAATCAAACATCAATCAAAACGGAAATTATAAATTCAAAAAGCTTCTCTCTTGTGAATAAGTACAATGCGTCGGTTTGTTCTTGTAGACAAAAAAATGATCCCATGTGGAAAATAGTGTTATACAACAAAAACACAATAAAACTTTAGAAATGGCGGTTGGTTTTTTATATCTGAATGTTTTGGTTTTTTTTTTCTATAAAAGCATAATATAACTACATAAAAAACTATTTTCACATTTGCTGAAAATAAATCGGTAATAACGTTCCAATATGCCGTTATTTGAATCTTTTCCAATCTCACGAGATGGTAAATAAATCTGACAACTGGAAAAGTCAGCAATAGATTTGATCAGTTCCGATTACGAAACGGTTTGATAAATTATCATATATATCCAATTCTCCATGTATCGGTATGACAATTATAATCTTGTACTAATTCTAATTTATGATGCAATAACATATAATAGTAAACTTATTGTTCTATATATATGTATGCAAGTCTTAGGAATTCACTGCTCTTTACATCTATAATGTAAGACTTAATGGCAAGAAGGATATTTGTCTAGATTGTTTAGTGTAAATAATATAATCTAGAAGATGTTTTTCCTTTCACTTTTCGTTTGTTGATATAGCCAGCTACTAAAATAGATTGTACACATTTTACCTTTATCAACTCAGTACAACATCGAATAATCGGCAATTTATTATGATTGAAATATCATTTGCTATGTATTAATTACAAAAATTCTTTTTCTTTGAACTTTGCACCTGAGGATAAGTGTGATAGTGTGCGTCGTTTGACGAGTTAATTATCAACCTACTGGCGCCTCACAAACAAAAGGTTTTATATAGATCATAACGAAACACGAGATCAAAACAGAAAAAAAAGTATATTACCAATCGTCTGCTTTACGACTATGAGTTAATTGACATTGCGCGTGCCTATAACGTGCTACGTGTCGTCTCGTGCGTATCATCATAAAATATTTGACGAATCGTTAAATGATAACATGATTGAAAAGTGTTATCAATTATGATTATAGACATCATCTCAACAACATCAGACAAATAAACACCTCACATAATTTATTTTATTTGTAACCGATGTATCTATAAAGTAATTTGAACTCTGGATACACGAGACCATTCTGTTATCCTGCTGAATTATTCTTCTTTACAATTTAGTACCCCATTCTATTCTTCAATTGTTGGTTCGTGTAACTCTATTCTTAATTTTGTGCTCATAATTTGTATTATGTAAACCCCAGAACCTCATATAGTCTACCGTGTTTACACAGCTATCAATCGTTACGGTATCAAATAGTACAAATATTCAAAAACTACGAAGTGTTTTTTTAATATTGAAATTTTGCTATTTTCGATACTAATAGTACAGATATATTGTCAGATTATAGCCAGATTAATCGCGTAGCTGATTTTTCTAGCAAATTCGGAAATGGCATTTGAAATGTTTTTGCTTTTTACGAGAACGTGCCTCGTACATTTTCATTCACTGCTTAATTATGATAGCAAGTTTAAAGACAATCTTTCTTATTTTAAAGATCGTTTTGAGGGTGAGCAGATCCTGCTCCACATGCGGCACTGTCGTATTGTTCATGTAAGTACAAACCCGGTAATAAGTATAATTCTATAGGTCACACTCGCGGGAAAAAATCACAATCAGTATGAAAATATATCAGAATTTCTTTAAATACACATGATTTGACACCAATTAATTTTGACAACTACCTTTGTTTCCTAATATTACAATAACATTAAAATTCATTATTATTATTAATTCTATTTCCATAGCGGAATACAAAAATGTATCTTATTGAAATTATTGTAAGCACATTACTTGATAATTGTTTTTCTATTATTAAGCTAAACAAGCTATAAAGCTCCTGCTACATAAGTAGCACCCGTATTTTAACCATAGAATGGCGATGCTGTTAAATATTATAACGCAACCATTGTTGTGTATTATTCACTGCTTCGAAAATTGAACAACGATAATCACTGTCGATATCAGGTGTGATTTTAACTAGGTTCCCATGATAAACTTATCTGTGAAGAAATCAGGAGTTTGATTCTCCGGTATATAATATTTTTTATCTTTTTATCTGATTTATACAATTTTTAGAAACATTAACTTATTTTTATTATTCTATTTATATTAAGTTCAAGTTATATCAATTATAAAAGAACAAACGAATATATATGTCGATAGTATACTGAATTATAACTGCATGTTTTATCAGGGAAAAATAAAGAAATATATTGGTGATAAGATTACTATTGATAGACAGTTCCGAAATAATTGTTGTTTCAATCACAAGGACTCGGTTAACAGATCAAAAACATTTTAATCAATGTTTCTTTGTTTTCTAGTAATGTACAGTTTACTATCCATATCCGTATACTGAACAATCCTAAAAGGATCTAAGTCACCATTTTAAATAGCCTACCATTCTATTCAATAAATTCAAAAACAAGAGGAGCGAACATTCTTAAGTAAAAAATAATTAAACATATTTTTATTTGACTGTATAACTTACAAAGTCACTCATTTTCTTCCTAAATGATTCTTCTATCAGAAGAATGTATTGATTTTCCGATCAACGACACCCTTACTGAGGGTCTTGATGGGGTCTTTCATTTCTGTATTTTGTAATTATTTAGGTCATTTTTCTCTAATCTTTATACTGTTTGCCAATTATTCTCTTTTCTTTATTTTGTTGGTCGATTTTTGTGTTTTTTTGGTCCATTATTCTCTCTTCTGTAAACCCCATCTAGACCCTCCTTAATCAGCTATAGTTTCATTCAGGTCAAAAAAGCAATGTAACTGGCAAACGAGTATGATATTTGTGAATCAGACAAACCAGTGTTCGTCATAAGTATTATTTTGAACAAACAAACTTTGGAACATTCCCCTTTGCCCACAAACCTACAATTTGTAGCAATTAACGAATTCTCAAATGTTATGACTCTTAATCACATTAATTTAAACATATTTAAAACAAGCATCACAACTGTTGATCAAACTTCTTTAAATAACGTACGTCTGTCTTTAAGTACGATAAATCTAAACATTAAGCAATTTATAGCCCAAAACTATCCCATTTTACAACTGCGTTTATCATTATCGATGCGTTAAACTTAATTGAACTTTTAAACTTTTTTCTATTTCTGATATTCAAGTTCATAATTATGTTATATTTTCGGGAATACATTCTGGTTAATTTATGTTGTAAGAATCAGGAACAAATACGTGAAGTGATATACATCCTTCAATATCATTAAAACATAAAACAGATAAATTCAATGTTAACCATTTGAAACCTTGTCCCCAGTGTCCACCAGGAGATGTGGTATGATTGCCAATGAGACATTTGTCCATTAGGTCAAAAAAAAAAATAAGAAGATGTGGTGTAATGTGGTGTAATGAGACACTTGTCCATCAGATCAAATAGAAATAAGAAGATGTGGTGTGATTGCCAATGAGACATTTGTCCATCAGATCAAATAGAAATAAGAAATAGTGGTGTGATTGCCAATGAGACACTTGTCCATCAGGTCAAATAGAAATAAGAAATAGTGGTGTGATTGCCAATGAGGCACTTGTCCATGAGGTCAAATAGAAATAAAAAATAGTGGTGTGATTGCCAATGAGACACTTGTCCATCAGATCAAATAGAAATAAGAAATAGTGGTGAGATTGCCAATGAGATACTTATCCATCAGATCAAATAGAAATAAGAAATAGTGGTGTGATTGCCAATGAGACACTTGTCCATCAGGTCAAATAGAAATAAGAAATAGTGGTGTGATTGCCAATGAGACACTTGTCCATCAGATCAAATAGAAATAAGAAAATGTGGTGTGATTGCCAATGAGACACTTGTCCATCAGATCAAATAGAAATAAGAAATAGTGGTGTGATTGCCAATGAGACACTTGTCCATCAAATCAAATAGAAATAAGAAGATGTGGTGTGATTGCCAATGAGACTATTGTCCATCAGGTCAAATAGAAATAAGAAGGTGTGGTGTGATTGCCAATGAGACATTTGTCCATCAGATCAAATAGAAATAAGAAATAGTGGTGTGATTGTCAATGAAACACTTGTCCATCAGATCAAATAGAAATAAGAAATTGTGGTGTGATTGCCAATGAGACACTTGTCCATCAGATCAAATAGAAATAAGAAATAGTGGTGTGATTGCCAATGAGACACTTGTCCATCAAATCAAATAGAAATAAGAAGATGTGGTGTGATTGCCAATGAGACACTTGTCCATCAGGTCAAATAGAAATAAGAAGATGTGGTGTGATTGCCAATGAGACACCTATCCACCAAGTAAAAAAAAAAAGAGAGATGTGGTATGATTTGTTAGACTTGCTACATGTACCTTCCTAATTTTCTTTTTTAATTTAATGTTGCCCCTTTAACAATTTTACTGCTATAACTAAGAGATTTCCATTATTCTGACATTTGCAGAGCCACAAGTTAAAACTAAATAAAGAGATGTGGTACGATTGCCAATGAGACAGCTTTCCACAAGGTAAACATAAAATATAGAGATGTGGTACGATTGCCAATGAGACAACTTTCCACAAGGTAAAAATAAAATATAGAGATGTCGTATGATTGCCAATGAGACAACTTTCCACAAGGTAAAATAAAATAAAGAGATGTGGTACGATTGCCAATGAGACAAATTTCCACAAGGTAAAACAAAATAAAGAGATGTGGTACGATTGCCAATGAGACAAATTTCCACAAGGTAAAACAAAATAAAGAGATGTGGTACGATTACCAATGAGACAACTTTCCACAAGGTAAAAATAAAATATAGAGATGTCGTATGATTGCCAATGAGACAACTTTCCACAAGGTAAAATAAAATAAAGAGATGTGGTACGATTGCCAATGAGACAAATTTCCACAAGGTAAAACAAAATAAAGAGATGTGGTACGATTGCCAATGAGACAAATTTCCACAAGGTAAAACAAAATAAAGAGATGTGGTACGATTACCAATGAGACAACTTTCCACAAGGTAAAACAAAATAAAGAGATGTGGTACGATTACCAATGAGACAACTTTCCACAAGGTAAAACAAAATGAAGAGATGTGGTATGATTGCGTATCAGACAGCTATCCATCAGAGAACAAAAGACGAGGATGCGAACTCATAATACAAAGACATGAAATGCAATAAAAGAGGGTCTGGGTGGGGTGTCCTCATTTCTGTGTTCTTTAAATTTGGTGGTAATTTTTCTCTTTTCTTTCTTTCTTTATTTAGCCCATTATTCTTTATTCTTTATATTTTAGCACCTAATTAATCTCTATTCTTTAATTTTTTTGGCCTATTTTTTTTCTATTCCTAATTTTTTTGGCTAATTATTCTATGTTCTGTAATTCCCGTCAAGACCCTCATTTAAGGATGTTCGATCCTCTTATTTTTGAATTTTTGCCAGATATTCGGAATCCTCTGGTTTAATCCATGTAGTGCCATTAAAAATTTTGCCCGCTTCCCCCTACTTTTCTTTCCATAATTTTATACCATATAGTTTAAAAAGTCATATTTGAAAATATTATGAACTCCTTGTTATTTTTTCATAGTTTCATATGTGTAAATGTAGAAAGTGTATGTAAACAATTGTCACGTGCTTATTGTGCAACAAGTCTTTACATCCCTTAACATACGACTATATTTAGTGACAAATTGAACAGTGAATAATTAGCTAATTTTTAAGTGTTCATACTATTAATCCCTGGGGTATCACCAGCCAGGTATAGTCAGTGGTTCGCTACTGACATACTTTACTATAATCTTCCGTTGATAAAATTTGAAAATTATTCATAATTAGATATAAGAAGATGTAGTATGTGTGCCAATGAGACAACTCTCCATCTAAGTCACAATTTGTAAAAGTAAACCATTATAGGTCAAAGTACGTCCTTCAACACTGAGCCTTAGCTCACATCGAACAGCAAGCTATAAAGGGCCCCGACAATGACTTATGTAAAACCATTCAAACAGGAAAACCAACGGTCTAATCTATATAAAAAACGAGAAACGAGAAACATTTATGAGCCACACCAACAAACGACAACCACTGAACATCAGGTTCCTGACTTAGGACAGGTGCAAACAAATGCAGCGGGTTTAAACGTTTTAATAAGCTAACTTTGAATGTTCCAACTCCGTCATGCAAAGTAGACCTTTGATGGTTTAGGTCAATTAAGGTCCTTGTTGTTCGTAGCTCCTCAAGTTCCATACATTCCTGGCATTAAATCGTTGTTTCTAAGCGTTCCTGATGAAGGTCAATGCATCATGGCCGATAAAATATTCATGAAATAGTATACACTGCAGTGTGATGTCATAATTTTTTATATGTCCTCAGGCACTCTTTTTTCCATGAACTCTCAGAAAGGGACAAATAAAATACTTCTATGCATGAAATAACTAATAAATGACTAATCAATTATGCATGAAAAGTTATACAAAACTGTAATAACATGTTATATCATTTTATATTATGGATGATTTAATAAAGTATAAAAGACTAAAGTCATTGAGTATAGTTTGGTTCTATATTTAGACATGATGATGATGTTGGATGGCTGCTTAACGTCCAGCGGCAAATTGATATGCATATTCAGGACGAGAACATGTTAATGTAGTATGAATAGTAATCCTGATTTGTGCTAGACCGACACAATGAGCCAGATTTTAACGTGCTAGTTCACAAGGTAACATTCCGCAGGATGACACGTCACCTTACCCAGCCACATTATTCTGACTCCGAGTCGACCAGTCTTTGCTCTTACCTTACTCATAAAAGCCGTGTACTTAGCGGAGAAGCAGACAGTGGCGGATCCAGAAATTTTCATAAGAGGGGGCCAACTGACTGCCTAAGAGGGGGCCCGCTCCTGTCATGCTTCAGTGATTCCCTATATAATCAACCAAATGTTTCCCAGGAAAGGGGGCCCGGGCCCCCTGCCAACCCCCCCCCCCCTCCCCCAAATCCGCCTCTGGCAGCAAATACCAGTTTTAAAGTCTTTGGTTTAACCCGGCCGCGGTTCGAACCCACGACCTCCCGCACTCCAGGCGAACACGCTACCACGAGACATGATGTGTTATGGAGAGATATAGATAGTATTTTAAAAGGCTTGTTATATTGAAACAGAGTAGCGAACATCCTTAACTGCCTTAAAAAGTAAGATCTTAAGATCAACACCGCCTTTTTGAAATCGGAAGCTGGAAATTACATAAATTTATTCACACAATTTTTTTTCGATATTCGTGCCGATCAGCATTTCATTTTCAAAATTTTCAAAATGAACTTATGCATTTCCATATTTACATATTGAACAGTGAATAATTAGTTAATTTTTAAGTGTTCATACTGTTAATCCCTGGGGTATCACCAGCCAGGTATAGTCAGTGGTTCGCTACTGACATACTTTTCTAAAATCTTCCGTTGATGAATTTAAAAATTATTCATAATTAGACATAAGAAGATGTAGTATGTGTGCCAATGAGACAACTATCCATCCAAGTCACAGTTTGTAAAAGTAAACCATTATAGGTCAAAGTACGGCCTTCAACACTGAGCCTTGGCTCACACCGAACAGCAAGCTATAAAGGGCCCCGACAATGACTTATGTAAAACCATTCAAACAGGAAAACCAACGGTCTAATCTATATAAAACACGAGAAACGAGAAACACTTATGAACCACATCAACAAACAACAACCACTGAACATCAGGTTCCTGACATAGGACCGGTGCAAACAAATGCAGCGGGTTTAAACGTTTTAATAAGCTAACTTTGAATGTTCCAACTCCGTCATGCAAAGTAGACCTTTGATGGTTTAGGTCATTTAAGGTCCTTCTTGTTCATAGCTCCTCACGTTCCATACATTCCTGGCATTAAATCGTTGTTTCTAAGCGTTCCTGATTAAGGTCAATGCATCATGGCCGATAAAATATTCATGAAATAGTATACACTGCAGTGTAATGTAATAACTTTTTATATGTCCTCAGGCACTCTTTTTTCCATGAACTCTCGGAAAGGGACAAATAAAATACTTCTATCATGAAATAACTAATAAATGACTAATTAATTATGCATAAAAAGTTATACAAAACTGTAATAACATGTTATATCATTTTATATTATGGATGATTTAATAAAGTATAAAAGACTAAAGTCATTGAGTATAGTTTGGTTCTATATTTAGACATGATGATGATGATGGATGGCTGCTTAACGTCCAGCGGCAAATTGATATGCATATTCAGGACGAGAACATGTTAATGTAGTATGAATAGTAATCCTGATTTGTGCTAGACCGACACAATGAGCCAGATTTTTAACGTGCTTGTTCACAAGGTAACAGTCCGCAGGATGACACGTCACCTTACCCAGCCACATTATTCTGACTCCGAGCCGACCAGTCTTTTCTCTTACTCCTAAAGGCCGTGTGCTTAGCGGAGAAGCAGCAAATACCAATTTTAAAGTCTTTGGTTTGACCCGGCCGCGGTTCGAACCCACGACCTCCCGCACTCCAGGCGAACACGCTACCACGATACATGATGTGTTATGGAGAGATAGAATATTACTGGTCTACCCTGCCAGATTATGAAAATCACTAGAATTCTCAATTTTTGTTTTCGCATAATTTTAGTTAAGGACCATATTTTTATCAAACCAGCAAGAATATTTTGGAATCTTTAAAAAGTAACTATCACAGCTTCAATAAAACATACATGAAAAGGATAATAGAAATTGCCAACAAATATTTGACAGTAAAACAGGTCACACTAACCACCTTCTAGAAAACAAGATTACAAAGATAAACAAAGATAAACAACAAAAACAACAAATGGTTCAGATAGATAGCCTGACTTGGTGCAGGCACTACATGTGGTTGGGTTAAACCGGTTTAATATGAGTACAAACCTCCCCTCCTTTGATATTCTACCTACGTGATTGTAGTGTAAGGTTCTGACATTTTTGAATATTTGATTAAATTATAGGTACTTAAAGATGGCTTAAAACTGCAATATTGATAGATTAAAGTATATTTTTGGTATCTATCTTAATGGTTAAGTAATGGAAAGGACATCCCAAATTAAAGCAGAACTCTGGCGAAAGTCAATGAGTAAAGCCCATACCGTAAAGTAAGCTAAAAAAAAAAAAGGCACCGACATGAAAAATGTAAAAGTTATTATAAGTTGATTTACTCTTAAATATACATCGATTCTGTTTTATTCAGAAAAATGTTTGCAAATGGCAGAAACCTGCGTTATACGTCAAACTTCTCAATGAAATATTTTGGAGGCAAAACAAACATTTAGTATTTTATTTAATGTATGGAAATTACGAAAACCATCAATCTAATAATCAAAGGCTCAGTTGAGACTCTTCCAAAACTGAAATTGGTGAACATAGATTTTAACTACTTGATTATAGAAAGATACAGTTTGTAGATGAACAAAAGGAAGATTATTACCTTGCTTTTTAGTACGGGACAAGAAAATAGGATAAATAATGTGTTATTTCCTAAATTTGCAACCTTTACCGTTCCTGTAAAAGATAAAAGATAAGATAAAGTAAAGTAAAACAAGTGTGCCTTTGAGATGAAGAACAACAATAAAAGCACTGTTCCTTTGCTTTTTGTGTGTTTTTTTGTTGTGCATGTACTGATTTTGTGTCATGGATGGATACCCCATATCCTCTGTTTTTCTATTATAATACATGTACGAACTTGTGGATTCTATCATGTGTCCTCCTTCATCCACCGATGGGTACATATAGTATTGCTGCCTTTAAACTGAAATGTATAATTGTTAACAAACAATTAAAAGTAAATACTCCAAGATGACCCAAGATTTCAAACTTCATTCCTACTTCATTAACGTACAAGTGCGCAACTAACGAAGTGCTATTTTCATGTACCTGAAAAGTAAAGACCAGCGGAAAATATATGCGATCATTTGTAAAAATGTAATTTCACAGGCTCAATAGATGAATGGAGAGATAATAGAAGTCGCAATTCTACGTGAAAACGTTCAAAGTGAGAGAAGGCAATATTTATTGCAGAAAATCCTAAATCCAAACATCGGGATATTAGCGTTGAATATTTCGTCTAAATATAAGTCATTTGGTTTCCAAATGATTGGCCAATAGCATACATATTATCTTATGTGCCTGTCCCAAGTCAGGAGCCTGTAGTTCGGTGGTTGTCGTTGGTTCATGTCTGTCATATTTGTATTTCGTAAATTGTTTTGTTATAAATGAGGCCGTTAGTTTTCTCAATTGAATTGTTTCATATTTTTCATGTCGGGCCTTTCATAGTCGACCATACGGTATGGGTTTTCTCATTGTTGAAGGCCGCACGGTTGCCTATAATTGCTTACATCCACTTCATTTGAACTTTGGCGGATAGTTGTCTTATTAGCAATCATACCACATCTCCTTATTTTTATATATAATTCGATAACTAAAACGAGGGAGAAGATACCAACGTGCCAACCAAAAACCATAAGTTCAATAAAAAGAAACAAGACTACAACCAAATAGAAGAATGACAAAAATACAATAACAGTCAATGAAACTTGATAGAAAACTAACGATTGAGCAACAAGAACCTGCTACAAAAATGGGTGTAAACTCAAGTGCTTCGGACGGGTAACTAGTTCCTTCCACACAATTGACACATTTCGTGTTTCTCATTTCAAGTAAACATTCGGTAATGTTTTAATGAAGGAAAAAAGACCGACATTATGGATACAACAAGTGAAACTTTCCATGGTCACCTGTGACACAGATATTTTATAACGGTCAACCAAATAATGATTGCGTCCGTTCAAATCTTGAAGGGACGTTTCAACATTACTATTCGAAATTCCCTTTGTTTTATAGATTCTTCGTAAACATGCAGCAATCCTCTATCAAGGAAGTCATGATAATAAACACCAACCCTAGTATATCGTATCGACTTGGAGAGTTATACTCCATATGTAGGGGCTTCTTGACTTTTGTCATGGGAGTATTTGTTGGGTCTCAAGTGAATAAGCAACATAAAAACAGATTAAACACGAGTGTTCATAGACCAATTAAGATTTGCTTATCCTAGTGTGTAAAAACACCTCAGAGCCTTAACCAATTCGGTAAGATACACCTATTTGGAAAGAGAATATACGTCTTCATCGACTGAATCTTCTATTATTTTAAAGTTGTGTGCCACGTTATGGATTTAGATGTCTCACCACCAATTCACCCACATTTAGAACATATGTAAAAGTAACACTACTCTGACATAAATAGTGCTTTTGATGTTGTTGTTTACCGAAAATAGCAAATGAATTTATTTGAGTGAATTTTTTTCTGATTGAGAACTATATTTTGATAATTTTAGGAAAAAAATGTACTTGTGCATACCATTGCATTCCAATAGTAGATATGCTTAATTTTAGATTTAGGCTCACGATAATTCGATCGTTTGCCAATCACATTTAAAAACATACGGAATATACATGAATAGCCAAATATATATTATTCAAATGGTTTATTGTTGTTTACTTATTATACTTACAGCCAATAAACAAATATTTTATATATATTTTTTATAATGTACTTGGGTATGAAAGTGAAGTATTGAAGAAACCGCGTCTCAGAAAATGAACATCCGTATGTATACCTTAAAACTATTATAAGACCTTTGTCTCAGATTTTGTCACCTGAAAATAACTTCCATACTTGAGTATTTACATAAAGAGAAAAAATGTAATAATAACATGTCATTAATTCATTACTTCACTTTCATACCCAAGTACATCATTAAAAAAAACCGGTTGTCTCGCTTAGAATACTGCCATAAACGAGGCTGTTTTGTTTAGGCCCGTTATTGATTAGAAAATCTTCCACTTCAAATAAAGTTCAAAAGAATATCTTTCAAAAAATTACGGACAATAAACTCTAGTTTAAGTTTATTTCGGAAACAATCAACGATACGATCAACAACACGTGCTGATTTAGGATCGAATGGTGACTTTCAATTGGCTTTCAACGGGACACAAACAAATCAAACATTTTAAAATGTCAAGGTCTTATGAAGAGAAATAAAAGAAAAGAGTTCCAATGTCCCTCGCGTTGCACATATTTTATCCTTCCAAGGAACAAGGGCAATAACTAAATAAAACTTTTTTTTTTCTTTAAAACATTTTATAAATATCTTAGAGAAATGAAGGCTTCAGAGCAAATTCAATGCAATTTCCGTTATGAATGATATTTCCAAGGGTTATTCATAACTCGTTAAAAATATTTGATTAGCACTTTTTTTTTTAAAGTGTCAAAGTTATTGCTGATATAAACCTATGAGATAAATTTCATAAAATTCTGGCAAGATTTGTACACATGAGAGCGCTAACAATGCAATTTTCCAAATAGATCAATATTTCCATGGGACATAACTCTTTTACAAATAATTGATCGGCACTGATTTTTTAATTTGTCCGAGACATTGATAAAATAAATTTACAATATAAATTTCATAATCTAGCAGGAATTGTACACATGAAGGCGCTAACAATGCAATTTTTCATATAATCAATATTTCCAAGGGGCATAACTCTTTTAAAAATCATTGATTGGCACTGATTTTCGAATTCGTCCTAGAAATTGCTGATATAAATTTATGATATAAGTTTCATAAAAATCTGGCAAGAACTGTACAAGTGAGAGCGCTAACAAGACCGGACGGATGGACGGATGGACGGTATTTCTATGTTCCCCGCAACGCGTTGCGCGGGGGACAAAAATACGTCTCAACAAACCAAAAAGTGCAAATTTGTTATACTCAGAATATCCTGGGTAAATACTTTATGTCTCTACACTGCATTTGTATTCAAAGTGATATCACGAATATTAAAATAAGGAGATGTGGTATAATTGACAATGATAAAACTATCCATCAAAGATCAAGGGGCAAGGATTATTACAACTACAGGTCAATGTACGCTTTCAACAATGAGCAAAAACCATAACAATATATTCAGCTATAAAAGGCTCTGATCAGCAACTGTTTATTTATATTTGCTAGTCTCTATACCATTGTACTTTGGCTTTCGAAATTAAAGATGTATACAAAAAATGTTTCTTTTTAGGTGGTAAACAATCTGTTTTATCAATGCAATCGAAATATGTATTTGTTATATTGATAATAACGTGTTATCATCCATGAAAATAAGTGCCGCGTATGGAAAAAATGCTGATATACTTATTTTAATTTGTTAAAGTAGGGCAAAGTTATATTACGGTAACTGTCTGCAAGGTTGTAATTTATGATAAATTTTGAATAATGAAAATATCTGATATTTAATAAACCATTCAGTCGTACGTTAAAGTGTACAAATAACTTTTTTTTAAATTGAACAAAAGAACTAATAAGTTAACGAAGTCATTGTTTAATTGTTTTACAATATATGTTATTTAATCACGCCAACAATGGACGACCTATTTGAAACAAAAACGATGTGTAATCTTAACTAGGTGTTAGACGTAACTGAATTAGCAAAAATGTAAAGAATATTTCTTATTCCTTGTAAACCGTTTACAGTATATATATTATAGTTATCAATAATGGGATATGACAGGTTAACAAAACAATTTTGATGGCCGCAGAATGAGCTATTGTTGCAGAGTAGCTTTTGGATAAATAACGTGTTGATTTTTCGATGTATTTGATGGTTCGTGCTTTTCGCCTTAAAAATGACACTTCCTAACTTTTTGCCGATTGTCTTCCTCTTTTCTTGTCTTAATTTGGATTTTTCTGCAGTTAATTGTCTACACATGCCAGATTCATACAAATCTAACCATCAAGGTACAGTTATTTTTTGTACTTATTGTAATAAGTTGATAAGACAATCGTTCATACATGTCAATCTGTGTGTTCAAATATACGTATTGCACAATTAGTTTTGAGAGACAAAACGCACACAGGGACGTCAGTAGTTGTGGGTATCAAATGCACAACACATCAGTTGGAATGAGATGTTTTATCCGAAACCCCGTGTTGTAACCGTGCAACGCTCTCTGCACGTTAAAAAAAAACCCGTAACAATAGTTGAGGTCTCCATAAGTGGCCTACCTGTTCCACCACCAAATTCTGCCATATCTTAACGTTTCCCTTTTCTAGTGGCAATTCAAACTTCCTACCCTCAAATCTTGTCAACCACCTTTGCAATACCCTACATATTAAATGTATTGTTTTAGTTGTTCTCGTCCAGAACATGCATGAACTATTTGTCGCTGAACATTCAACAAACAACATTCAATCAATCGAAATAAGTGTAAACGTAATAAACTACCATAAGTGCGCATGAAATCTTTTTCTGATGACTTAAGATTAACTGTCGAACTTGCCAAATTTTGTAAAGTTGTTCTATCTGTTATGAGTTAGATAGATTCCGTCTGTTATAATTAGATTTGCCTTCCACTGCAAATTTCATAAAGCATGTACTTTATACAACTGCATATGTAACCATGTCATTCCATTCATCCCATTGTTAATGTATATATGTTTTTGTTGTTATTACTGTTTATATTCACATACCCCTCATAGGGTCTTGAAAAATAAAAGTTTCAAGTTTTCAAGTTTCACGATACTAAAAACTTGAAAAGGAAAATACACTATTTTTAAGTGTTTAAACTATTAATGCCTTGAAATAACAGTCAAAACAGTCAGCGGTTATCTTTCTTATTCCTTATATATATATATATATATATTCTATTCTATATTTTTTGGCACACTTTTCTGTCTCCTTTATTTGTTTGGTCCATTTTTATTTATTCTTTATTTTCATCCCATTATTTTCTATTTTGTTCCCAATATTCTCTATTTTGAAAAGCCTTTCCGGACCCTCATAAATGTCAGTTTGGTTTGATATACCAAAAAGAACAGCCAGAAAAAACAGCCAGAAAACAACACGGCAAAAAAAATTAAAGACAAAACAACAACCGACAAATCATTACACACAGGACTAAATATAGAGCAAAAAAATATACACAGGACTAAAAATAGAGCAGCACGATTCAAAGCAACCGAGATGTTAACTCAGTTTCTTCAGAAGGATAGACGGTTACTAAGAATCTAAATCAAACCTCATACCTTTGCTACGTAGACTTTTGAGAATTTTGAAATCAAGGTCACGGTAATATTTCAATGTTACAAGGTGTACAATCATTACTTAAATGACTTTTCAATGCTTAAAAAAAACGTTCACATGTTCCTTTTGGGTATTTTATGTATCATCACTTCAAACATTTCTATATATATAAACGTCCGAGATGTTTTTATTTTTCAGCTTATGTATCCTTTTCTTTTTCTTCTGATGCTTCAATAAGAGCAAAACGATCCACTGTACCTAGTCTTCCACGCAAACTGTCACCAAGATTCGTTTTCCAGGATGAACTAGTCAATCTTGATCTTATTACAAACACAAAGCTTTTAGCACTGCCACCTATCCATAGAAACATTAATGGGGAGATAATCAAAGATGCCGAAATAACTAAAGTACGTATTCATTTTTTTCAAATTTTCACTTAGTTTGTGTGTCGATAAAAAGTAAGAAGATATTAAAAGGAACAGTGACCTCGATAAAAATCAAATGGTAGTTCCCTTACATTGGACAATTATTCGGTTTCCTGTTTTCGGAGATTTCATGATAAAAATCTTAGATTTTGACTCAAAATAGTAATTTTTGGTGATAACATTTTGTCCGTTTCCGTAAACAATCATCATTGTTATCACAATGTGGGAAAATGTTCCGGTTTCCTATTCCTTTTAAAGGAGATTTTATGATAAAATCTTAGTTTTGTCTTTAAATATCAATTTTTTATTTATTTAAAACGATGGTTTTAACCAAAAATCATTTGTTACCACCACTTTTAACTTGGACTTTTAGTAAATGTATTACAAATATGATGACATCCTGGACACAAAAACACCCAAGTAGTTTCTAATGCACTTTTATTGATGTGTACGCCTTTCCTGCATAGATTGACTGGATCATTAGTTACCAGTCACTGATTAAAAACGCACATATTTCCAGGGATAAATATGAAAGCGAAATATTTTTATTTATATAACATAAACTGTTGACACAGAGATATGTCTCGCCTTTGTGCAATTTTGATATTATAATGCAATTGTTGAATCATAATGGCAAAACTTTAACATGTATCTATGCAAAACACGCAACGTTAATGAACCATGACTAAAGGTGCAGGGCCAAATAATCTCCATGAACATGTGCCAATGATAAAACAAATGCATATTACATATCATTGACTTACAATTAGCAGTTCACCTTAAACTGAACAAATCACAAACTTTGACAAATTATTAACACCGAAAACAAACACGTATAATGTCACATCTTTCAATTATTTTCTTGTAGTTACAACCAACGGAAAGATATTATCAAGATTTAAACAGAGGCGCATCATTTCATGTCGAATGCCAGGATCCATGTATTGATTATGCACTGGTAAGTGTGACCCATAATTTAGTAAAATAATTGAACCTCTTTTTTCCTTAGCGTATGGACCCAAGAAATCCCCCCCACTGTTTCGCCCAATCATTAGATACTTGAACCGACCCTGGGCTTTGTACTAATATATATTTAAACGTTTATTCAAAGGGAATAATACATAATACATAATAGTATATCATATGCATCATATATGACTTATATATACGGAAAGATAGTAATATACTGATCAATGAAAATATATCTACATTTTGATCTAGTATACAAACAGGAAGTGTAAATAATATGATAACCTGTTAGTTATCAGAAGTCGATATCAGTCAGTAAAAACTACAGGGAAATTTCTCAAATAATTCATAATCCTGTTTGCTTAAAATATTTTATAGATTAAAATAATTTCGGAGAACTTTATATCACATCATATAAAGGTAGTTCTAAAGTACTTTTAACGATTTTAAGAAACTTTAAAAAAAATGCTGGAACCTTAGATTTATAATAATTTCAAAATTTATCAACGGAACATTCAAGAACTATGTGTTTAAGGTCAGTGGCGAAGCACCCGATACTAAGCTTTAGGTACTCTCGGGGACTTATAGTTCACCAGCAGCAGTATCGACCCAGTGCTTGTAAGTAAATTTGGAGCATCCGAGGTGCTCTTCTGGATTGACCTTCATCAGGAAAGCTAAAAAGAAAAAGATTGAAAGCCAAGAATGTGTAAATATATTTACTGGAGGAAATACACAATCAAAAATGACAGTAACAGAATTAATATTTCCTTCAGCTTTGTCTGATCTCATCTCCATATAAAACTTACAATGTAGTCGTCTCAAACCTCAAACATATATTGTGCTTTCAATTAAAAAATTCATTGTTTCTTAAAACTTTAATTTGTTTAATATTAAATATTTCATTCCACGGACGAAATCAATTCGAATTAAATAAAAATTAAAAAGAAATATTGACACAAGTACATCGCTGTATTTTTTTCCTAAAATTGATTTGATTTAAGCATTATATTTACAAAACAGCATATAAAACATAAGAATAAAGAATTCCATTTTTTCCAGACTGGATCATTTACTCTAAGAGAAGAGACATATTTTGTATTTCCAACAAATACCACGAAACATACTACGAATAGAATCATTCACCGGATTACTAAACCAGATCCTTTACTGTCCTTTAATGATTTTATTGTAGAAGGTAGGTACAGATAAATTATCCCTTAGCTCAGCAAATACTTGTCACAAAATTACAGAACAGAAATCTGGAAAAGAATATCCTATATTTTATTTTGAAAGGCTTTAACAGTTAAACGCCCCTTAAGTTTCAGAGGACCCCTTGTCACAAAAAAGTAGATGGAAAAGCTAACAAGAAGCACTATTGTTTTCTGTGATAGCCTTTCAAGCCTATGATGTTGTTGTAAAATTGTTCACATTGCGTCGTGTCTAGGAATTACGATATATACTAGTATTATATGACTATAAAACGTCTGTTTCCTTATTGGCTGAAAACATAGAGAATCTTCTTTTTTAAAAGATTATATTCACAACGGGGGAAAATCATATGAGATTAATATAAGATTTGGAACAGACGTGTACCCATATACTAATTTATCTATTCAACATCAAAACGTAGGTTTATAACATCATGGTTATTCTCGTTTTGCTTCTTGATTTTTTCGCTGTTATTTTTTTAAGTTAGATCTATAATTTAATATTTCATTAACTTATAAAAGTTAGCAACTGCCAAAACAAATGATATATTTAGCATAAACACAAGGAGCAGCTAAATATCTTCAACAAATACAAGAACATTGAAGATGAATAAAAAAAGCCATAATAAAACCATTGTTTAATTTTGATATCCGTTCATACAATAATATATAAACCCAGAGATATGATATTCACCCTCGGCCGTTGTCCTCGATGAATATCATATCTCTGGGGTTAAAAATCATTGTATCAACCTCATCAAATGTCAACAATTGTATAACGTCGTGACAATGTTGAAAAAAAAACGTGACTGAGAACAATATGACAATCGTTTGTCTTGTTTGTTATTCTTCTTGTTTTCTCTAGTGTCATATGCATTACATAACACGCACATTGGGAATCGTAAACAATGTCAATATAACAAGCAAACAATGTTGAATCATTGGAATGTATCAGGTTTGATATATTGTCCTACGGATGAACATAAGATATATTTCAAGTTAAAAACCAACACAATGTTTTCTAAAGTGAGAAATGTAAAATAAGTGGCATGTAAATGGGAAAATATAATAGGAAGAAAGTAGACAACTACAACTTATTCACGTTTTTACATCTAAAGTCAACTCAGAGACGATTAGGTTGACATATTAAATAGACACTTTTATATTGTAACATATGGTATTCCAAACTCGTGGTGTCATGTTTTGTTTTTGTTAGGTTGCGCCCTTAATAAACGTGTACTCCAAGTCTCATTTCACTCATACCATAAGCATAGCATGTATAATGATCGCACTTTTTGCCTTGATTTACAATCATTGTTCTTAAGAACAGTCTATGATAAATATGTTGCAATATATGGAACTTAAGGCTGTGCAATATTTTTCGGAATCATAAAGTTTACTTTACCCGAACAAGAAAGTCACCAACTTTGTCTTTAGTATGTTTCGATGTTTAACTTAAGGAACACTATTTGAGCCTCACTTTTGCCTGTCGTTGACGAACAACCGATTTTCAAAGTGTCATTTTCACCAATACATACACTACATGGAGCAATAAAGTTTAGCTGCATTGTTTTCTGGCACAATAGCAAATTTCCTTCCATAGATAAAACATGTATAGCATGATTGTTACAGTCAGTGATGACTATATGACCTTGGGAGGTCGTAGCTATTCCTTCAGGGTTAAATTTGTTCCATCCACCGTTTACCTCTGGATTTCCTATATAACTCCATTTCACTAAGCCGTCATTACCAAGAACAGCAACTCTTCCAGAGTTATCGGCCGTGATAATGTCAGACACACAGATGTCGCCGTTGATATTCGTTGTTATACGGTACGGACATGTAAATAACCTGCGTTTGTCTTTGTCGTATTCAAAATTAAACTTTACTTTCCTGTCCATACCAAGCTTTTTAATTCCTCTTCGAGATGTTTCAGTTATTGGAAAGGTTGAGGCATTTTCCTGGAATCCTACTAAAATATCGTTTTCTTTCGTTATATGAATTCCTAATGGAAGAAATGGTGATATATTTGACAATGGTTTTAATTGTCCTTTCGTAGTTAACATTGTAAGAGTATGATTACTGTAAATTGACAATAGATATCCTTCATCATTGACCAGTTTCGCTATGTCATACACTTTAACGCCGTTCAATTCTTGAATTAAATCTATTTCGTCATTGACTTTCACTTTTTGAAGTATTTTTTCTTGGGGGTTATGGATCCAAAGAATATCCCCATCTTCAACTAGTCCAACAACGGCAGGGAGATCGGTTGTAAGTACTTTAGTGACGTCCATAGTCAAAGCAAGTTTTGTTCCTTTTTTGTCTATATTTTACATTATCCAACTGTTTTATCCTTAATCTACTACAATATATATCACTCCGTTATCTAAGTTGCACTTGACGTAATATATGGGTTTTAAATTTTGAATTTAAATTTAAATTTAACGACCTTGTACCGCGTTCGATCCTATACTGAGCAACACAACGTATGAAACATTGATTTAAAATTGTTTTCGTTTCCTAGATTAATCAAAACTGAAACTTTTAAACGGAAATAAAGTGGTATAACATATCTTCTCTAGAGTTTTCATCCATTTTGTTATAATTCTATACATGATTGTTTATCATGTATCGTTTTGACTTACTGAAACCACCTATTAACAATAGAAGTGATACTCCGAGTAGAAATGCGAAACAACAATTTTATTTGTACTACTAATAAAATGATATTAGTTATACTCAACGATCAATAACAGGAAAAGATAAATTATAAGAAACTGAACAATCTTTAATTCTGAGAAAATGATATTCAAATCTTTTTTATTCAGTTCAGTAGAATGAATGTTGTTTATTCAACGTCCAGCGGCAAATATTGCATGCATAATCAGGACGACAAGTACAGTAAAAACAAAAACTTAAACATGATGTAGAATAAAATATTAGTATAATACTTTTTGGTGTCGATTGTACATGTACTTTAAGTTTTCTTCTACTGATTTTACCTGTACTTTAATTTCTGTTTATACTGATTGTACATGCACTGCAATGATATCACACACATAGAGATATAACTATTAATTCAAAAAATAAGAAAAAGGTACTTGCAAATCTTTATACTGACACAGTGGTATATGCTTTGTACCAATTGTGTTTGTATTGCTTGTCTTAGCGTCATTAGACATTTTGATGTAAGACAGATTTTTTTCTGCAAACAAGAATGACTAATTCTTTTGTCAACGAAAAATATCTTTTCCCAAATTGTTCAAGAATTGCCGCTAAACAAATATCAGAATTTTTCTTGATCTGAATTGGGGTGAATTTATACCTTAAAAATAAACGTCCAGCAGTGAATTGATCAATCAATCAATTAACCAATCAGGTAATCAATTAACCATTTACTTATTTGATATGCATATTAATCATTAGCTTCATTATTTAATCACTCCGCCACTCAACAAATCAATGAATCAGCAGTTTTATCAATTAGTCTGCAAATCAATCTTTTCATAATCTTTCAACAACTAAATCAATTAGCTCTCCCTCCATCACGTATGCAATGCGGATAATTTCTTCATCGCGTAACATAAACACGGCACTGAGTATACAATGTTTATATATAACAACCGATTGAGTTTGAAAATGGAAAATCTTTAATTTACAACATGCAATAACTAAACCATTGATGGACTTTACATGCAAAGAATTTTAATGACCCATAAATAAGTTTACTATACAACGTTCCCTTTAAAAGTGGAATTTGTAAAGAATTTAAACAGGTAATCATGTCTGTTGTGGTATAATATTATTAATTGTTAATATGAAATGATTGAGAATTAAATAGATCGTCAAAAGTTCAAAAAGATTAAATTTGAGTGATAAACATGTGTAACAAAGGGTTTTGGTCTACTTTAATCATTTATTATTGACAGTGAAAACGTAACTAATATGTATGGTATGTATTAGGGAAAACCTTAACCGAGTCGCTGTCGAGAGAAAACTGATGTGATTTTATCTTAAAAAAAAGTCGGAATTTGTCAAAAATGATATAGAAATATGAAAATAAAGATATGTGGTATGATTGCCAATGAGACAAATGTTCAAATGAAGTGGATGTAAGCAATTATAGGCAGCAGTAAGGCCTTCAACAATGGGAAAACCCATACCGTATGGTCGGCTATAAAAGGCCCCAACATAAAAAATATGAAACAATTCAATTGAGAAATCTAACGGCCTAAGTTATAACAAAACAATTTACAAAAAACAAATATGACAGACATGAACCAACCGCAACCACTGAATTACAGGATCCTGACTTGGGACAGACACATAAAGAATGTGGCGGGGTTAAACATGTTTGTGAGCGCTCAACCCTCCCTCTAGCCTGGGACAGTGGTGTAACAGTACAACATAAGAACAAACTATAAAAATCAGTTGAAAAAGGCTTAACTTATCAGATGGATACAAATAGAAATACATCTAACAAAAACACAGAGTGGACGTGGTACTTATACATCCCCTCAACAAAAAGACACTAAGACAGATTGTAGTACCGTGAAAGTAAATATGTGTAATATTTAGTATGGTTTTAATTTACTGATAACAAAATCAATATTTATACCAATAAAAACAATATTCAAAGATTTAATTACAGTGTTGAATAGGTAAACTTTAAAATAAAATTGTTTAATGGATTGATAAGTTTACCCGGATCATATCCGGACTCGGTTTACAACATCACCGTAAAATTTAGGATGTGCTATACCGTTTGAAATAAGTTTTCTACAGGTACAGCCAAACTTGCAGACCAAATCTTTTTATCTATGGAGGAATTTAGTAAAGGTTTTAAGTAATTTGTGGTAACGAAATTCCTGACTTAATAATTTACCAATAATACATAGATTACGCTCATTGAAATCCAAAACGTCACTACAGACACGAGCATAGCAAACGAATTGGGATATATAAACACCGTAAGACGGTGCGAAAGGAACATCACCGTCCAAAAAGGGAAAATTAACAATAGGGAAAGAAAAATCATCCCTTTTGTCGTAAATTTTTGTGGAGAGTTTCTGGTGTAATACTGAAATATCTTAATCTAGGAAAGGACAGGTATTGCTGTTAATATTTGATTTATTTAAAGTAAGTTCCTTTGGGTAAATTTCAGCAGTATATTTAGAGAATTCTTGATTATTTAACGAGATAACGGTAAGTGTTGTTGATTTCATCAATTAAATGGAATTTAGACGGTTCTTTACTGCCTTTGGCCATAAACTGCGATTCATAACAGTTAAGGAATAGGTCTGCTATTAAAGGGGCACAACTGGTGCCCATAGGAATGCCTACTACCTGTCGATAAACTTTATTGCCGAAACGTATATAAATGTTGTCAAGGAGAAAACTTAGTGCTTTAAAAAACCCTTCACGGAAATAAAAACTTAAAACTTAACAAATCTTTGATGATATGAACTAGGTTTGCTGTCTCAATATTGATGTTTATCCCACATTTCCTTTTACTCATAAACAAATAGATTGTAAAAAAGAAATTAGAGCTATTTTTTTTTATTAATGCTAAACAGATCGAAAAGACGAACATCGCAAAAAATAAAACTTGAATTGTGATAAATGATACTGAAGCAATGTTCTGCTTCAACACCTACACCAATCGCGTGAGATCTCGTAAACACCTACACCAATCGCATGAGATCTCGTATCATTGCCGCTTGTCAAAAATTCTCAATAACAGAAAACTAGTATGCTAAAAATATAAGATCTCGTTACAAAACAAATATATATACAACACACGCATGTAGTGTAATGGATAGCGGTAGTCTTACTATGTTTGGAAATTAAACGTTTATTTTACTGGGCTTAAAAAACAGTAAGTAACGCGAGGCTCGGTGAGTTTAAACTTCAAATCAATCCGTGAGATTCGTGTAACTTGACATATTTTTACAAGCTGCTTTCCATTCATTTTAGGTAATGTTTCTCACAATAGTCAAGCAGAAAATAATCAAAGATTCAAAAGACAAACATTTAGATATGCCATAGAAATATTTCTTGTAATAGATTATTCAGTTTTTAAATTGTAAGTATTTATGATAGTATATTAGGGAACAACCATTTAACTTCAAGGGGGAGGGGGGGGGGGGGTATGGGGGCGGTTATGATTTTCTCCTAAAAAAAATATTCTGATCCCCAATTTGATGAAAAAAATATTGTGGTCAAGAAGATGTCAAAAAAATATTCTGAATCCCATTTTCCCCATACCTTATAGTGTTAAATTTTGAAAAAAATAATTTGATTTATAGCGTCGAAAAAAACTTTTTAAAAAATGTTCGCGCAAAATGCTCCCTTAAAACTTAGTTTGCTATATATCTGTTAAATATATCATTGACAGACCTTCTTCTATATTCACTTAACGTACTTTTATTTATACGGTTATACAATTCTAGTATAGTTGTTCAATCATTGCGTCTGGTTTTTTTTTTTGGGGGGGGGGGGAGAATAGTTTCTTTTGTTTCTCTGCATTGTGCTGTTTCTTTTGGGTCTTGTACAAGATCGTATCTTTCCGTGCTGTTTTTGATGTTTTTGATGTTGCTGTATGAAATCTTCTTTATGAAGAATATATACCAAAATTAAACAACAGGAAATTTCTTTCTTAATTCTTTGGTATTAGGTGTTAATGGTAAATCTTTGATAGTTTACAATCAACATGAACCGTACAAGACAGAACACCACCGAAACATTGGCTACACGGAATGAAATCAATCAACATGAACCGTACAAGACATGTCATCACCGAAACATTGGCTACACGGAATTAAATCAATCAACATGAACCGTACAAGACAGGACACCACCGAAACATTGGCTACACGGAATTAAATCAATCAACATGAACCGTACAAGACAGGACACCACCGAAACATTGGCTACACGGAATTAAATCAATCAACATGAACCGTACAAGACAGGACACCACCGAAATATTGGATACACGGAATTAAATCAATCAACATGAACCGTACAAGACATGACACCACCGAAACATTGGCTACACGGAATTAAATCAATCAACATGAACCGTACAAGACATGACACCACCGAAACATTGGCTACACGGAATTAAATCAATCAACATGAACCGTACAAGACATGACACCACCGAAACATTGGCTACACGGAATTAAATCAATCAACATGAACCGTACAAGACATGACACCACCGAAACATTGGCTACACGGAATTAAATAAATCAACATGAACCGTACAAGACATGACACCACCGAAACAGTACACGGAATTAAATCAATCAACATGACCCGTACAAGACATATCACCACCGAAACATTACACGGAATTAAATCAATCAACATGAACCGTACAAGACATGTCACCACCGAAACATTACACGGAATTAAATAAATCAACATGAACCGTACAAGACATGTCACCACCGAAACAGTACACGGAATTAAATCAATCAACATGAACCGTACAAGACAGGACACCACCGAAACATTGGCTACACGGAATTAAATCAATCAACATGAACCGTACAAGACATGTCACCACCGAAACATTACACGGAATTAAATCAATCAATATGAACCGTACAAGACATGTCATCACCGAAACATTGGCTACTCGGAATTAAATCATATGACATACGTGCAACAGATAATATCAAAATCTAAAATAAGAAAAACCCTTAATATAAACATTATACTGTTGAATTGTATAGCTTATCATGAAGTTTTTTTTCAAATATTGATTTTCTTTTTCAGTTGGATGGACGAAAGTGGACAGAATAAAACACTTGCTATGGAAAGAATTAACACATATTATGCATTCATGATTAATGGGGTAAGATAATAAGCTAAAAAGACTCGGACAGCAACCATTTTCTAAGAAATCTGACGGAATGAAAGTGGTCTGAGATTAAACAAAATAATGCTCATTTCTAACACATTTTAGTACTTGGTTTTGCATCTTTTCCCCTGTGTTAGACAAAATTCATATTAAAATTGACTTTCAAGATAAATAAGGTTTTGCTATCCAAATGAAGAAGAATTTGAAAACGGGAATAAGCTTGATAACCAAACGGGACTTAACTTTAAAACGGAACGGTTATTATCTTTATAACCAAAAAGGGACTTACCTTCATAACGAATCGGGAATAAACTATATGCATGTAACCATATCGACACCTGCATTTAAGACCAAGAGGGATAGGGACTAAGCTTTAAAACTAAACGGGACTTAGATTTATAACCAAACGAGACTTAGCTTTATAACAAAAACTAGACTTAGCTTTATAACCAACGTGACTTAACTTTATACCCAAACAGGACATAGCTTTATAACCAAAACGTGACTTAACTTTATAAACAATCGGTACTTAGTTTATAACCAAATTTGGACTTTAAAAATCAAGGGGCAACTTTGATTCAGTTTGTGACCTTACATAAATTTTTACTTATATGTACGATGAGCGAGATGCAAAAAATTGTATTATTTGCTTAATAGATAAAATTACCAATAACAAAAACTAAATGAAAATAACTGCTTCTCGGAGTGAAGCATGGAAGAAAAATCGGAAGTTGTAGAAAAACAGACAACATCATGACAACAAAAGACAAACAGACAAACAACAGTCGAAAACATTACACAGAAAACACATGATTGAGAAACACGAACCTAACCTAAAACACCGGGGGGTAAATGAATTTAATGATATATCATATAATCTGCATATTTTTAATTAACTTTATCTTTTAGTGGTCGTCATATTTAAATAATCATTGATATTTCAGGTAGACATACGATTCAACAATTTACCAAACGCACCCTTTTCAATAGGATTAACATATATAGGTATCTATATCTCCGAGGTAAGTGCAACAAGGTTCATTTTGCATCCATTACACATGCCGCGAGTGTCCCATGAAAAAAATATGAAGCGTCTATCGATAAATACCTCTGGGGACAATCTTTTTAAATTAACTTGCTGTATAAAGTTAAAAGCTTTTCAGCCTTTTAATGAAAATTTTCCCGCAACTGTTGATGAACAAGATGAAGAATAGAGAAATAAGCGCCGTACCTTTGGTATATCGGTTATTTTCCAATATTTCATGGATATTATTTCATGTACATATTATTTCCTTTCCATGTCGAAATCACCGCAGCATGAAAATAAAACGACAGTATGATAAAGTTTTTTTAAGGTTGTTGGGTAGTGTTACTTTTTCTTCACATTTTCCCTTTTTGTTGTGATTGGGTTAATTTTTAGATATAAAATGCATTACCCTGGTTAAATCTTTGACCTTGAACAGGAACTGACAAAATTTCCCAGCATTCCAATAAATTGAGTGTGTATATTATTGGATCGATACCTATAATTATGTTAAGAAGCTAAAGTAATCTGTACATGTTCATTTGGCATAGTATCCGCCAAGACTCGACGTTAGCTGATGCACTTACAATGCATTTTACACCCAATACATTTAGATATAGGGTAGACTATCATTTTAACATCGGAAGATACCACAAGGACAATCAAAATCTTAAATCGAAGAAAACCCGACATTACCTTGACGAAAAACGACGAAAGACACAATGTCAGTCTACAAAACAATACAACATAGAAAACTAAAGACCAAGCAACATTGACCTCAACTTAATTCGATGGGATCTCAGTTGCCTAAGACAGATAAGCTGATCCTTGCTCAACATGCGGCACCTGTAGTGTTGCTCATAGAACGTGCAGTTTTGATAAACTCGTTTCCATTAATTCTAGTCGATTATCCCAGTGTGTCACATCTTATACATGTATTGTGCATTGTTACGGTTTTTCCCAGAACATTTCGCTTGTTCTACTACTTCAAGATTTTAACTTAAGTTAATTATAATATGACGTCTTAATGACGATAAATTTTCACTTTTGTTCTCGTTCTAGGAACAACAAAATTATTTAGTTTGTAAAATTATTTCCGTACTCCATGTATACCTTACAACACAATTATTTTTATTTACCTGTGTACGTTATTTTATTTGGCGGCATTTTGTCAAAGGTTATGGTTGTCTTTCTGATATTGTTTTAAATCTAACCCCTTGTTTTATCAATTTTGTATTTACATTGTGCCATAGATCAAATTTATTCGTTCAGTGTATGTTCACTTGTTTTTGTTAATATGTCTTTTGATTGAGTTAAGCCATTTCAATTGATATTTTATAGTATGTCTTTCTGTGTTGTGATGTTACACTATTGTTTCAGGTAGGGTGAAGGTTGGCGCCTATTAAAGCGTGTAAACCCGCTGATTGCACCTGTTCTAAGTCAGGAACTTGGTGTTCAGTGGTTGTCGTTTGTTGATGTGGTTCATAAGTGTTTCTCGTTTCTCGTTTTTTATATAGATTAGACCGTTGGTTTTCCTGTTTGAATGGTTTTACACTAGTCATTTTTGGGACCCTGTATAGGTTGCTGTTCGATGTGAGCCTAGGCTCCGTGCTGAAGGCCGTAACTTTGACCTATAATGGTTTACTTTTACAAATTGTAACTTGGATGGAGAGTTGTCTCATTGGCACTCATACCACATCTTCTCATATCTTTTAAAGCGGACAAGACTTGACGTGAAAACGAAAAGAAAGCAGATATTATAATTGAATTCTATTCTTTAACCTTTTGTGTTAAGTCTAATGATTAAAAAGAAAGGTTCCAATAATATGCTTTAAATGACAGGTCACACATTTAAGAAAGCATTGTGTTCGTTTTCGACGAATGAGTTTTATTATCTCTTTGGTGTCGATCTTTTCCCCTCTATTTATGAGTATACATAATACACAAAAAGGATGACAAGGACTTAAAATATCAAACATTACAATAACACGTCAAAAAGAGGCGAAGGATACCAAAGTGACATTCAAACTCACAAGTCGACAGTACACAAAAACACAACATAGACAACCAAAGACTAAGCAACACGAACCCCACCAAAACTGGGGGTGATCTCAGGTGCTCCGAAAAGGTAAGCAGATCCTGCTCCACATTTGACACCTGTCAACACTCGACTCTTTTGAGAACAAATATAGGCGTATAATCAAAGACAAGATACAACAAACAACATGTGCATATAGTCTAACTTTGTACAGGCAGAAAATGTACTGAATTTCCACCAGGTTTACATGAGAACAGATCTCCCCTTTTCCCTCTACAATGTTTTTTTTTAATTATTCATAAAATAAGCGTTAATAAGTTGCCTTTATTTATTACAAGACACCAAGTGATTCATACTGGACAGAAAACAGAAAGATAACACAGCCTTCAGGTGAAGATAGAATAGAGCCAGATACAACTTTAGCAATATTCAGCAACTGGGTTCAACAGAATTCCCAATCATTGTCAAACCCAGATCATACCATGTTGTTCACAAAGTAAGTGAATTTAGGAAAAGATATATTGAATTTTTTTCTTTATTAGCAAGAAGTATCGGTATTAACATAAGTAAATGAACTACATGGTGACACAGAGAACGTTGATGTTCATTGTTTCTTCGGATGACACATGTTTGGACACAAATAACACGCATTTCTGTGAAAATATGTACACTGAAGTCAATGTTGAAAATACAAACAATACTGTAGCATTACAGTCATACAATATCTACGGCTCCGAGGTTATAAACCTATATATTGGGAAAAAGGTCGAATTGAAATGTTCCATTTAAACCATGCTGTTTAGAACATGTATGTTGATGAAGAATCGCCGGAGGAGGCAGTTACCGCCGTTTATATCAGGGATACAGATCTGGGGGTATAAAAAAACGCCTGCTAGTCTTTTTTTCCTTGGGGGGGGGGGGGGGGGTCCGGGGGGGGGGGGGGGCGGGGCAATCAAAATATGAATGCAAATATTAACAAATTGTCCTTTAAGTGCAGTTTTATCAGTAAAAGTTTAAAACCAATCAGAAGAGTAAAGTTATGTAAGACAAAGAAGCCAAAGGTTTCTAAAAAGAGCAGCCATAAACGTAAAATGTCAACTTTTTACTTAAAAGTGTAAAGAAACCTTATTCCTAGTCAAATATTTTCTAAGTAACTCGCGGGCTGAATGACAATATTAAATGCGACATCATGTCACAAGTCTAGTACTATTTAGTGTTGTACAGTACGAATCAAAAATATGTTGTGATCCCGAGTATATCTAAAGACCGATATATACCTTGGATGGGATTGCTCTTCTGTAGAATATGTCGTCTGTATAGCCATTTAGTTCATTACCGGAAGAGAGGGATTTCTGGGTAGTTCTTCGGACATCTCTAGATGGTCTGTCTGATGACCTAAAACTAACCCTATGAACACTACACTCCCCCCAGTTTTATTAATAAGGCCCTCTCTACTGAGGTGGGCCCTGTGAATTTTGCCAAAAATTAACAAAATACGGAAATCATACCAAATTTAGAGAAAATAAGCATCAATTTATAATAAACAGTATACACCCTATCCCCTAACAATTTTTAAAAAGTATACAACCTATCCCCCAACCAGACCCTTTGTATCCATGGGTCTACTGATACACTAAAATTTAGTGCAATGGGTTCCCAACAAATTGGGAACCCAGACAACTGTAAATTGTTCTTCTCTGGATCGTATGCCACCTCTTCCCTGTCTTTATACAAACTAAGACCGGGCCACTTAGTGGCTGCATGTCCTCTTTATAGTTGGACCCAGTAGGTTGTGCTGATCCATTCTCCATCGTGAAGAGTTTGATCTCATTTTTCCTCACTTGCACTGTATTTATACCTTTGTTAAGGTAGGGAATTCCAGGATCCCACTGTCTTCTGTTGGGACCTGATCTAACTGTGACATTGCTCACACAAAAGACTGGTGTCCCACTGTCTACTTGTGGCGGCTGCAGATTAAAATAGCTAGTGCCCACATTATCTGCTTTAAAAAGTGACCACAAACTCAACCTTGGGTTTTCTGGATTAACGGATGCAGATAATAAGTCCTTGTCACATAAAGATTCTATACTAATGACTGTTCCTTTGTTGATTGGACTGTTGTTTTTAGTTGTGGCCTTTTTGTTAATTGCTCCCGTGGAGGACCCTGTAGCCTTTCTGTCAATTTCTCCAGTTGAGGAAGGGTCCACAAAAGTGATGGGTGTGCGACCTTTTTCAGTATTGTCAGTCATTCTGCCGTCAACTAAAGGAGTAGGACATGTCGAACCCTTATATTGCGGGCAAACTGTGACTATCTTCTCATCACTGGCTCTTTCTACCAAAGTGGTATCTGCCTCATCATCTGAGGTGGAGTCCCAACTTTCTTGGGTCTCCTCACATTTGCGAAAGTTGTCTCTGTTGTGGCAGCACATGTGAATGCTACTGCTATTCTCAATTGCCAAGATAGCTCCTTTCGGTTCCCTCCTAATATTGGCTACTGGACCCTCCTTATCCACTGTGAGCATTGCTGAATCAACTAAGTTGCCTTGGGGCCCCTCACATGTCTCTACTAATGGTATGGATGGGGTATCCATCATCAAGGAATACCCCTGGTTGGCCCTTATTTTACAAAGACCACTGTCTGTGTCCTGTATTAAAGTGAACCTCCTGTCCACATCATCCTCAATCAGTTTATGAATATCAGGTATGGAGTACCCGGCAAAGCCTGGGTCCCTTTTAAGGATTTCCTCCACCAACAAATACCCACCTGGGAGAAGGATGTGGTCCAACTCCAGCGCACCATGCCTCAATATGTTTGCAAGACATTTTAATAAGTAGCAGTCCAATTTGCCTGAAAGAGCTGCATCCCTGTCAGAATTGGAGCACTGCTCTGACTCAATCTCTGCTCTAACCCTCACCGACACACTGGGTTCTCTGTTCCCCTCTCTGTCCCTGGCACCTACCCCTGGGCCCACCATAGCCATCTCCGCTACTCTGCCTTGGGGTACAGACTCAACTACTGAGAGGCCTAACTTCATTTGCGGGGACACACTCCGGCCTCCTGAGTAGTCCCGTTTAAGTTTAATGGTCCTGTTGCAGTTCTGCTTAACTGATTTATCAAGGCAACAGTTTTATCCCTCCCCTGTAAATCCAGACAGTCTCTCCCAACATGTCCAGGCCTCAAACAGTGGTAGCACACTCCCTCCAATAGAGGCCCTCTATCAGTGGAGGGACTCCCTGAGACGGACTTACCTCCAAAGTTTGGGCATTCCATTTTGAAATGGCCCCTCTCCCCACAGTGGTGGCAACTTTCTGTCCCTGTCTGTCTGCCAGGTGAACAGCTTCCTGCCATGGGGCTTGTGAGGAGTTGCTTGAATTGGTCCATCATGTCGTCTAATTTTTCATGGACTTGATCAAGTTTGTTTTCAAACTTCTTATCGGACTTTTCTAACTCCACTTTCCATGTACTGACTGGAGCCCTCTAAAGGGCCATGGTAGCCCTTTCAGGGGACCCCTGATACTCATGGAAGGCCTCAGGGTGGTCTTCATACTGCCCATCAGTTACCTGCCTAACTTCACGCCGATTTGGCTTGCCATATATTGCCTGGGTGTTATGTTGGAATAGCCGTATTTTATCTATGGCCTCCTCAATACTTTGGGGCTGAAGGTTAGAGACTTGCACCCCCAACTGTTTGTTTTCAATACCCTGGCACAGCCGTGTTATGGCTTGCTCGTACATGTAATCGTCAGGAAGGTTTCTAAATGCCCTGGTCGCTAAGGACAACACCCGATCAGCCCAGTCCTCAACAGACTCCTCAGGGGCTTGCCGGGCATTGTTAAACTGGACCCGGGCAGTCTCGGGGAGCGCCTTGAAACCAAAACGCTTGCGTAGCTTCTCCACAAGCTCCCTATAACTGACCTCCTGGTCTCTTTCTGTTATGAGGGCATAATACTCACTGGCTTTTCCCTCAAGACGCCAGCAAAGTTGGTCCTTGCATTCTTGTGGACCCCATTCACAAACCTCCGCATACCTTGCAAATTTTGTGAAAAAGGCCTGCCAGTTGCCCTTCCCGTCATACTTAATATTTTTTGGGGCATTGGTAACTTTAGAGACGCCACCTGAATTTCCTTGTGCCCCACCTCTGCTGTCGGGTCCCCTTGTGTTTTCCCTAGGCCTATCCTCAATATATGGTACTTGGTAGGCCTGTTGCCCATAGCTCCCCCCTGCGGTGACCCCTTGAATATACTGGTTCTGGGGTTGCCTATCCCCATAGGCACGGGATGGGGTCTGCCTTTTGTCCTCACCCCTATTGTCTTGCCTCTCTCCATAGATTTGTGATGGGGCCTGCCTTGTGTCTTCCCCCTAATTGTCTTGCCACTTGCCATACCTACTGCGGGGTGTCTCATACTGTACCCCACCAGTGTGAGCTGGTTGATTACAGGGTGCTGACCCCTGACCTGCATAGTTGCTTATGTGACCCATGGGGTATGAAGGTATTTCCCCATAGGTCGGTTTATTTTTGTCCCACGCACTGTCTTTACCTGGCAAATACGGCTTGTTCCTAATAATACCTCTGTGGTGAGGGGGATAACCCTTTTTTGGGTCACCAATATGGTGACTCCACTCTTTTTTCTGCAACTGTTCCCTGTAGCCCCCGTCCCAATTCCCTGTGGGTTCGGGTCTAGCTTTAGCATCCCCGGGATATGGACTATATTCAAGGAAGGCAGAGTCCATCTGGCTGGGCCCTTCCGAGGGCCCTGGACTTTGCCCCTGGTGCCATGCTTCTTGCCGAAATGCAGATTTGCCTTGTACTTGGGATGGTGTTCCCTGTGGGGCAATGTGTCCCCAGTCTATGAGAGTGTTTTCCCTGTCTAACGCCTCACCATGCCTGCCTTGGGGCTGAGGTGGTGGCTCAATATTTTGGCCACCTCCATTTGGGCTGAAGTCCAGCCTGGATAAGAGGCCCCTTGTTACTCGTAGGTGGGAGATTGTGGCCAAGTCTGACTCGGTCACAAAGCCCCTGCTCTCCCTAATGTCCATTATTTGCTCCCCAGTTTTTATGCCTATACCTGGGAGCTGGAGTAACTCTTGAAAGCTACAAGTGTTTAGGTTTACAACCGACATTTGTAACTGTAAAAAATTAACACTGATTTTCAACAAAGTTTATTTATTTATCAATAAACAACAACAACCAACACTTTTAATAATACAGATGTTTTTATTTTATTTTATTTTATTGAATAACAAATACTTCCGCTTTGGGTAACCCGTCCTTCTGGTCTGCGGTTAGTAGCGGAAGCGAACAGAACAATAATACGACTGGTAACCCGCCCTTCTGGTCTGAAGTTATCAGAGGTAAACAGAACAATAACAACACGACTGGTTCCCCGTTCCTCCCAGGTCACGTGATCCAAGTCGTCTTGAAAATACGAAAAAACAACAAATACTCAATACTACACAAAAAAAAGGGGTTCTACCGCGCTGCAAAACCCCTGTTATGTTATGTAATATTCTCTACCAGAGTATTACACAACATAAAACGATCGGCAAAGGTTTCCCCCGAATCCTTTTCCGCGGGAAACACTGTTGAAGCGAACGTCGCCGCAAATCACAAAACGAGCTCTTAATTGCAATGCACCACGCAAATAAGTGCTCGCAGTGCCAATGTTGTGATCCCGAGTATATCTAAAGACCGATATATACCTTGGATGGTCGTTCCTGCAGTCAGGAACGGCCGATTGCTCTTCTGTAGAATATGTCGTCTGTATAGCCATTTAGTTCATTACCGGAAGAGAGGGATTTCTGGGTAGTTCTTCGGACATCTCTAGATGGTCTGTCTGATGACCTAAAACTAACCCTATGAATACTACAAATATAAAAAATAAGAAGTGGTATAATTGCCAACGAGACAACTCTCCACAAGAGACCAAAAATATATAAAAAGTATAGATAATTACACAAAATTAGTATAATTAATGTCATATATACTTATTAGGTACCAGCTTGTGCGAGGTGGTTCAACCAGTGCCAGTGGTAAGTATTTGATAGCCTTTCAAAACATACCAATACTATGATGGAGGTAAACATGCATGACCCTTTTACATAGATTGTAATACGATTTAAAAAAAAACAGAGCAATTACAACAAAAGTATATTTGTTTAACATTAAAATGTTGCATATGACATCCAATGTAAAAATATGTGTTTGGCAAGGCAGTTCATGTCACTGAATGCTAAGTTACCAAAACATTATGTTATAAAGTATGGAACTGCATATTGATTTTACTGTACAGTAGTTTTAAAAAATACTCTAGTGTTCTTTTCAGATAGAAAAATATTAATTTATTCTCCACTTATGACGTCACAGCTACCTCTTTCTACCTATCGATATTATAAGTGTTCGAAAAACGTGGTCTTAAAATATGCTTCATCGATAATATTTTTAAAACATATTTTCTGAAGGGGGTATAATTTTTTATATATATATAGTCTAGCGCGTCGGGCATAGTGCAAGGCGATTTGGTGACACGATATCTCATTAGCATGAGTTCGAATCCCGGCCAGGGAAGAGCAAAAAATTTGCTTCCGCAAATTTACAGATCTAACATTGTTGGGCTGTTATTTAAACGAATTATATATATATATAAACAAGTCTAAATTGAAAACAACGTTCAAACCTATGATTGCGTTGGATAAAAACCGCAATTTTTATACGTGTGCATGCAAAACAAATTTCTTGGTAGAGGGGTCTAAATACAGCACAAACAACATTTTCCAAAAGACCAAATGAGTGAAAAAGTATATTTTAACAAAACGCATTTAACTAACAGGTCGAACAACAAATGTTCTTAAACCCTGCCGACTGCCATTGGCGATTGCCAAATAAACGGATCACCAGGTGTAATAAATGGATCTTATTTATAAATTTATACCAAACAGTAAACAATAAACTTGCGGCAAAGATGGTATAACGCAAACAAAAGGTGCAAAGATTTTTGTACACCATATCCGGATTTCGACAATTAATGTCTCTTCAGTGGTGTTAGGAATCGAAACGGTATTTGGAAGTCCATATAATTTACCTAAATTTAGGATAGACTCTTGAATTTTGAGGAGTCAAAATAGGATGAACGGATCATATAAACCCGAAGGCAAATCTATTCAAGCCCAAACGAAAAAATATAAACAAGACTAAATTGAAAACAACATTCAAACCTATGATTGCGGTGGATAAAAACCGCAATTTTTATACGTGTGCAAGCAAAAAAAATTTCTTGTTAGAGGGGTCTAAATACAGCATATATATGATTTTAAGATTTTTGCTTTATATACATTGTAAAAAGTAAAAGAACAAAAATACCGAACTCCAAAGAAAATTCAAAACGGAAAGATCCTTATCAAATGGCAAAATCAAAATCTCAAACACATCAAACGAATGGAAAACAACTGCATGTATCTTGTATGTTATTCCTATTTTGGTGCATGGTGTTGTCCATTTAGTCAATCTTGCTTCATCTAAATTATAGGAGTTGCCTATCTTGGTGCAATGTGTTCTCCGTTGAGTCAGTCTCTCGTACACGACAATTTCAATTTCATATCACAAACTGTGGCAGCTCATGAATTAGGACATAGGTAAGTACAAATGTAAATGATAACCAAAAATAACATCGAAGAGTAATTGTATATGCAAATAAATCCATACCTACCCTATTAAACAACTCATACCATCCAGAGAACACCAAAATTTTCAGTAAGAATGAATTCTGCTTGTTCATCTCCCTCACTAGATCTGGCTTTATGGCTCTCATGGCGGGTGATGCGTGTATAACAGGAGACGCTTAACAATGGTAAACTACTATTGCTTCAATGTATTTTTTTGATTGCATCCTTCGTATTTCCTTTTAAATGGACCTTGTATAGTGTCTTCCACTTGATATTTATAGATCCCTCTTTTTGTTTATTTGTTCTCGTCATGAGCATGCATGAAATATCTACAAATTATCTTTTTAGTCTTGGTGCTATTCATGATGGGGATCAAAATGTGTGCAATAAAAGTGCGGCATTCATCATGTCCGCTACCGGAAGTGCTAAGCTTGGTGATACAGCCAGACATCCTTGGATTTTCTCATCCTGTTCTGTTGCAGAGATACAGACAGTGATAGATAAACTCAATAGGTAAGATAGAGGAATCACGTGATCGAATGTAGACATAGTAGAAGACCCAGCATCTAAATATTATCTTGATATAATTATCTGTTTTGCATTGATAGAAATTTGTTTGCAAGGAATGTAAGCAATTGAACACTATGATTAAATGTTTGTATTTTCCAAAAAATACCTGTACAATCGTTCGTTTCTGTACCTATGATAAAGTTTTTTTTATCGCGATGTTTTGATGCATATGTATAAGTAAATGTAGTAAACAAGGTTAAACCCACAGCTTTCATTTGCATAGTGCCTGTTCAAAGCCAAAATAAAAAATTTCAGTCAATTACCAGTTCTCCAAATAATTCAACAATTTTTTTGTATTGAATTTGCTTTCCATGCTAGACATTCTTATATTAAAATAAGGAGATATGGTATGATTGCCAATGAGACAACTATTCACCAAAGTTCAAATGAAGTGGATGAAAGCAATTATAGGCAACCGTACGGCCTTCAAAAATGGGAAAAACCCATACCGTGTAGTCGGTTATAAAAGGCCCCAACAGGAAAAATATGCAAAAATTCACTCGAAAAAACTAACGGCCTAATTTAAAACAAAGCAATTTACGAAAAACAAATATGACAGACATGAACCAACAACAACCACTGAACTACATGCTCCTTATATCTTTTAAATGCAGACTCAGGAAATTAGATTTTTTACGAGTATGAACGGATTACTTATACAAAATAAAAAACTTCCAACGCAAGTAAATGCTTCATTTGAGGATGTTGAAAATTTATTGCCAGTTGAGCGCTCACCCTAACATTGGAAAGTTGATAGTATCAAATGTTAAATGTCAAATGGAGGAAACAAAACAAATGTAAAGTATAGTTGGTATAAATGCTCAAAGTAAATTTGACCTACTGAACATGCCAAAGTGTTTGATATAATTATCGACTTAACATTGACTTCAAATGCTAGTAGTCGTTTACATGGTCGATGAATATCCCTGTGACAATTAGCCTTTAATTGAATGTTTGAGGTATTTTCTGGTATAATTTTTAAAAAAATATTTACTTTGCGAAACTGTACCTTATATCGTACTTGTAAAATATATAATAAAAACGAAGGTTCCCAGTGTTAATATAATTTGGTTCTTGCAGAATAAACACGTTAATTTTATTTAATATATCGAGCTTCTATTTGATATTGTATTCCACAGAGAACAGTAAATATTCTAGACAAACAATAACTGTTTTACCTGTTTGCAAACCACATAATATCTAAATCAATATTGCCCAACATTGTGCAAATGTTATACTGTGGATTCATTTATTTTCGTGGGTACCAATTTTCGTGGTTTGAGGAAAACTTGCATATTCGTGGATATTCAATTTCGTGGTTTTGACAAAGTCTGCGTACATTCCTTAAGAAAATTTGTAATTCGTTGAACATTTAAATTCGTGGTTCCCCTATACCAACGAAATCCACCAAAATTGGTATCCAACGAATATTAATGAATCCACAGTATGATTATTTATGACACCCATATATGTTGCATATACTCAAATACCTATATCAATCCTTATGCTAACTTAATTTTTGTTAAATGACAAACAGAACTCATACACTTGTTTTTTCTAATGTTGGCTTGCTAGATTTCACTTAAGAAAAAGGTAAAATAACAAAAGAATTGAATGCTTTTTTTTTGTAAATTAATTAGTGCCTAAAGGCGTTGACAGAATCACATTTTGGAAACGCTTCTACTAAAAATGTTTGTTTCATCAACAATTTTACAACCTTATAAAATGACCAAAAGAAGCATGCATCAAAATAATGTGCTACAACTATGAAACTAAGAAGTATATCAAGCTTTTTGTTTGTTTTCCCTATGCATTGTAGTGAAGTACTAGTACGTACAATCAGGAATATTGCAGTTTATTAAGAAATAAAATTTGATTATTATCAGCCAATTAGAACACAAATATAATGTCATTGTATAATGATAATATATGTAAAGAAGAGGCGAAAGATACCAAAGAGACGTTCAAACTCATAAATCGAAAATAAACTAACAAAGCCATGGCTAAAAAAGAAAAATACAAACAGACAAACAACAGTACACATAAAAAAACAACATAGAAAACTAGAGGCTTAGCAACACAAACTCCACCAAAAACTGGGGGTGATCTCAGGTTCACTAGAAGGGTAAGCAGATCCTTTAACAAACTAATAATGTGTATAAAAACGCTTTTCACTACTTTGTCACTTTTTTGTTTTAGTCAAGGACCAAATTGTTTGCTGTCCAGTACATCACAGTCAATTATAGATATCTACCAGTACATGTCAGACCCTATAGGACAAGAGTTTACCATAGATAAACAATGTCAGCTGATATTTGGGTCAATGTCTTATGCTAGCAGGGTACAATTTAATATCTAAATTATCTTTAAAGTTAAAAACAATATTTTTCATTGTACAGAATTAGCCATTTTAAAAAAGGTCCTTTAATATATTGGAGAACCATCCAAGTCTTACTTTAAGAAGAAAAGCAGAGAGAATATAAACTAATAAAGACATAAACAAAGCCATTGTCCGTCGGATGGGGACGTTAAATCTGAGGTTGTTTGGCAAAATTATTTCATACTGGTTTTGGCTTTGATATATTTTTCTGTGGTTTATAATTTAGCTATTTGGTAATTTGGTTTTCATGGTCTAACTTTTGTCTTAAATCTGTTAGTATTCATACTTTGATGAGTTGAGCCTTTTTTCAATTAATGTTTTATAGTGTGTCCTTTTATGTCATATTGTTACACCACTGTCTCAGGTTAGGGTGAAGGTTGGCGCCAGATAAAACGTTCAAACCCGCTGCATTTGTTTGTATCTGTCCTAAGTCAGGAACCTGATGTTCTGTGGTTGTCGTTTGTTGATGTGTGTCTCGTTTCTCGTTTTTTATATAGATTAGGCCACTGGTTTTCCTGTTTCAATGGTTTTACACTAGTCTTTTGTGGGGCCCTTTATAGCTTGCTGTTCGATGTGAGCCAAAGCTCCGTGTTGAAGGCCGTACTTTGACCTATAATGGTTTACGTTTACAAATTGTGACTTGGATGGAGAGTTGTCTCATTGGCACTCATACCACATTATATCTATTAACATGCAACAACTCATCAACGATTCCAGGGTGTTAAGTTAAAACATTAGACGCGTGTTGCGTATACATACTGGGGATGAACTCATGTGCTCCGGATTGGTATGTTTATCCTGTTACAAATGTGGGACAAGTAGTGCATGGTAAGTACACTGTGGTCTTTTGACTCATTTGGTGATATCACAATTGAGGAAATGAGGACCGGAAAATGGCTCCGACACGGATATTCCATATGATCAACCACCTTATAATGGTGCCCGTAAATTTTTAGAAGCGGTGACTTCGACCGTACCACTATGAATTTGTGCTTCAACAGCTTCATTGTCCTTGTAATCAACAACTGCAAAAACGGGAAACCATAGGAGGAAACAAAGTTCTTGGATATCATTTCAACTTGGAGAAGTATTTCTTCAGTAGACAAATCTACAAATATCTACACATAACGGAGATCGGATTTGAATGTAATCAACTTGTCAATTGCTCCGGATGCGGGATGTTCTCACTGTGTTGAAGACCCATTGGTGGCCTTGGGCTGTTTTCTCTTCTTTGGTCGGTTTGTCCCTTTTACACATTCTCCGTTTTCATTCTTAATTTTATGCCTCGATTTGTTTCCTCCTAATGAATTAACCAGATTTCAACATTGGAAACTGCTGTTGCCATGATTTTTATCAGGTAGAAATTAGAAAACATTAAACACTTTAGAAATAAACTTATATTATACAGAAACATTTCATTGCAGGTAATATACAGTAACAACTTCGACAATATTTGTACAGGATTATGGTGCTCAACAGGAGGATCCAGTTTATCTCTAGTAATACCGGCCGATGGAACAACATGCGGAAACAACATGGTAATTTTAATCATGCGTATTACTAGAAAAATATTATACCAAAAAAAATTGCTGATAATTATTAATATTTCATGTTAATTATTTTGAATTACGTGTATCTTCACTTCATTTCTTATTACATGCTATTCTAATTGAGATCAACACCGGTTTTTGTTTAAAGTGGGGTTCGTATGGCTCAAGTTTTAGCTGTCTTTGGTGTTTAAGTTCTCATATGGTCAAAATATTCAAAAGATATGACATAAAATAAAATACACACAAACACACACACTAATACACACACAAACACACATACATAAATAAAGATGTGTAGTAAATTATTTCAATCATTTTCTATTCGACAGTGGTGTGCTGGTTATTCTTGTGTAAATGATCTGTCAGCTCCATCCACTACCGGTAAGATAAAAGTTTAGTGTGTAATATAGGGTAAATTTTGATATGTCTAAAATAATAAACGATTTTGATATTATGTGTTTAATCAGTTGATTCAAATTGTGAATTGAATTTACTTGTCTTTTATAGCATTTCTTGAGGAATGTATTGATTGATTAAATTATTTATCCATAATTGTACTTGTTTTTCAATGAATGCTTTTGAAAAAAAATTTTAAATTTGGAAATTTTTGTCAATCCAGAACGATGTACATTTGTTTAAACAGCTGTTTAGACTTTAAACTTGGATCAAATTGTTTGGATTCTTTTTATTCTCAAAAAATAGTTGTGAGCCTGTTTCTAAATGCATAATCAGTCTATTGAATGCGTATGATTCTGATTCGTATTTCATGAAACATTGTAGAAAGTTGTATGTTTGGCGATACTCCATTCACTCCAATCAATGGGGAATCATGTGACTCCTTTATTAAGAGTCAACCTTGGCAGTGCTATGTCGATAATGTTTTCAACAGTTGCTGTCAATCCTGTCTTAACCACAGAACCAATGATAATGGTAAGCTTTCAAGTCGCCAAACTTTTTAATTCATAAGAAGATGGGATATAATTTGTAAAGAGCAATCTATCCCCCATCGAATAGTTAAGACGGGTGTACACAACTACAGGTCACTGTAGAGCCTTTAATGATGAAAAACCCTTGACGTTTTGTAAATATCCAAGGGATAGCAAAACAAAGTGAACAATAAAAAGGGACATCCTACGTCCGGAATAATCAAATATCATTACAGCGGTTAACCGATGTTCAAATCTCATATATCGATTAAGAAGACACAAATCAAGGTAGCTAACAATAACTGGGGAAATTGCATGAACCCCTAAAGGTGTTAGACCAATTGTGACAACAGGGTAATACTCTCATGAAATGCGTTTATTGTCCGTAATACGAATCCACGCTCAGTCAAAATGTCACAATCAGAAATAGGACACAATCGATAAATTTACAGACCTGGTGTCGATCAATTTGTAAAATTTTGTAGTGTCGAATTCAGTCGTTCTTATTAACGCATGAAAACGGATTGAAATATCCTCTGTGAGCATAGAAACTGAGACATTATTCAATAGAGATAAAATCGTTTAAAATATTCATCAAGTTTCCGTAGGCTTATTGTTATACTAGACAATCACTCAGTTTATTTCATTGTCCAAGGAAAGTATAAGTTTCTTTACAAGTGAGGATAAATGGCATGCGTCCAAAGCGTTTTTCTGCATTTACCATTGTTATAAACTCTCAGATATAAACATTTAAAAGCCAAGGATGTCTAAATACGTAGATATAAGTCGAAATATATTTCAGAATTGTTTCTATTTAGAAATTTCTTTGATATTTTTACTTTATAGAATGCATTTTTGGTGATATTGGTGACTGTTCGTCACTAAGTCCAAGGGACTGCTATACTACTGCCTTAGAAAACCAATGCTGTCGATTCTGTCAGCAACATAGAACTAACATCCATGGTAATTATTCTACAATGCATTATTTCAATAAACTTAATTGATACTATTTGTAACATTTTAACAATACACAATGTAAAAAGTTTTTGTTTGACTTGATAGCATAAAGACAAAACAAAAATTATTATAATTTCTATGACTAGTTTCCTTCACCAGCATAGACCTTATTTTCAAAATTCATTGACTGGTTCTTTATCAATTGGCGCTGGAAATAATGATTCACATGTCTCTACAAAACATATGTTTATATTAATTACGGTAATCTAATGTCAAAAGTTCGTTATAATCATGGTTCTGAATCGATGAGCTATAACGCGGTTCTTTGGTCATTGGCCTGCTTGATATTCTCACACTGTTACAAGTAGTAAATAAAGTAATGCTTACCAAAATTTATCACATGAACGTACCCTGATGAAAATGAATAAAGTATGTTACAACTTAGTAAAGTTGGAGAAAGCTTGTATCTGAATAGAACGTCTCCACATAAATTTAACATGTCATTTTAAAGTTGTGTCCAACATTCCTATAATTTTCTGATCTTTCTTTTTTTCGTTTCCTTTCAATTATATTTGGTCTTAAGGTTGTGTTTTTACATACCCAGCTTTCAAATATAGGTTTCAGCGTTCATGATTAAGGTACAGCCAGAAAAACCTCTCCGATCGCACGGAGCTCATAGTGTTATTTTCTTTAATGATTATTTGCCGTTTTAGAATCCTAGGTATTCTGTGTAATATTTTCAAAGTCGTGCATCAATTCTTTTGGTTTGTGGTGAAGAGTCTATAAATTATATAGAAATTCAATTGTCCTGTAGATATTTTGAACTAACTCAGAAATGTCTTCCAAAAGGGAGGAAATCGAATAACTCTCATTATATTTATAAGATCTTAAAAGAACATTTTTACTGTCAAAGTTTTGAACCTAACCATTACTAAACGTTTTTGGGCAAGTTAGTTTATGTAAAGGTCTTTTAGTCTGGATAAACGTCCCATAATGTCATTTACCTAGAAAAGATATTTAAAAAATAAATGACAGTACGCTGTTGCAACCTTAAATTGTCAACAATGATACAAGCAGTTGCAAATTCTTGTTGGTTTTTTATCATTTATGTTACATTTTAAGAAAATATACGAAAACTAATTTGGGAGTACTTCAATTAAATAGGAAATCTACTAATTTAATGCTTATTAAAAGAAACTTTACGTATCACACGTTATTTTAATGCGTTTACAATCCGCCTCGGAATTTATATTTACTAGCATTTGCTCAATTGTAGACTGTAGATACGGCGACAAATCATCAGGTTGTATGGAAATGTTATGTCCATATTATGTTCATCCTGAATGGTGTTGTGAAACATGTCACAATCAAATGTTTCCAACAAGCTCTACAACAACAAATATAGGTCGGTTGCAGGTATTTCCTCGCACCCAAAAGACCATCAATGCACGCAAAACAACTTGAAAATTTTTTCGCAAAATTCGTAGACTATCATTTTGCTTTCATACTATTATTGTCATACATATATTCATGGCTTCAATGAAACCAGAAATAAATAAAGTGTTGTGATGCATTGTATAGCTTTTATTTAAACAGCCAATACTCTAACAGGGGCAAAATATATATCGTTTAAATCGTGCCCCTTATGTTAAGTAGAGTGCTTTTTATGCATTTAGTGTTCATAACTGCTCTTACATCTACAGAAATAAGTTACTTTTCAATGCGGTTTTTGGTTCAGATCATGCATCAAAGCTATTTATTTCTGGCTGAAATCTGTATTATATATTCTAGTGTCTTCAGGTTTCATATTATTTATAGTGCAAGTACTTTTAATAGTTTATTTCGTCTTACACAGCAGTTTATTTATTGGTTGTGATGGAAAAGGCAGCTACATTGGTTATCATTGCAATAATATGGCCTTCAATCATTTAAGTATTTCTAGAAATTCAATTTATGTAAAAAAGCATAACAAAAATACCGAACTCCAGGGTAAATTAAAAAAAAGGAGAAGCCCATAAAACTGAAAATATCAAACGTTATCATCCAACGGAACGAGTGAAAAACAACTGTAGTATTCCTTACTTGGTACATGCATTTTCCGGAGAAATGGTGGGTTAAACCTTGTTTTATAGCTAGCTTAACCTCCCAATTGCATGACAGTTGTAATAAAATGCACAAGTAATCAATCATATTGTATGAAATTAAACGTATGAAAACTAAATAAAGTTATCAAACTTATAATTTGGTAAAAAAGGCGCGTTTGTTTTGACATGAATTATCATTGATATGGTCATAATTATAAATTAACTGTTTAAAATTTTCGAAATACTAAGGAGTTTCTACTCCAGTAATAGATTACCTTAGCTGTTTTTGGCATAACTTGTGGGAATTTTGGGTCCTCAATGCTCTTTATGTTCGTACTTTGTTTGGCCTTTTTATTTTTTTTTATTGAAGCGTTACTGCGTACAAAATTTCAATCCTGGTATCTATTTATTCGTCAACCCAACGACTAGAAAGACCAATAAAAGCTGTATAGAGTGTTATAACATTAACGTTCCCAAGTTTTATTGCACTAGATGTGCATTTCGACAATTAATGTCTTTTCTGTGACGATCGAGACCAAAATAGTTGAAATCCTAAAACCTAATACAAACGTTTAATAGCTGATTAAACAATACAAACATGCTACATGTATCAGTAAAGCTAAACACGGAAAAGGAATCAGATCTTAATATTTCAAGTTCTTAATCATACCGAATCTATAAAATAATTAGAAACTGAAACAATCAAATAGCTGTCATCAACAACAAATTCTCCGAAAAATGAAGAACAAATAATTATAATATGACATAAGACAATCACTGAAGAGAACCTGATGGGACATTCAAATACATATATGGAGTGGTTTACAAGCTTTTTATTTTTTAGATTTCACCCTTTTTTCATCTGCAGCTCAAAGTACTTAACAAATGATTAGAAATAATGCCATTTTGTACTCCATCATTGGTTGCTTTACTTGATATATGTGCTTAAATGTAAATATGATAGACGTTGTTGACATTCTGAAATTAATTAAAAGTTTCTCATCGGTTGTTATCATGAATAATTAAAAGCCTTTTCAGAATGTTTAAAGGACTTTCTGCATTTTTATTTCGAAGTATGTTGATATTCACAATGAAAACATATTTTTTTACTTTGTACACATGAAATGTCTATCAAATCGAGTAAAAAGTAAAATCACAAAAATTCTGAACTCCGAGGGAAATTCAAAACGGAAAGTCCCTAATCAAATGGCAAAATCAAAAGCTCAAACACATCAAACAAATGGATAACATCTGTCATATTCCTGACTTGGTACAGGCATTTCCTTATGTAGAAAATGGTGGATTGAACCTGGTTTTATAGCTAGCTAAACCTCTCACTTGTATGGCAGTCGCATCAAATTTCATTGAATATTACTTTGTTTGACCGCCATATAGAATAGTTTATATATGTGTTATACTACTTTTAAGATTGTTTATATGGAGACCTATGGCAAGGATGTATGGAAAACCTATGCCCGTTTTATGTTAATCCTCAAGGTTGTTGTCATACATGTAGACAATATTTAGCAAATCGTAATGTAACGACAACAACTCCGGCTACAACTACAACAAAACCAACTACAATGACAACAACACCGACGACTACAACTTCAACTACCACAACACCGACGACAAAAATTTCGACCACCACAACACCGACGACTACAACTTCGACGACCACAACACCGACGACTACAACTTCGACCACCAAAACGCCGACGACTACATCTTCAACAACAACAACAACTCAGAAAACTACAGTTCCGAAAACAACTACAACAACTTCTACAACTACAACTCCGACAACAACAACACCAACGACATCCACTCCAACATCAACTAGTACAACAGTCCTAAAAACTACAACGTTGGCATCCTTTACTGAACCCACAACGAAATTTGCGACAACTTCAGAAAGCCTTTCACCTGCTTCTCTTGTATCCGATACCAAAGGTAAACACAAAGAAACTTCTACAAATCCTGTTCGTCTATCAAATAGATATAACATAGCAAGTCAATGTCGGAAAATATCAACTTTTTGTACGAGCTTAGAAAATGATTACCAAGCCTTGTGACAGTTATGTTCCGAAAACAAATAAGTTGATATTTCTGGTATATTTTTGGTATATGACATATCAGTCTTTATATCTTGAAAAGACATCATATTATTAAAGCAACTTATTTATCTGTAAACGATACAAAGTAATCTATGAGATACTAATAGTCTTGTTAAATATTTGTAATAGATTGGTGTGTTTCATTTGATATACGTGGATTGTTGTCTCGTTAGTAAATGTGGTCCGCATCCCCAAATAAGAAAACAAAATCGGTTTCTAAATTTCTATTATTGGTCTCACTTAATGGCTTTAGATGCACATTTAAGACACTCTATAAGTATTTAATTTGTCAAGAACAACGCAACTCTAGCTGCAGCAAAAGTAAGTGGTTATTGTAATATAGTCCGAACGTACAATTGAAATTTGCTGAAATTAGACAATTGAAGTCATTACTTTTCGGCACAACATACGTAATTTTGATATAGATAATTTTATGTTTTGAAATTTTATTTGTAATTCCCATATTCGCTATTATCATTCATGAGGTTCAAAAGGGATTTAACTTGTATATCATTGAATTACACTTTTGAAAACATTCGCAACAAGCTGTCTATCAATTTTAAGCTTGAGAATGTAATTTAAATTCGAAATATATCATTGGCTTGAGATTGCATAACAGTAGATTATGTTACATTTCTATTAATTATGAGATATTTGCTACTCTGTTTTAGAACTTGTTGTTTTCATGTATTGTAGTAGATTAGAAAATCTTTCAATAGAAATAATCATGTTATAAATAAACAAACTAGTTTAACGGACATCTTCTGGTATATACTTTGCTTTTACGGGTAAGATGAAAACCGATCAGGTTAAATCAACTACTCGGTTAATGTAAAATGGTATCTACATTTATAAATATATTTTGTAGACAAATATGTTATACCGGTCATTTCGGTTCTGGTCGGACTTTGTCTTTTACTGTGTATTGTTCTGGTACTAGATCAATATAGACGCAGAAATGGTGGACGACTACGCAGACAAAAGGTATGAATTTATGAATAAGAATATGTAAATGTACAATATATTCCTGATTTGAAACAATCATATTGACAGACACAGAAAGTATAATGTTTATTTTTTTTATCAGATGATGCAAGCTTTGAACAAAAAATATAACAAAAACACAGAGGTAAATTCAAAAAGGGGAAGTCTATTAAAACTGACAAAATCAAACGCTCGACTCTGTCAACCAAAGGAACGATTGAAAAACAACTTGTCATATTAACGACTTCGTACAGACATTTTTCGACGAAAATGGTAGGTTTAACCTGGTTTTATTGCTAGCTAAACCTCTCATCTGTATGACGATTGTTTATAGTTCCGTGTTATTGGCAACTCAAACAGACACAATAGGTTAATGAGAAAATAAATAAGATCTAGCAGCCAAAACTGTGTAAACATACATCACAGACATACAACGCAATTGACTTAGAAAATTAAATAACCATACAAATAAATCTAGCAAAGATGCCAACAAAATAATTGTTGTAATTGATAGTAAATTTGACAAAGACGCAAACAAAAAAGCTTTTGTAGTTGATAGCAAATTTGACAAAGACGTCAACAAGAAAGTTGTGTAGTTCATAGTACATACAGTATACACTTTCTCGATAAACAAAATGAAAACAACACTGTAAAAACCCCTTGCGTCCGAATCGCACATCTGGACCTACCTACAACAGGAACGCCCATAGCCAAAAAACCCGATAGCTGGGTGCATAAATAAGGAAGTGTAATGTGTAAGGCAAAACAACTCTTTCTCAATCAGAATAAATTAGCTTTCAGGACAAAACATCATAGAACCACCATAGTATATCTTGAGAGAAATTGATTTTTGATTATGCATTAATACTTTGTTGCCTTTTACTATTTAAATTCGCTTTCATATATATACACAGTTGCCTTGAGACGTGTGCAAAAATAATAAGAGACGGAAAGAACAAAAACACATTTTTGAAAACGAGTGTTTTTTTATATATAGTTTCTCCTAATGAATTCAGGGTAAGAAAATTAGTGTACTTCATTTTACAAAACAATTGTATTCATCCAAACAAAGGAAATTTCTTATCCTTTCTTATGCCGTGTAAGTGGTATTCATTTATATAAATGTACAGATCATGTTGGTCTTCCGCCATAATGGTGAGAGTTCGAGTCTTGCTCCTTCAAAAAGTAAAAACTACGAGATGCACTTTAACTATGTGAAATAATGTTTCAGTTACTCTCTGTAATTGGATGATTCATACAAAAGACTACTGTTTCCTCCAATAGATTATAACTGGAAATTATTCAAATGAGGAGAAAAATAACAACAAACCTTATATATCTTTTAATGATAATATTTACATGCCCAAAACATTTTATGAGTGGCAAACTGCTAAATTTTCCGGAAACATTTAAAAGAATTTTAGTATTCATTACTATTGAGACATGATGTATTTTGGCATCCATAATAATTAAAGAGCATACTTGCAAATTGTTATTATCAGAAGGTATATGAAATAAAAGCATGTGTCTAATGGGAATATTTCTGAGTTTATCAAATTCAAATAAGCAAACATGAATCATTAATCGTAAAAATTAAATACATGTTATACTATGTCAGATAGCAATTTATGATCAATATAGAAAATGTCTAACTTTTTATGCTTCGTCACGTTTATTTCATACAACTTCATAAAGTACATAAATATTCTACAGTATCAACATTACAATAACTAATGAACGTTTTCACCATCATTTCATTTGTATGAATTCGGAAACTAAACATTTGAGTCCAAACTGTCAGAGATTCCAAAGTGATATCAAATAGCCTAATATGCTTAATGTGTTAAGTTTAAATGTTAACTCTTGACACGATATTTGAATATGAGTAACCAGTTCTAAATCAATCATCAACCTTTGCTTTGAGATAAATAGGTATTCGAGGATACAAAGCAAAACTTCACTTCGTTGTTCTTATTTAGCAATGATTTGTTTCTGTCATTTCTAAGGCATAAAATATATTTTGGTAAGTAAAATCACTAACACGTTCTTTGTATTTCATGTCTTAAAATACTTTTTTAACACGTCTATTTGAGTTCAATTATCAAAATGTTATCATGATAAGCAGGCGGTATGCCTATAAAGTACATTTGTGCATTGCAAATGAGCATTATAAAAATAAGGAGAGGTGGTATGATTGCCAATGAGACAACTATCCACCAAAGTTCAAATGAAGTGGATGTAAGCAATTATAGGCACCCGTACGGCCTTCAACAATGACAAAAAAAATCCATACCATATAGTCGGCTATAAAAGGCCCCGACATGAAAAATATGAAACAATTCAATTGAGAAAACTAACGGCCTAATTAAATATTACATGTAGTTCATTTCCGGAAATGAAACTCATAGTATCATTCTCTGTTCAGTATAAGCATGTGTTACTGATAAAAAAAACAATAATGACAAAATTTAATGAACTATGTTTTGATCTAAAATGTTCGTGTTTTCTGCATGCAGTCAATTAGGTATGGCTTATGTATGTTTTGTAATATCCATTGCTGTGTAAAGAAATCTAATACAATCTGATTGTTCGTTTGAATGTTATTCAACTGTAATAATTGATTTCTGATATAAAATATTTGTTAAGATCCTTTAACTAAAAGTGAGTAGTTTTTAACCTACACACCACAAGAACATCCTTTGAAGTACAGTGCTAAAGGTTCGATTGTTCAGATATTCCGATGGTTGTAATTGATCTTCAAGAGAAGAACAACATTTATCAGGCCAATTTTGATAAATCTGGAGATAGCGGAATCCAAGGTGTTAACGAAGCAGAAATGTCAATCCAAGGAAGAGTTCATACGGTGTTTAAATCTAATTCCTTTTTTTCGATTGACTTATTCATAACAAAACTAAATGTTTCTATCAAACTAGCATTGGGATCTTTAATAATTGAAAGGATAGAAATGCAAGTAAATGTAGCCAATGTGATATCAATAACAATAATTCGATGAACAATCCGTAATATTGGTTACAAAAATAAACATGGAAATATGAGCTATATCACCCAGAAAACAAAACATTGGGCAACACGACAAAGGCTTAATTCATGGTTGTCTGGTGAAGGTGAGTGGTACCTGTTCCGCTGGTGCAACGGTCGTTTTCATCAAGCTATGTTGAATGAAATCTATAGATATAAGATTTATTTGTGAAAACAGTTTCCCGATTATTACGTTTTTACTGAGTGGGAATTCGAATGGCGGGTGGTACATGGAAAGCAGGAGACGGTTACATATTTTTACGTTTGGAGGACGTGTTTTTCAAGAAACAATCGGCATTCACATTGGAACCAACTGTGCTCCTCTTCTTGCCGACTTGTTCCATTATTCATATGAGGCTGACTTCATACAGGAACTTCTTAGAAGTTAGCAGTATCCTTTAATTTCACATTCCGCTATATAGATGATGTTCTCTCACTTAATATCATCTATCCCATCGAACTTGAGATAATGGATACAACAAATACAGTTAAGTCTGCCTCATATCTTGACTTACATCTAGAATTGACAATGAGATCACCCCCAGTTTTTGGTGGGGTTCGTGTTACTCAGTCTTTTGTTTTCTATGTTGTTTTGTGTACTGTTGTTTGTCTGTTTGTCTTTTCTTTTTTAGCCATGACGTTGTAAGTTTATTTTTCGACTTATGAGTTTGAATGTCCCTTTGGTATCCTTCGCCTTTCTTTTACCTGTCGATCACCCATTCTCGGTCCGTTTTGAGTTTATTCCCTTTGTTTCTGTTTGTTACCTTGATTTGTCTCTGCGTAACCGATTTACGAAACATCCATGAACTATTGTCGCTTTATTAGTCACGAAAAGGAAAATATTACCATATACACTTTTCATAAGGTCAACTTCTTCGTCCTGAACTTGCATGAAATATTTGCCACTGGACCTTAAGCAAAAAACAATCAATCAATCGAGGTCGACTAGGTCGTGGCGACAGTGTACTTTAAAAGTCAGGACAAGATCTGGTCTTGAACATCTAATACAGATATTTCTTTGTTACACAAGTGTTGCAAGCCTACAAGTGTCCGTGGCATTCTTTGCTTAAATAGCATTTGGATATATATATATATATATATATATGGCTTCAAATTTTCAACAAGTGGCTTGTTTTCTTTACATCTCGGTAATTGTTTTTTTACAAAATTTCATAATCAGTTTGCATACATTTCTGTAACCTTACTTCAATATTTTTATTCAAGTCCATGTAAACATATATAACAAGTAGGCATTGTCATGGTCACGATAGTTTAAGATAAACCAATACACCTTATCGCTATTTGTCCGCCATTGCTAGACATCATACAGGTTCCCGTAAAATTTTAACGTCAGAATAAAAAATGTCTGACGCCACAAACGAAAAGTGATTGTTATGTGACGTCAGTAGTTCAAGTGATCAAGCGTCGCAGATTCCCAAATATCGATAAGGTCTATTATAATCGAAAATAATCTATTCAATATATTTGTATGATTTTTGTAGAATCAACCAGACAGACAAGCTATTCTACGAGAGAGTCCCGTTTGGCAAACTATTGAAACCGATAAACAGATATATGACAACAAAGGATTTCAACCAGAGGACAATCACAAGTAAGAATCAAATTGTCGTGTCTTATAAATAGTATCATATATGCATTTCGACCATCTTTTGATTGATTTATTTTTATCAAACAAATTATATTTTGGAAATGATAAATAACGGTTATAAATCCAGTACAAGTCTTTATCAAAGTATTGGAATCGTTTGCAATCATTTTAATATAATTCTTATATGGTTTGAATATTAGGGAATACGTTTATATGATTGGTCGAGAGGACTTCCGGTAGTGGCTCTTGACGTTATTTATTTTTCGATAGACGACGTTGACCGAACTACTTTCTGTAACCAATGTAAACAAGATGGCGGCGAGAATAACACAAACCGGCTCGACGTTAAAAATATTTATTTTCACTTCGCGTTCATCATTAAATTAAATGATAAACACAAAACATTCATTTGATAGATAATAAGATATTTTTGTAGGTTTTTTTTCTAATAGCAACAATTTCATGGAGTACATTTTTTTGCGTTAACCAAAAAAATATATTCATGCGCAAGGCCAATCCAATGACACAAATATACAATATGCGTATGAAAGAGGTTGCGAGTGGGAAAAATAAATTCCTTATCTCCAATTTTCAAGAATCATAAGTATTAAACGTATTTTTAAAGGAATTTATTGGTGTATAAACTGGACCAATTCACTCACAAACATATCATAAAAGTCCTTCGGACTTTTATTTGTTTGTGAGTGAATTGGTCCAGTTCATACACCAATAAATTCCTTTAAAAAGGCGTTCAATCCTATAATAACTGATTGTTACTTTAGAATATCGCTGGTAATTTTGGTAAACATTGCAAATATGTAGGATTAGCTAATAGCAATATCCCAAACAATATATATTTTAATGTTATTTGTGGGCACATATATTGCCCCCCCCCCCCCCCCCCACATAAAATAAAAAAATCAAATGGTAGCTCCCTTATCAGAATTATACAGGATTATTTGTTGTCATATATTATATATATTGCCAATAGCGATGCAATATATATTACATTCCTTTTGTACTAAATTTACCCATTCTATCTACAGTGTTGTACAGAAAGGGACATTCATCTCAATCAATGTAAGTCGGCCTGGTTATCCAGATTACAATCGACCAGTTTCTGCTGCTGAAGTGACCCTTGCGGAAACCGTTTTAGACAAGCCTGTCGGTCAGATCAGTAAGACATATGGATTGTCTATGGAAAATGAAAATAGGTTGAGTAGCATTATTGAGGACAGGCAGATGCAACAGAATGGTGCAGTGATCAGTGAAACCAAAACCTCAGTACCAAGACGTTCGGAATCAGATAGAGCCGTACGAATTCAAACTTCGACACCTAGATATGAAAAGAAAGACAGTCCTCGAAAAATCATCGAAAAAACAAGGGAGACTAGCTTGAGAAGACATGCAAGTGATAGTATTATTGAAGGTTCGGTTCTCGATCGGAGATTGCATTTAAGAGATAGGTGGTTAAAAGAACAGCAACAACACATGCGGGGCGAAGTTTCGCCAAGACATAGGCAACAGAATAAACAACATGCAAGAGGTCATGCATTTCAAGCTGTGAACAAAGGTGAAAGTCCTCGTGCGTATTATACAACTGGGGAAGAATATTTACTTGTAACACCGAGACAGCAAGCACATAGATCTCCTCGGTTACAAAGTACTCCTAGGTCACCGCGGCATAATAAAACTATGCCGCCTGATGCCTATGGCACATCTTCTGGTAAACCAGTTGTTGTTTACACTGAAGGTGGGGAACCAGTAATGCTCTATCCAAGTCAACACTCCCTCAATCGAAAACGGAAGAAAGGTTTGTATTGCATAGCATATTTCATAAAATTATAACAAGTATGGTGTTCTAATTTTTGATAGTGACGGTGAAATGGCGACTTTCATATGGCCTCATCTAAATTGTTAATTAAACGAGATGTAGCTCTGCAACGACACAATGAAATAATATAACAAAAATACCAATCTCCAAGGTAAATTGAAAAGGGGAAATCTATAAAAACTGACAAATGGTACATGCATTTTTCGAAGGAAATGGTGGGTAAAACCTAGTTTTAGAGCTACCTAAACCTCCCACTAACCACAACAGTTATACGATCATCACAGGTCTTCAACAAGTGTGTTTGGACAGCACTAAAGTCCATGATTTTAACAAACACTCATTCTCCACAAAATCAATGTTTCGTGTTTTCTCGATCTAGAATTCAATGTAAATTCGAGGTAAAAGTAGTTTGTTGAAATCTCACAAATTTATCAAGAAGATCAAGAAGATACAAATCATGATCAAACGCAAAATGTGAAGGAGTGAGATCATGAGCGTCGACGGTAAGCGTCTCCTGTTATGCATTCGTCAGTCTTGTATAGCAGTCTTAACGGTAAGGGTTTTGAAAGTGTTGAAGACCACTTTACGGTGACATATAATTGTATGAATCCGCTTCATTTGGACTTTGTTGGATAGTTGTCTCATTGGCAATCATACCACATCTCCTTATTTTATATTGGATGATTACAGAAACAACAACTTGTTTTCCAGAAAGACGAAAAATGGCCTAGTTTCCTCCATTCTTTTTTTTCCGTCAATTATTTGCAACCCTATAAACTCCATCCAGGCCATTGTGTACATAAAACCTCTAAAACATACAAGACTGAAAACGAAAGTTTGAGTATAGCGGGTTACTATTTAACAGAAAAAAAACCACAAGAACGGCAACTGTTGTTGTCATTTTATTCCAAAACATTTAATAGTATACGCGTAATTTAACCTGTTCAAAATAATTCTTGTGTCAGTCATGTCTGTTATGAAAATTAATTTGTAATCATTTTCAATATTGAATGTGCATGAAAATAACAAACATAACCTTTTTCGAAGACAAAAGCACTGATGCTTTAATGAAAAAATATATAAAAGTGTCTTTACGTAACGTGAATATATTCTTTGTTATATTTATATTATTTTACTCAAGTGATTTGCTTTTTTGTCTCTAATTAGTATATATTCGTTTATTTTACAGATCGGGTTCGCCTCAACCGTTCTGGATATTTTACAGACTTGTAATTCATACAATATAACCTATTTATCTACAATATAGTGTGGTAGTATTATGAGGAACAACTTTGTGTATAAAACTTTTGTGATGTTCACCAAAATACCATAAGCTTTTCTTGAATAAACATAATAAAAGGTGTATTTATTTCGGTTTTTTCCCCAACACAACCGTTTTATGTTCAAACATGATTACACGAAAGTTGAGCAAAAACTAATGCACAATGAAACATCCTCTGGCGTTAGAAGCACAATGAAACATCTTATGGCGTTAGAAGCACAATGAAACATCCTCTGGCGTTAGAAGCACAATGAAACATCTTATGGCGTTAGAAGCACAAGGAAACTTCCTCTGGCGTTAGAAGCACAATGAAACATCTTATGGTGTTAGAAGCACAATGAAACATCTTCATGCGTTAGAAAATACATCAACGAATAAATCTAACAATCGATATTGACGATACAACATTTGACTCTATCTGTGCACAAGTCAGTTGACTGACACTAAAACTTAACTCTCATAGTTATACATAAATAATGTAAACTTTATTGCACAAATTAGATTCAATTGTGACGATCTTGACAACTTACAGAAGCAAATTCCGAGAATCGTTTTTTATATAAAACCCTACGGTAATACAGGTTGCATTTCCGTAGTTTGACTCTTATTTCTAGCGAGGAAAACAATTTGAGGCTCTGGGGGTTCCTCAAACAAGAAATATGTACATATCTAGGTCATGTTTACGTTAGAAAGTTGGACTAATGCTTTATCTCTGTATTTGAGTCAATATTGATGAATACATCACTGTGTAAATAAACTCAACATAGATACCAGGCTTACAATTGTGTACGCCAGACGCGTGTTTCGTCTACAAAATACTCATCAGTGACACCTCGAATAAAATTTTTTTAAAAAGGCCAAATAAAGTTACGAAGTTCAACAGCATTAAGGGCTCAAAATTCCGGAAGGTTTTGCTAAATACAGCTAAGATTATCTATTCCTAGAATAGAAAATCCAAATCCAAAGTATTTCGAAATTTAAAGTTTTAGTAAAAGGTAAAAAAAGTCAAGTTTTTGGAACCATCTTAACTTTATACTATGTAATACATTGTATCCTTCGTTATATTTTTCTTGGTAGAACAATTCGTGTGACAGTTGTCTCACTCCTTAATTAAAGCTACGCTATAGTGTGGGTTTGTATTATATTCTTTAATATTAACCAATCTCATTGAAATTTCATACATATGTAGCTTGTGCTATGAAGATGCGATATTAATTTTGAGACTTTCAAAATACATATCGTTCTTATGGAAACAGCAATTTTTTTTTTAAATTTAAAATTTTCAACACTAAATTAAATTTTACAGAAATATAAACTGGAATGCATTGGTGTCCGGGAAGTCTCCAAATACGATGGTATTGAAAAGAACGAGACACAAGTACGATGGCTTTTTTAATCAAATAGTATTGTCAGTAAGTTCCAATATTCCACTATTTTGTTTTGTTTTAAAGGGGCATTAGCTGTCAAATTCATTTTTACCGATTTGACTCAAATTCTCATATTTGATTTATAACATACTAAAACGTATATCCAAATTACAAAAAAGTCTTAAATAAACAATTTACAATGCATGGACTTGATAATATGCATCAACATTTCGTGTGTATTTTTGTCTAGACGTCATCTAATTCACCATCGAGATGACCTCCGAAGACTGCCGACGGTCATATAACCCGATATAAATATAAATATAAACTTAAACAGATAGTGACCACGTGCAATTGGACTTTTCTTAGTCTGTTTGATTTCATATTGTAGGTTAAAAAGTATGTTTATCATCGTTGTTACCTGTATAAGAATGATTTTTTGAGGATCGAATCAGTCAACCAAATGGTTCATCCTTGTTTCACTTTCAATGTTGACATTCTTTTTCTTTTAATAGCTGAATGCATGCGTAACCCATGTCCAGCTAAGGGGTAATATTGAAGGTCACATGAATACGGATTCAATGAGATTGAATTATTCACTTGCAAGTGAATAATTCATCAGCAATGTTTCTTAGCTTATTTTGACAAAATTGAACCAAATTGACTGCTTAAAGTAAATTATTATTTCACTATTTCACGTTCATTAATGATTGAACAAAAAAAAATGAATTTTTTTCATATCTCGTAGCTAATGTCCCTTTAATCCATGTTTGTCATATCATCCGACAATGCCCCCGTCAATATCTCTGAAAAAAATAATTTAAATGAAATTATTCAATATTTCAGTACATAATATACCGAATAGATTAGAGAATAAAATGGAGAATGGAAATGGAGAATGTGTCAAAGAGACAACAACCCGACCATGTAACAGACAACAGCAGAAGGTCACCAACAGGTCTTCAATGCAGCGAGAAATTCCCGCACCCGGAGGCGTCCTTCAGCTGGCCCCTAAACAAATATATATACTAGTTCAGTGATAATGAACGCCATACTAAACTCCAAATTGTACACAAGAAACTAAAATTAAAAATAATACAAGACTGACAAAGGCTAGAGGCTCCTGACTTGGAACAGGCGCAAAAATGCGGCGGGGTTAAACATGTTTATGAGATCTCAACCCTCCCCCTAAACCTCTAGCCAATGTAGAAAAGTAAACGCATAACAATACGCACATTAAAATTCAGTTCAAGAGAAGTCCGAGTCTGATGTCAGAAGATGTAACCAAAGAAAATAAACAAAATGACAATAATACATAAATAACAACAGACTACTAGCAGTTAACTGACATGCCAGCTCCAGACTTCAATTAAACTGATTGAAAGATTATGTCTTCATCATATGAATATCAGGCACAATCCTTCCCGTTAGGGGTTTAGTATCATACCATCATAACATATATGAGAAGAACATAACCCGTGTCATGCCAACAACTGGTTTTTAAATAAATGTGTTTAGTGCCGATGCAAAGACCCTATAAGTGAATCAATATTAACGCCAAAATATGCAATCTTTAATGACCTGACAACAGTATCGTAACTATATCCCTTCTTAATAAGTCTATTTAAAGGTTTTGTTAGCTTCAGAGGTGAATACTGACATTTTTGTGCTTTATAAAGAATATTTCCATAAAAAATTGGATGTGAAATACCTGAACGTATAAGAAGTCTGCATGTTGAGCTATATTTACGAATGATGTCCTTATACCGATGATAAAATTTAGTAAATGTTTTGACTAGTTTGTGATATCGAAAACCCTGGTGTAATAATTTTTCAGTAATACATAAATTTCTCTCGTTAAAATCTAAAACATTGTTACATACACGAGCGAATCGTACAAGTTGAGATATATAAACACCGTAAGATGGTGACAAGGGAACGTCACCATCTAAAAATGAATAATTAACGATAGGAAATGAAAAATCATCTCTTTTATCATATATTTTAGTATTAAGCTTTCCGTTAATGATATAGATATCAAGATCGAGGAAAGGGCAGTGGTCATTGTTAGTATTAGCTTTATTTAAAGTAAGTTCAACAGGATAAATTTCTTTAGTATACATACTGAAGTCGTCATTATTGAGAGCCAAAATATCATCCAAATATCTAAAAGTATTATTAAATTTGTGTATCAGATGTTGTTTCGATGGGTCTTTGCTGATTTTTGTCATAAATTGTAACTCATAGCAATACAAAAAAGGGTCCGCAATAAGTGGTGCACAGTTAGTCCCCATTGGAATTCCGATAACCTGACGATATACAGAATCTCACAAGCGAACAAAAATGTTATCTAGTAAAAATTCAAGGGCATATATAGTATCAAAGCATGTCCAATTGACATAGTTTTTTTGTTTATTGCTACTAAAAATGACCTAAAAGATTTTGAACATATATATTCACATTCTGACTTTTTAAATGCCCATTTAATTAGGTGTGTGAATTTTTTCTTAATGAGAATGTGAGGCAATGTGGTATATAGGGTAGAAAAATCAAAACTTTGAACAGATTTAAAATCACCAATATATGCATGCAATTTATCAAGTACTTCCAACGAGTTCTTGACACTCCAAAAGTAATTAATTCCACTATTTTCGAAGGCCTTATTTGAACAAAATATTATCAGGTTTTTGATTGTACCAAGTGTACTGGTAAGAAGAATAGACAATTTAGTATTGGAACAATGGCTTGAAGACGAAATGAATCTATATTTGTAAGGTGTTTTGTGTAGCTTTGGAAGCCAATACGTAGTTGGGACTTTCATTGTATTTGGTTCTGCTTGTAAAGCGGTAGCTAAAAGTTTATGTTTGTTACAGATGTCGTTTTCTGAAAATGGAGTCAGTTGGAATGTTGGTGAATTGGTGATTTCTTTTTTCAGAACCTCAATGTAAAATTTACGTCAAACAATAATAATATTATTAGCAGCTTTATCGGCCGGGACAAAAACAAATTCCTTGGCTAGTTCTTTTAGTTTATGTTTGATACGAGAAATAGGTTTATTGTGGTTATTGTTAAGAGTAAAATGTTCTTTAAGTATGATTCTTCCGTTAAAACCTTTCATTTTCTGTTCTGTTCTATCTAGTCTACTCGCAAATACCAATGTGCAATCAAAAGTCAAAAGTCTAACAAAAACATGTAACTCAAATTTTTTAGAATAAAACCCAGGATGACCTCGATTGTTCCGGAATAGTAAGCAGTTTCTGTACCATCAGCAGCTTTGTGGTCAGTTTCTATGAAATGAATATTGTATTTATCACAGTAAATGTATGTTTTTATTACTTATTTCTTTACATCTGTAGTCGAAATCTTTAGGTATAAATTCATCCGTCAATGGCATTGAATTTTATTAAATTGTTAAAAGTCTAATTATTGTCACCTTCTAAAGTATAGAAATATATTTATTAATTACTTTGGATAGTAAGAGCTCTTGAGATTACCTACATTATTTGTATTGGTTTGTGTTGCCCGATCATTTTTTCTGTAAGGTAATAATTTGACTGTTTAGATTTATGTCAAGATGTTGTCTAAGTCTTGCTATCAATGATTGAAGAATCGGCGATTGGCAATAAATTTCATTAAAAAAAAACCGGTTCACTCTTAAAAAAATACCATTCGTTGTCCGACGAAGACCTGAACGCTCATAATAGTTACAAAGAAATATACAATCACAGGCCATCATTACAATAAAAAACAGACTAGACAAAAAGGTAAGCTTTCTTCTATAGGACAGCAAATCCCAGGTTTTTCATATTTAAAATATGGTTTTATTTTTATTTTCACTTTTGTATATCAATTTTATCTAGTAGGATCTTGTTTATCTACGCAAATCAACATATTTTTCAATCTTGCCTTTAAAATTCTTGATCCCAGATCAGACTACATTAAAATATTTAGATCATCTATGATCAATCAGGTGGGTCGATTTATAATATGATTATACTGAGTGTCAATAGAAATGCAACCCACATGTATTTTCCATTTGATAAAATAATCAAACCGACAGAAATTCTTTGGAAGTTGACAAATCATTCTAAAATTTTGAAACAGTTTAAAGTTTTCCAACACCACATTTTCAAGCAATTTTCAGAGCGTTTCGATTTTTCTCATTCAAACGTTAACTTTACAAATTTCGCATTTTGAACGGACACAATAAAATTTAGAAATTTGGATGGCAAATTTTCACAATAATGAACTATAGCAAATTTTGTCAAAAAATAATGCAGATTAACCATTTCCCTTTGCATGTAGTCAAGTGTGAACCTATTTGTAGAAAAATATGTAAGCTTTGATTTTGACCACTGTAGGACTCGTCGCAAGTTTCTGAACTAAAAAAAGTCAATGTGAGGCCAAATTGTTAAGAGTAACATGTAGCCAAATGTTTACGAATGCACTGATTGAATATTTTTGTACTGTCATTCATAAAAACCTATGAGAGCTTGTAATATGATGTGTTGTATTGATTGGCACTTATTATAATTAATATTTCAAATCAAATCAAATCAAATATTTTATTGTCTTATAAACTTTACAGTTTGTGACCAACATGTATTAACACAATAAACATATATACATACATATCAAACAAACACAATAAAAACAGCATCAAAATTTATAAAAACAAACAAGTTGTTAAGAGTCCCCTGCCCTCAGTTCTAATGACTTTTTCAAGAAGGATCCTAACTTATTTGTTCGTAAAGGCGTTGATGGATTTAGTAAATAATGAATTTTTTCTTCTTCATTTAAATTATTAAAGTTATTATTTTCAGTACATATGTGTTCAAAAAAGGCATTTCTTAGTGTTTTATTATAATCACAATAGAGTAAAAAATGTTTCTCATCCTCTAGTATTTTAGAATTTATGACAAAGTCGTTCCTCTCTTGGGATTTTAAAATATCTCCCCTTTTCAATTAAGAGGGAGTGATCACTTAGTCTTAATTTAGTGATCAATCTCCTTATCTGAAAATTAGATATATTTAGATAAGATTCTAGTTTGCAATCCTTTTTAAGTTTTTTATATAGATAAAATTTACTTTTATCATCAATGTTTTCAAAATTTGTTTCAATTAAATCTTCATATTTATTTTTCATTTTTAACTTTATATCGTTTTTTATTTTATTTACATCTTTTATGTCCTTACAATTAGAAAAAATATTAAGGTCAATATTAGTCTCTTCAACAATATTTTTTGCATATGTATACCATGAATAAGTTCCAGTCAAATCTAGAGACTGTGCTTGAGAAAAAGCTTCCTTTATCAATGGATTAATATTATTATTATATAGTCTAGCTAAATATAAAAGGGTTTGTGTTTTAATAAAACATTCTATAGGCAATCTTCCTAATTCAACTCTTGCTCCTAAATTGGATGCATTTTTTCTTATTCCTAGAGTAGATTTACAAAATTTAAGATGCATATTTTCAATAGGGGTTTTGTCTGTAAAAGTCTGTAAAATCAAGTTGATTAATTTGTTTTCCTGAAGATAAGGCTCTGTTTTTGGCTCTATGAAAAGAAATATATGTATCCAAATATGTTACTTCTGAATTTTAGGTCATAATTGGTTTTACTAAAGAATCAAAAAGGTTATTTGCTACTTTTATAGGTAGATTATTCAATGATTTAGTATAGGATTTTATTGCAAAAAATACTTTTTTTGCCTTTTTTGTCAGCTCTAAGGTACTTTGTGATAAATTTCCATTACATTTTATCAACATTCCCAAAAAATTAATATTCTGATACGCTCTCTATGGCTTCATTCTCATAGTAAATATGTGATGTTTCACCATTTTGTTTGGACTGACTGAAAATCATGGATTTTGTTTTGTTTGTATTTAAAGAGAGTTGCCATTTGTTGCAATATAATTTAACATTATTTAAACTGTTTTGAAGACCCTCTTTCGATTCTGACAGGATCAAAAGATCATCTGCAAAAAGGAGGCATCCCACCTTACTATTTATAAGCTTAAGGGGACTTGAATCATTTCCCTCAAAATTTTTTACAATATCATTTATGAAGACATTAAATAAAGTGGGGCTCAGGGTGTCTCCTTGTTTAACCCCTCTAGCAGTATTAAAAAATCTGATACATAATCTTTGTATTTCAAAGATGATTTAGTATTTAAGTATTGTTGTTTTATAACTCTGTAAAAAGACCTGCCAACTCCCATTTTGCATAATTTATAAAGTAAAGCAGTTCTCCATACTGAATCAAAAGCCTTTTTCAGATCTATAAAGCAGGCATAAATTTTTTTTTTCTCTTTATGTAGATATTTATTAATCAAGGACTTCAATAAAAAGATGCTATCAGCTGTTCTGTGATTTTCTCTGAAACCAAACTGACAATCACTTAATTGTTTGTCAACAATCTTGATTAGCCTATTATTCAATATGGCATTAAAAAGTTTTGGTAGATTACTTATAAGAGAAATTCCTCTTTAATTATTAGGGTCTAACTTGTCACCTTTTTTATGTAAAGGGATCATGAAAGATAATTTCCATGAATCTGGATAATTACCTGTCTTTAAAATCAAATTAAAAACTTTTACAATAGAATTAATTATCACAGGTTGTGAATGTTTGAGTATTTCATTCACAATTCTATCTGGACCTGCTGATTTGTTTACTTTAAGGTTTGAAATGACCAGTTTTACCTCAGCAAATGTAATTGGTGCATCAGTTTCCATATTCAATTCAATATTATCCTCTAGAATGTTTAATTCACGTTCCAGTTTATTTACAAAGGGTTTATCATATGATGTTGGTGTACCCTGATCCTGAAAATGTTTTATGATTTTATTTTCATTCATTAAAATTTCAGGAATATCTTCTTCAATATTTGGTTTCTTTTTCATTGCCTTTAGAACATTCCAATATTCTTTTGGATTATTTTTAAAATTATCTGAAAGTGATTTATAAAGTTTTTGGTGATATTCAAATTTTTTCTGTTTAATCATTTTTTTTAGTTTTTTACATAATTCAAAATATTTAGGTTTTAAACTTTTGTCATTTAAGTTATTCTTGATTTTATTTCCTATATAGTTTATTTGTCTTTTTGTTTCATATACTGTATTATCTGACCATACTTGTTTAATTTTTTTCTTTTTCTTTTTAGTTGGTTTAGATATGCCTTTACATGTATTTTCTGCAATATTTTGTAAAATTTTTGTAAGTTTTTCAGTTGCACCATCACTGCCTAGTTTATTGCTATCAAAATGTTGCATCTCTAAATCTAAAATTTCCTTTCTAACATTTTCTGTTGATAGAACATCAATTAATTTTGAAAATGACAATTCTGTCCATTTGTATGATTTAATCAAATGCCATCTCTTTTCATCTAGACATTTCTTCATACATGTATCTGATATAATAGAACAATTCATATATAAGTTTATTTGAACATGATCTGATAAATATGTAAAGTCATTTGTTTTAAAGTATTTTACCTCAGGCAGGAGACTCTCACTTGCAATGGCATAATCAACTGTACTGAACCCAGTATTACACATATAAGTAAAATATCCTAGGGAATCTCCCAAAAAACGGCCATTGAGTATACGTAGCCTTGAGGATGAACATAATTCAAGTAATTTATTCCACAATGTATTCAAAGTGTTATCTTGGTTTACTCTTCTGATTTCAATATCAGTTATATAGCTCTCTGGAAGAAGGTCAATACCATCAAAATTATTTATTTCATCTGAGTCATTTTCTATGTAATCTGCTTTCATTGCAGTTCTAGAATTAAAATCCCCAATTAAAATAATTTGTCCTTCAATAGAAAATGAACTAATTTCATTTTCAAGATTTTCTAAGTCACTATCATAATGAGCTGATGAAAAAAGGGGAATATAAACAGCACAAAGATATATATCTTGATTAAGTCCAAAGAAATACTTATCAAGCTTTAACCATAATCTATTCTGGGATGACGTAGCATCTTTAAGATAAGAAATCCCCTTATAAAATTGTTTTTTAATTGTGACTATAATGCCTCCACTATGTCTTTTGGCTTTTTTTGTTTTCTTTCGTATTTTAGAGATAATATTATAGCCTTCAATTTTAAAATCTTCTGATCCCCCCTTCCAGGTTTCTTAAAGTATATTTATATCTTTATTTAAAAAATCCAGAAACATTGGGTCTTTCATCTTATCCCCAAGGCCATGTACATTCCATGAGGAAATTGACATTTTTTTATGAACCCTGTTCATTTTTAATTTTGACTAGTGCCAGTTATATATTAAACCTTCTTGTTATATTGAATATTGAAAGACTCACTCTGTCTGACAAATATAATACTCCTTCCATTCGCAATCTCCATCTGCCCATTTGCCATCACGGTTCCAGTTATTGAGAACACAATCCTCCCCACTATTGGCATTATTCGGGTCCCCCGGGATCCAGTTTTTATATGATGTAATCGGTGTTTGACTAGTTGTCCACAGAAAGGTTCCCTCTTGTTCCAAATCACTCAGTCCGAGCCAATATTTTCGTCCTTTAATAAAACACATCAAAACAATTAATGGGAAGTACAGAATTTGTCGATTTGGGTGCTCATAGCAAATTTGTGCTCGTCTCTGTTATATTTATACTTTTCTAGGCTAGGGCGATAAAGATATAGTACATTTGGTTCATACAATGTATATCATTAAAGACAATATGTTGACCTCTGAATGTCATTTGTAATATCGCATGTTGTTGGGTTGCTGTTTTATCAAAGTATACCCATATTTCATATCCGTTCCGTTCCTTTCTACAGTACGTAACACTGCACTATTCTTAATCAACTTCCAAGTAAGGACAGAAGCTCGATAAGATAAGTTCAACGCAGGACTACGGTGAAGATCGGGGAGCCTATGATCGTGCTTCGGAAAGTGTACACACAATAGTGATAGTGGAGTGTTTCGATCATGAACGGAACAGATATGAGTCTTGGTTCCAACTGGGTCCAAAACAAATGATTACAGGTATAAAGATGCCGAAATAGAAAACTTTTGTTCTTCTTTTTCTTAACTCTATTCCAGGGTTATTCAAAACAAAAAAAGGCGAAAATATGTTTTCTAAGTCTTATAAGTTGTATCATCAGTATATATTTCCTCAGAGAGAATTGTCTTATACTTTGATAAGATGTAGATTTTACCAAGATTTTTTCGAAAATATAATAAAAAGTATGGGTCATCGTACTATTTTCCAAGCTACAAGTTGTGCAAAATTGCCCAATTTTGCATAGATTATTCATGAAAAAAATATTCTTTGTGAATAAGAAGAAATCTATGAGATCGAATTTTGAAATAAAATTTGAGAAGATAGGTTTTATACTATGCTTTAAGTAAATAAAAAGAAAAAATTGTGACACCGGGCTTGTTTTAATGCTACAAGTAAAAAAATGAAAATTTCATTAATATTTCTTTATAAAAATATTACTGATATAGTTATCTCCCCTTAAATGACAAATTGATTCGAACAAAAAAAAATATTTGGTATTTTTCATAACAGACTAAATAATGCATTAAATCGCATATTTTTCTTTATTCAAATAAACAGTCATACACAGTAATTGCCCATCTGTCTCAAAATTAGCAGATTTAAGAAAAGAACTAGACCGATAGTGTTCTGCTATTTTACAATCCAAAATGGTGGTAGTTCACGATCATTGTGAACTATATATATATATATCAGTATTACAATAAATAATAATAAGCTTTTAAAAGTTGTGATTCTTATAATATTGTTTAAAAATTCCTTTATTCCTATAAGAACCACATATATTGCCAACGAATCTAGTCGAAGTTTGACGCCTTTTTACCGGCTATCTCTCCGGCAGATACAATAAGACATGTGTTCCCGATTGCCATTCGAAACTATTGATTTTGTTATCGTGTACAGCATAACATAAATCAGCCAAAACACAGCTTACCCGTTTTTAGAGTTTCTATGATTAAATAATCATCAATAGGTTTATTTGTTGGTTCTGCTAAATATCCTTCAAATGACCTGCATATTTCCTACAATATACGAAAGACTTTGGGATCACTATGAAGAATCTTTTAAGGAATTCCTAACTTGAATTTATAATACTACCACTTGATTGGTGTTGAATTAATAATGTTGCTGCTGTTGTGCTATCCATCTACGACAGTCCGCCTAATACATAGGGAAATTTCACGTGAATTTAAATGAGGGTAGGTATGCCCTTTACCGTCAGACGTCAAATGGTCATTTTCGGCTACCGTTAGTGTCAAATTGGTTAAAATTTTATCGTGATTCGTTAAAATATCCTTATCGTGATTCGTCAAAATATCCTTATCGTGATTCGCCAGAGGTCTCAAATAATTATCCGTTACCGTTATTTTTGGAAAGAATTTAACGTGATTCGTCAAAATCAGTCGATTTTTTTATCGTCATAAAGGAAATGTACATTTTACCGTCATGCACCAAAAATTACCGTTAACGTCATTTGGCAAGATTTTTTACCTTTATACGTCATGAAGGTACCCCCATTACGACCCTCTAAAATTCATGTGAATCTCACGTGAATTTCACCTCAAACGACCTTATACGTGAAACTCACGTGAAATCAGTTCATGTGGGTTTCGCGTGAATCTCATGTGAATTTTGAAAATAAGGTTATTCAAATAATATTAAAATTTTCAAATTTGATTAAAATCATGAAAAATACATTTTTTTTTTTTTTAAGTTCACGTGAAATTCATATTTATCTCAATTCACGTGAAATTCACATGAAAATATTTATGAGAGTTTCATGTATGACTTCGTTTGAGGTGAATTTCACGTGAGCAAAATTTGCCTGTGTAGACAGTGTATCGGCGCTGGCAGACTTACTATGATGACTTCCGACTACAATAATTTGGTAGTTGTACCAAAACTACGGTCGAAACCTAATCAGGAAAAAAAATTACCATAAACGATGTTGGCCATAATAAGTCTTGATGTCTCATGTTCTGTTTTCACAATTTTATCTCAAGTAAAAAGATATTGCAGAGACAATAATATCATAAGCGCATATTCTGATAGCTTGAATATACCATTCAATATTACAAGCCAAGTAGTGGCCTGTCGTTAAAATAATCTATGTAGATATATTTAAAACATCAGAAAAGTAACAGTCAACCTCTAGCTATTTATAGTACGTTAACATCTTTTAAGCTTAGAACCGAAATGTTAAAATAATGTTTATGTATTACTACAACACCTTCTGCTATTCTGTCACACAGTTTGTGTTATGTATGTATTGTATGTATTATTGATGTTGATGTAATTCAAATGAGTACCTATAGTTTATATAGACTTTGGTAAATAAGATATATATATATATTTAACATGTACCTCAGCCTCGGCCCATGTCACTTGATTATGTGAAAATAAAAAACACCATCCACTTAAACCACTATTCTTCTTCCATCCTGGGGCACAGCAAGTTATTACCGTTACACCTGTATGGAAACAGTTAGATTTTAGTTGAAAGCAGAGAGAGAGAGTAGAAGAAGCATAATGTTGTTCTTTGATATTGTAGTCACAATCAGCACCGTACTTTCGACAATATAAGCTGAAGATACTTGTAATCAACACTGTATACCACTCGTCAACAGAAATCCGTACACATTTTATTGTTCAAAATCTTATGCAATCAAAACATTGACAATCTAGTAATAAAAAAAACCATGTACTCCCAACTTGATATCTATATGAAAACGCCGATTTGTTCTTTTACTGTTATGAATCGTGGTTTATAGCCTTACTCAATTACGACCCAACAAAACACCATTGATACATATTTTAAACCATACCTAGGCTAACGACATTTTAATGTATCTACTTCAACTATCTCTTTCTAAATTCTTTTCATATTTATCGTCATACTAAATTTTTAAAATATATAGCAAACGGGACCAATTTTTCGTTCCTATTGGTTAATTTTCCTTTCCTTGGGTTTTGTTTCCTTCTTACGTAGTGTGCATTGACGAATCAGATTTCAATGAAGTCATTACGAAAGGGATATATAAATGTAGAACCAAGTATCAAATGATATCTCCAATATAGATATGTATTCTGGAAATAAGATTTCACTTGCAGATATTCTAATAAAAAAAATGTATAAATACCCAGCTAGCTGTTTTGTGAATTTATTATAACGTAGATACGTATTGCTTCGTGTATCTATTTTAGATTATTTGTTTTCCTTGTTTACATTTTGATACTCTATTAACACTTTACATTTTATTGTTTTATTGAAATTATATGGCAAGCCGTTTTACTATTTATTATAACTTCAAGATATCTCATATAATATATAAGATATCTCATATAATTTATAAGATATCTTATAAAGCAAGTTATATGAGATATCTTATAAACTATATAAGATATCTTATAAACTATTTGATAATAATATAAGATATCTTATAAACTATATGATATATCTTATAAAGTTTATTAGATATCTTGAAGTTAGAATAAACAGTAAAACGGCTTGCCATAAAATTCTATTATATTTGGACATTACACAAGATCATGTATTTCTTGCACTTTTAATGCCGTTGTTGAATAAGATCTACTCAGTTACTGCAGTACAGCGACACGAGGGGTATGGCGTCTCTTTCAGTCTATTGATCAACCCCAAGTCAGGAACATCGTCAGGGGTTGTTTTTGTCTTATAGTATTTTTCTTCTTTGTAAAATATTGTGTTGACGGGAAATATTTGGTAGTCTCTGTTAAATTATTCTTAGCTTGCTGAAAGAAATCTACATGGAAGAACATCCATGTGGATGTATGGCCTCTCTTTAAGATAATTAATAATCCCTAAGTCGGAAACCTCGTCAGAGGGTTGTCTTTTATTTTATATATCTTGGTGTTAAGTCCTTTTTAAAATATCGTGTAGTGTTGACGGGAAATATTTGGTGATATTTGTTAAATTATTCTTAACGACTCGTCATGGATAGATTTACTTTGAATGTCTTTTGTCGTGTTTTTTTCTTTTGGTGAAGGTGTTGTCTTTCTTTCTCTTCGACTTATATAAAATAATAAGATGTGGTATAATTGCCAATGGGAAAACTTTCCACCAGGTACCAAATGAAATAGATGTTAGCAATTAGCGGCCACCAACAATGAGCAAAATCCATCTTTTTTTTTGCTGTCTTGTTATTTTCTTACTCTTTTTACCTATCGTGGTAAATTGTCTATAATTGTTGAAACCAATATAGTGACCTCTACGTGACTTTCTACATTGTACGTTGCTGATTGCTTCCGCCATGACATTGATTAAGCATACTTTGTTCCATAACACTCAATTCGAAAATGTTAACATGTGAAGTTCTAGTTATTTCATAAATGCCATACTTTCTACTCCATTCGCCACCCCTAATAGGTCCTCAATTTGCCACCAAGTGATAGCTTTTTAATCTTACATTAAAACTTACTTATTGCAAGGCCAATAATTTGCAAAACAAACGTCGCCATTTCTAATTGAAAGAAATTTAGTATGCCAATCTTAAATCAGGTACGTGGTAACCCCTTGTCATAATAACTGATAAGATATGTCTTGGCATGACCTGGAATCATATAATTTAAACTTTCTTCCCTTTTAATCTTAATCGGTATAATAAACAGACTCTTATTAGAGCGTACAATAAAAATTCCTCAACACTGAGCGCTTTACTACCTGTATCAACACAATAAAAATAAACTGCTTCGCTAAGCGCAGCTGGATACGCCCGCAGAGGGTCAACCCTGAACAGTTGGGGCAAAAATGGACACAATATTCAAGCTTGAAACAGGTCTTGGATTGTAATTAAATATTTGACATATTATAGGTTTCTGAATAAATGAAGTCAAAGAACTTGAAATTGGTTATATGAATTGAATTTATATTCAATTAAAGATTTATTACTGTTGTACAATACACTATGCTGTTGCGCAATACTTAGTAAATCTGTTGTCAGACTATAAACAAATAAAATTTGTAAAATTCTAAAGGGAGCTTACATCAATAGATATGAACAATTCACCAAAGTTTCATAAGAATTGCTGAAAGCATGTTTGAGTTATTGTCTGAAAACTGGAAAATCCCCCATTTTTTAATGAATAAAACCCCATAACTCGGAAATGTAAAATCTAAAATTTATAGAATTCTAAAGGGAGCTTACATCAATGAATATCAACAATTCATCAAAGTTGAATGAGAACTGCTGAAAGCATTTTTGAGTTATTGTCCGAAAACTGGAAAATCCCCCTTTTTTATGATTAAAACCCCGTAACTTGGAAACGTAAAATCTAAAATTTATAAAAATCAAAAGGGCGCTCATGTCAATAGATATAAACAATTAACCAAAATTTCTTGCAAGTTGGTGAAAGCATCTTGAGTTATTGTCCGAAAACTGGAAAATCCTCCTTTTTTAATGAATAAAACCCCATAACTCGGAAACGTAAAATCTAAAATTTATAAAAAACGAAAGGGAGCTCACGTCAATAGATATAAACAATTCACAAAAGTTTTATGCAAATTGGTTTAAGCGTTTTTGAATTAATGTCCGACATGTTGACGACGGACGGACAGACGGACGGACGGACGGACGGACGGACGGACGGACGGACAACGGTATACCATAATACGTCCCGTAAACGGGCGTATAAAAACCAGGAACATATACTTTCACCTATAGCTGTACAATGGAGTCAATGGAAATGCAACCAGAGTATAAATCTCAATATCCGAAAGTTATACTCGACTTCGTCTCGTGAGGTTAAAGCCGGGGGTTTCAACCAAAACTATGGTATAATTTACGAAGCACTGAAAACATACAAAATATGAACATATCTATCAAAATACTTAACCTGCTGGTATAGAAATTGTGTCGTTCTAATCTCTAATATTGGTGGTTGTACCTTGAAGAAAATTTTTATCTACGGCAGCGTCATAAAAATTGCCGAAACATGCAAATGACGTCTTTATACAAAATCCATTGTATGTGGGATGTTTACTGATTGATATTTTAGTTGTTGGATAGGTACTGATTGATATTTTAGTCTTAGATACATGATTTTATTTATTAGTTATTATTGGCTTTGAACTAGCTGTCAGTAACTGCGAGTACTCTCAGATCTGTCATTTGGTTGTTGTGAGGGATGTATAAATACCCTGCCACGTCCGGTCTGTGTTTTTGTTTGATGTTTTTCTGCTTTTTATCGATCTGATGAGTTTAGCCCTTTTCAACTGATTTTTTATAGTTTGTTCTCATGTTGTATTGTTACACCACTGTCCCGGTTATGAGAGGGTTGGCGCCTTTAAACCTGTTTAACACCGCCTCATTCTTTATGTGCCTGTCTCAAGTCAGGAGCCTGTAGTTCAGTGGTTGTCGTTGGTTCATGTCTGTCATATTTGTTTTTCGTAAATTGTTTTGTTATAGATTAGGCCGTTAGTTTTCTCAATTGAATAGTTTCATATTTTTCATGTCGGGGCCTTTTATAGCCGACTATACGGTATTGATTTTTCTCATTAATTATTGAAGGCCGTACGGTAGCCTGTACTTGGTTACATCCACTTCATTTGAACTTTGGTTGATAGTTGACTCAGTGGCCATCATACCATAACTCCTTATCTAATATAAACTATGCATTGCCCAAAATACATTTCAGTTGGATTTGAAAGAAAAAAAATACAGAAAAAATGTAATCTTGTTTAAAAAAAAGAAACCACACACACACACATACATAAAACAAACAAATGAAGGAATATTCCTTATATTTTTGTGGTAATTAATATATTTACAAGTGGGTTTCAATTTTTTGATGAATGTCCTGGAAGTGGAATTCTACATCTATAAGAAAAGGTTTTTACAAATTTGTGATATTTAATCCCTATAGGGTTTTTTTTTAATACTGAATGCAATATTTTCATAGACGCTTGGACGTCACTGCAAACACTGGCATATTGAAAAGAAGAAATGTGCACAACATATAAAAGGAGCCAACGAACCATTTCTATCGCGGAAAATGAAAACTAACGAGACGAAAAGAAAAGTCGTCAAATTTGTAATGCTTTTATTTGTGAAGATTATTGTGAGAAATTCTTTTATCAATGTTTATAAAAGGAAAACAATGACATGTTACCAGTAAGAGCTGGGAACAGTATATCTAATATCAATATATACAGTCCGCCAAAAGTTAAGCACCACCTATTTTTATTGCATCGAAAAAAATTTCATTTAAAAAAATCAGTTATTCCTCTAAAAAGAGAAAACATTCATGTAGCAATTTTGCTAACATATATCATAAACAAACCAAAAACTTACGTTTGGTCACTTATACAGGTTCTATGCATTTAAATTTTGCGTTCATAAAAATATTGCAAATTTCACAAATCAGAAACGGAATTTAAGTCTCACTGTCACTTTATTTTTTTACAACAATTAATAACCCAATATCACTTAAATTCTCTACAAATAATCTTTGGTATGTTCGGCAAATTAATGTCAATATTTCAGTCAATAGGATGTGTAACCACCTCTCTTCCGGTACAGTTCCATAACACGGCGTCTCATACTCTGTACAACCCTTCTGAACTTTAGTTGAGGAAATCTATTCCATTCATTCACAATTGCCACTCTTAAATCGCCAAGATTTTGCAGTGGTTGATCACTGCGATTGAGATTTCTGCCAATGACATCCCAGACATGTTCGATAGGGTTCATGTCTGGAGACATGGAAGGCCAAAAGATAGTGTCAATGGCTTCTTGCTCTTTGTACTCGGTTACAATCCTTGCCCTGTGTGGTCTAGCTTTGTCGTCCATGTACAAGGGTCTTGACACAAGAGGGTGATTGTCAAAATGAGGGACTACAATGTTTCTAAGCACCAAATCCCTGTATGTCTGTCCATTTATGTTACCCTGCAGAATATGCATACCCAGCTTACAACGGTATGAGAAGCAACCCCATACTGTAACACCACCAGTACCGAATGCAGTCGTTTGGCAAATGTTGTTTTGGTCATAGGCAGTCTTATTTTCCCGCCAAACTCGTAATCTGCCGTCGTCTGGTCGTAACAGAAACCGACTCTCATCTGACCAATGAATGTTTTGCCAGCTTCTCGTGTTGCAGCGTCGATGGTCACTAGCCCATTGAAACCTGATTATACGGTGTCTGGCTGTTAGGACAGGTCTCTTGATAACACGACATGCTCTTAGGTTGCCTCTATGAAGTCGACGGATCAATGTGCGAACACTAACACGACCACCTGGAGGCCAGAGGTGTCTAAGCTGCGGGTAGGAGTAAATGGGCTAGCTTTAGCATGACAAATAAGCAGTCTGTCATCACGACGGGTAGTTAAACGGGGTCTTCCGGACCTTGGTCTATCATTTACAGTTCCTGTGTCAACATGACGTTATAAAAGTCTGACAATGACGGTATGATTAACATTAAAATGGTTATCTATGCTCCTAGTACTCCTACTGGCATTTGACATGCCAATTGCTTACCAGCGTTCAGCCACAGATAACTTACGCCTTGCCATATTACACTATGACTTGATGAAGGTCACTGAATTTCACTTGTACGCGTGACAGAAAGAAGATGATTTAAAGGTATCGAAACAGTGCATTTGTAAAAGTGCAGATGACCTTTAATAAAAAGTTGCTTGACGGGTTTATAGGAGTTCAATATTTTTGTTCGTAATGAATTTTCTTAGTGTATGTTAAAGGCAACTTATCACACCATACATTAATAATTTTTTCGCAATAGTTAAAAAAATGTTGCCAGTTATATTTAGGTGGTGCTTAACTTTTGGCGGGCTGTATATATGTTCCTGGTAAGAGTAAGTCACGTGTATAAACCAATAGTGAAGACTGTAAGTCACGTGTATAAACCAATAGTGAAGACTGTACGTCACGTGTATAAACCAATAGTGAAGACTGTACGTCACGTGTATAAACCAATAGTGAAGACTGTAAGTCACGTGTATAAACCAATAGTGAAGACTGTACGTCACGTGTATAAACCAATAGTGAAGACTGTACGTCACGTGTATAAACCAATAGTGAAGACTGTAAGTCACGTGTATAAACCAATAGTGAAGACTGTACGTCACGTGTATAAACCAATAGTGAAGACTGTACACCACGTGTATAAACCAATAGTGAAGACTGTGCGTTAACCTGTAGATGTCTTTTGGATATTTGTGTTGTTGTTTGTCTGTCTCATTAACACGTTCGATCCCCAAATTGTTTTTTTTTATTTATAGCTTTACATCAAGTTTCAATTGAATTCTTATCTTAATATCGTTTGCCAGGTGGTGAGTTGGGTTTCCAAATGTCGTTTCAATTTCAAATACTAAATAATTTGATCAGTGTTTTAAAAGATGTATGTAAACGCTATACTTAAATGGGTATTTTTTTTAAATGTTTACATTTGTGTCCAAGACAAATATCTCGCGTTATATGTTCTCTATTTGGACATTTTGTTTTGATGAAATAGAAGTTACTTATGCACTGAATAAAATTTTTAAGTTGATTTTAGAATCCTAATGAAGATAGTTTAGGCGAATACTAAATGTGACCAAAAAGAAGAATAAACCGCCTCTCCCTGTGAAACTCCTTTTCGATGTTCTCTCAAGTTTTATTAGTATTGTCCAGGTTATGTAATAAGATCTTTCACTGTTTTTTTTTTTTTTAATTGCAAAACTCAAATATGGTTTTTTTTAAATGACCGATATACGGAAAAGGACTAACTGGCTTTGTCATATCTGGTAATCAGAACTATTTATAAATTGTTTGTTATTAAAAATTTTAAATCGCGAAGTTTAACGAATACTTGCGTCATTGATTTTAAGAAGAATATGAATTAAAAGTTTAAAACCTTGGATAGTTATCAATAAATAAATCTATCGTGGTCATGTGATAATGTCGGGTACGTATTCAGTATTTTTAATTAATCTTACATGTTTGTAATTATCTAATATCACACTTACGAAATTGTATTTGCGGGTTATGTGTATGTAAATAGTGATATAAACTCTCAACACCACGAAAATTCTCCAGTTAGAACTTATTAAATATATTTTTTTCTGCATTTTAAGAACACTTAAACATAACGATTTGTTTTATGCTCATTTTATCATACGACTATAGCCTTGAAACCATTAAACCAATCTATAACATGGTTAATTCTAGCCGGTACAATTGTACTAGATGAGTCAGGGAAAGCCTACTTATCGTATCTGACTTGTGTTTAACGTTTTAGTTATTTTAGATAAGATTTTATTTGTAGTAAAAGGGAGATAATCCAATTTGATCCATCTCCCATCGCGTTAAACGAGACTCTTAACCGAATTTGAGAGCCGACTTATAAATTTTATGAGACAGTCAGTTAGTCAGATCATACTTATGAATGTAAGTACCGAAGCACGTACTTCAGTATTCCAATGCTGTCCAACTGCTTTCATTTATCATTTGCACATTCTTTATGATCAATAGTGTACAAGTCGCTTATATGATGTATGTTGTTGGGGTTTGTTTTTTTTTGTGTGTGCTTTCTGTAGATCCGAAGAGTTAAGCATTTTTCAATAGATTTTTACAGTTTTTTCTTATGCTGTGCTGCTACACCACTGTCCCATGTTTAAAGGACGCAAACATGCTAGACCCGCCATATTCTGTATGTGCCTGTCCTATTTAGTCAGGAGCCTGTAATTTATTGTTTTTTTTTTATATTGTTGTATACTACGTATAGTATGATCATATTTGTACATCGTTTGTTGTTTTACATCATGCGTTAGTTTTTTTGTTTGAATTGTTTTACATTTGCCTGTTTATCAAGAAATGTTGAATCCGATGTTGAAATTAACAAACACAAAACGAATCTTCATTTGAAACCACAACTATATAGAATGTGAAAAAATTGAAAAAAAGTTCAGAGTTATTGTATGATGAGAGTGCACGTGGCAAGATATCTGTAACTATTCATGCAAAAGTGTATTTGTACTTTATATTTCAGCTCCTGATTTTTCAGTGACTGGTGTCCAAATTCCGGTACAAAAGTTAAAAAATTTAAATAAGATAAAATTACAACTGAAGCAAACCATTCTATCCGAAGGAAATGAAGTCAGAGGAGGTTGCATTGTTCCGAATGGAAACTTGGTTTTTACGGACTACTCGGAAACCCGACAATGTCTGGCAGTTTATAAGAAAGACGGAACATTTCTGTGTGATATTCCATTATCACCAGCGTCAGCGTTCGGTATTGTCTCGTTCGTAAAAAGCACTGTTGTTGTTTCTGGTGGCCATACCAAAACCATTTCAGTAATAGATGTCAATAATAAGAAAATACTGGCCACAATTCAAACTGATTGTGGTTGCTATGGTATTACAAAGCATAAAGGACAGATCCTATTCTGTGGTGAAAACGCTGGACTTCTCAAGTACGATGTTGACAGAAAAACAATTGCATTGTTCTATAGTGATAAAACAGTATCCACTTATTCAAACATTATTTCAAATGGAGACAAAATATGCTATACAAACCCTAACGTTGTAACCCTCCTAGATTCTCAGGGAAAGAAAATTTTCCAAGTTCGGGATGACGATCTGATAAAATCTCCACGAGGGATAGCTATGGATGAATTCATGAACATATATCTTGTTGGTTTAGATTCTCATAACTTAGTTGTTATAAGCCCTGATGGGAAAGACAAACTGGAGTTACTCTGTAGAAAGGACTGTGGACTAAAGTTTCCCGCGGCAGTATATTATGATAGCGGACAGTTACTTATATGTCAAGGATTCGGTTGGGCATTTCTATATGCAGTTAAATGATTTAAAAACAATAAATAGCTCCTTTTAATTGTGTTGGCTTTTCAGTAACCACAGGTGCTGGCTCCTTAAACAATTGCCAGAGGTTTTGTTTTCAAAGAACCAAATTCACCAATACAATATTTGGTCTATATATAAGCTTATAATTAAAGATACAATTTTACATTTATGTATTTCAAATTTGCTATTTAGTGTTTAATAACCTTTGTATTCTCTATTTCAAGTATTCAATATTTGACAAATGGAGGTCATTTTAGTTATTAGTATGGACATTGCACAAACCCGAAGGTTGACAAATAGTAAGCCAATTGACCAATTAGTTTCAGATTAGATTTTTTTGGTCAATTAATTACAAGTAACAGAGGCAAAAGCTCAGAAAGAACAGCGCATATGAATTAACTAAGATGTGGTGTTACAAACCGGCAAAGCTCTATTGATAATGGTTTCAAATATCATTATATGCCAGTTTTTAAAATCGACTACTTTTACTTATATCATGTATATGAAACTTTGGTTTAATTTGCTCTCAATAATTGATGAGATAACTCGTAATTGACGTAACTGACGACAGCTTAACATACAGTGACAAATATTTCCTGCATATTCAGCAGCCGGTTGTACGAACGTGGCATTAGCCTAATGGGTCATTAAGGTGGTACCAAACACATTGACTAAAATTAATTTGGCTTGTTTAATTTTCATAAAATTTTGACAAAATATTTACTTGACCCTTTAACAAAAATATAAAAATTTCAAAAAACTTGAACCACACACTTTATCGGAAAAATTTCATTGGATATATAGCAGTTTGACAAACACTAATTTTGATCATTGAGAAGCTTAATATTTCCTTAACAAAAGAACGTGATTAAAACGTTCCGCTGATTTTTACAGAGTTATCTCCCTGTAGTGTTATGTACCACCTTAAGTCCTCATTAGGCCTTTATGATGCATTAGGCTAATGAAGACTAAATGACTCATTAGCGAATAACACGTTCGTACAACCGGCTGCAGGACGATATTAATTGACGGCAGCTTAACTTCATGCATATTCAGGACGATAACATGGTAATGAAATATGAGCATACCATGTCCAAGGCTTATAAATTCCACTTTATTAAATTAGACTGCTGTTTGTCTTTTCGTTGATTTATTTTTGCCGTAGCTATTTTGCCTCCTTAGTCCTGTTTTGCCGGCTCCGGCAATATAGCAATTTATATTGAGTTTTGCTATTTTGCCGGTCTTATTTCAGATTTTTTTTTCAGACTAAATGAAATAAATTTTTATTGAAATCATTGAAAATGGAAGACTACACTTCGTTGTAAAAAAGACCTTGAAATAAACGTTATGTTCGACTAATATAAAGCGCTAAAGCAGGTTTTGGAGCAATTTGAAAAGGACAACTATGTGCAACTTTGGAAACGTTATTCAAGGACTATAAAATTTATGAAAACTAGAGCACCAAACAAAACCTTTAATTAAGATCTAGTCTATGCGGCGCAATAAAGTACTGCTGTGTTCAAGGCGCAAAGACCACAAACTATCATCCACAGCTGGTAGTCATGTTGTTGCATCATTACCTGTACATGTATCTTGCAACTATACTACATTTACGTATGGCGGTACGCATTTGAGATGACAAGCAGCAAAGAAACTAACATTGTCAAAGCTTGCGAATTTGTCCATCATTCAACATCTTTCAATCGATTTAAACCAAACTTGGTATACATGCACTTTGCACTAACAAGTGCGTTTTAATGTAATGCATAATATTACATCATTGAAATAAAAAAAACATTATTGTGTTGTTTTAGCTTAACAACAAATCATAAACAAACTATTCTAAAATCCCTACCCAATAAGTGTTATGTGCAGTTATATATGTCTGCTGTTGCAGCATCTTTCTTGTGTAAAAAAAATGAAAAAAAAAAATGCACAGAATGCACCAAAAGCAAGACACTGGTTTTCTAACACTTGAAAAGTATTTTGAAGTTGTTGAATTTACTTTTAATTTCAAAACTTATGGGATATTCTTATTATAATTTTTCAGTTTAAAAAAGACACATTTTATTTGTATGTGAAGTAACTTTTAATTTCAAAACTTATGCATACTTTGCTAAAATGTATACATTTTTTTAGAGATTTATTATTAACATGTTAAAGTGTATGTTTCTACATTACTTTCTATTCGTAATTAATATACTGAAAAATCTTTATTAAGACCGGCAAAATAGCAAAACTCCATATAAATCGTCGGCAAAATAGCCACTGCCTTTTCTTCAGTGTTGTCGGTTTCTCGTCGATGAGTGTTGGTTGTTCATTTGGTGTCTTCTGCCTCATTTTTCTTATGGCATGACTATATACCACATACCTATCAATAGATTGAATTTTAACCAAAAAAAGCGTGGGAATCTTCTCGGACGGACTTACGGACTGCAAACTTATAGTCCTCTTCGTCCTCGGGATTTTCATTGTACGTTAATTAAGATGACACAAAATAACCTAAGAACACATATAGGTCGAAAAATTGTGAATAAATTTAAGAGTGATTATCGAAGATGTGCCATCAACGCCAAAATTCTCTAAATGACAAAATATAACATCAAGATATGGAACAAGACCACCAACTAGGTTCCTGACTTGGGACAAGTATGTTCTAAATGTGCATTTTAGGACAAGAATAGTTTAATGTGAAATGAATATGCACCCTGCTTTGTACTACACCAACATGCTGGCCAGTTTTTTAACTTGCTATTTCACAAGTCAACTGTGCCAAGGACAAAGAACACCTTAGACCTACACATTATTCTGTTTCAAGGCTGACCAATCTTTTCGCTTAATTCAAAACGCACATACCTAGTTGAAAAGCAGCACATATCAATTTTCAATTTTTGGTTTACCCAGCCGGAAATGGATCCCACAACATAGCATGCCACAAAGAGACCACTAATGCGATTTTAAAAGGACCTTAATGATTATTGGTGTTTAACGCCACTTATAGGCACACTTGGCTATATCATGGTAGCCAGGAAGAAGAAGTCGGAGTACCCAAAGTGAAACAATAACCTTTGGCATGACCAGTGGCTGATTCAGAAATTTTCATAAGGGGGGGCTACAGACTGCTAAGAGGGGCCCGCTCCAGTCATGCTTCATTGATTCCCTAAATAATCAACCAAATTTTTCCAACAAAAGCCCCCCCCCCCTTAAATCTGCCTCAGATGACAAATGGTAATCCAAGTCATTAAATATAGTTTATATAGCAGATCTTCGATACTCACCCTTGAATTTATTTATAATTTTTCGACTATATAAGTTTTATTTTTAAAGGTTTCTCAGAAGTGTATGTGTGAGGGACTGGTGTTCAATGTTAAGGGTGGCAAAGTCAACTTTCAAAGTTCACTTTTTGTCCATTTATCATTGATAGGTAGCTGTTGTGCTAACCATTACAGCATGTTTTCTCATATTTTTATACTGCAAACCAACTTATTAACATGAATACTTTTTCCAGCCAATTTCAGTGCAAAGTGTTTTCATGACTATCTCTGTCTTTGTTAGGGTATTCATTCCAGAGATAGATTGATTGTTGGTGTTTGATGTCTCTTTCAGCACTATTGGCTATCTTGTAGCATGTGAAGGAAGCCTGAGAAAACCACGACCTTTCAAGGAAAAAACTGGCAGTCCTAGTCAATTAAGATCTGAGTCGAACGCACCTGCCACATGCAGGGTGCAGGGTTCAAACTCACAACCTCGATTTTCTCGGTTTCTTAGACCACTGGCCCACCAAGGCCCCTCAAATAAGTGAAGTTCAAAGTTTGACATATCAATTTCTATGTCTATCATTGTTTTTTCCTACTCACTAAAGTCATGAAAATAAATGTTCAGAAAAAATAAAATAGTTTACAGTATTGATGACAAGAACATCTGTTCATTGTAAGATTTCACAAAGAGGTAGGTCAGACAGTGTGTTGCAAGAATAGATGATGAATACTTTTATTACTACTGCAAAAAGGGAGGATGTAATTTTGTATTTCAATAAACTTTTGACTTTTAAAACCTTTCCAAAATATAATTTCCAATCAGAATCAGGTGGTGGCCAAGAAGTTTGGCACTAGAGTTACTTCAAAAAGGACAATGTATCTGTTAAATCAAACACTCATGTTGTTTCCATTTTAATATTTCTTTCACAATATACACACATTTAATATATTAAGCTAATCTTAAGACTTAGTGCAAGCACGTATATGTACACATTCATAACTAAAACAAAAATAACAAATATCGTTATTCAAAAACTTCATTCATATGGAAATCAATCTCCGCTGTGAAAGACCAAGACTAAAAATTCTAAAAAAAATGTACAACAAATAATTCATAAGTAATTTTTACTCCAAATGATCACATTAAAAAAACCTGATAATAATTTTTTATCTGAATTGTACCTTAAATACAGTATTATATAAACTTTAAAAAAAAGCAAAGTATATGTATCGTGGAGAAATATTACAATTCTGGACTAGAAGAGAAAACCTTTTTGTAAAGGACAGGATTTTCACTCACATATGTGTGTGAAAATATGCATATTTGTAATTATTTGTAGAAATTGTGCAACTGTAAATTCAGATATTATTGTGAGGTTTTTATTAATGTGAATAATACGACTCCTTGAGTATCACAATAAGAAGTACTCACATTCTGATATCTGGTACATATATCTGTATGTGGCTTTTTTTAAAAATTGCAATAATTCAACTAGCATTTTTGTTCATTCTTCAAAAACCACAATAATAAATGTATGCAATAATTTCTGAATTTACAGTATATACTTTGAATTCACAAATATAGAGTACCAACTAAATATTTTACCACGTTTGCTATGTGAACTGTCTGTGTGAACTGTCTGTGTGAACTGTCTGTGTGAACACCACCTTTCATTTAAATATTGTTTTGGTACTTGCATGTGCTCAATATGTCCAAATCACATTTATTTGAAAATTTGAACATGTTGTCATTTTTACAATGCTATTTTACAATACATGTATGATCATTACAACTGTACAAAAAAATTCAACCGATAGGGTAAAAAGATATCTGGAATTTCACTTAGAAACTGAAACTGAGGGAAGAAAGGATAAACAACGACTATTTAATACCCAACCTTGTCTGCATATGTTTAATGCCTAACTCCCTCTACCATTCTTTCTCTCTCCATCGCAAACATTCACATTACTGTACACATATACACAGCCATTTGATGGCCCATGCAAAAATTAACTGACTCATCCCAACTTTTAAAGCTAGGATAAAAATGAATATATAGATAACACATTAATACTACATAAAAATTTGTGGCTAATTTACATGTTTATTTAAAATGAAGAATTTTACCCTAATAAACTGTTATAACATGAAACTAAACATGCATTTACAATTACTGAACAATTGGACATAACCCAGTCAAAATAGAAGTATACACAGGGCCAATGTTGATCCTAAATATGTAAATATCTGAAACCAATGTGTAAAGTTTTTGAATTTGTACGGCAGATTGTAAATGTAATTTTATATTTTGAATTATCCCACATCCCAATTTATTCTAAAAAAATGTTGCATCAAGCAGTAAAAAAAATCCCCACTGTTTTGACTTTGAACTGATTTTGATTCTGCAATGTAAATTATGAATAGCAAATTAAGAATGTTCGCTCCTCTTGTTTTTTGAATTTTTGCCAGATATTCAAAATCCTCGGGTTTTATCCATGTAGTGCCATTAAAAATTTTGCCTACTAAACCCTACTTTTCTTTTCATAATTTTATTACATATAGTTTAAAAAGCCATATTTGAAAATTTAGAAAATCCTAGTAATTTTTTTATAGTTTTTAAAAGAAAAAAGGTACCAATGTTAAATGTAGGGAAAATCCAGAGAGAATCATTTCCCGCCAAATTTTCAATGGCTTATATCTCGAAAACAAGTACACAGACCCTTCAATTTTTTCTGCTTTTTTAGTTGTTATTTATATACTATCAATTTATAAAAGTCTTTTTAAAAGCTTGTTATTTTGAAACAGAGTAGGGAACATCCTTAATAAGCAAAATATTTTGACCTTGCTAGTACAAGCCCAACATATACAATTTTTTCCCTAATGAAAATTAGCGAAAAAAAAGATTCCATTATGTGATAGATATTAAAATCTTTATAAAATAAAAAATTTTTTTTTAGCTTAAATACTATTAAGGGACTCACTATAGCTGTACTGCATTGATAGATAGTTAAGCAATAAACAAACAGTATTACCAATTCAGTAAAAAGAGACAACTACATGTGTGAAAATAAGGAGATGCTGAATGATTGCCAATGAGTCAAAACACTGTTGATGTAAACAACTACGGCTCACAGTATGACCTTAAATAATGAGCAAAACCCTAACTGCATTGTCAGCTTTAAAAGGTATTATCGTTTTATTAAAAAAAAATTGAAACTGATTTCAGTATTTGAGAGATACATACATCTATATACACTAAAAAATGGAAAATTACAATGGAATTCATACACAAGACTTAATTCTCTCTTATTTTCTCAAACAAAACAGATAAAACAATATGCACCGCTATTTGACACATAATGTAAACCGAAATTATATAAATTGAACTGAAATTTATTTACAAAGTTATTGCACACATTTAAAAGCAATATTTACAAAAACACACATTACACGTGGTTTTCTTAATCTCCCAAGTTTACATTTATCAGATGGCTCAGCTAAGTAAATGTGGTCCTCTTTAATGTTCAAATAAAAAAAATCTTGTTTTTACAAACATAAACCCAAATAATCAACTACTGTGAAATCCTGTATTTTTGTGGATACCAATTTTCGTTGATTGAGATACAATTGTATTTTCATGGCTATTCGATTTCATTGTTTTGCCAAAGTCTGCATACAAGTCTGATGAAAATTTGTACTTTAATGAACAATTGAATTCGTGGTTTACTTATACCAACAAAATCCACAAATGGTCGTATTCCAAGAATAATAATGAATCCACAGAAACACTGATCTCTAGAACTATACCTATTCAGATTGTGCTTTCATAGTACTATTTGAAAACCCTTATCATGCCTATGACACAGTTATGACTAATATCTTTATTCTAATTATATAACAAAATTTTGTCTTTTTTAAAAAATAAATAAAAAGAGATGCAAGGTAAAAAAAAAACAACCTAGAGACAGCAACCCAATAATATAAGTACACCAAAATGCAACATAATGCATAAAATCAGATTACACTTATCATGCCACATTTCTTATGGTTTCTCCCTAGCTTCATTTTACATTACCCAGGAATCAAAAATGAAAAGCTGTAAATTATGCAAATTTAAATTTCATGATATGTTTTTAATTGTTAATATATTTTTCTAAATACACACATTAAAAAAAATAATTAGGATGTGGAATACTTAATTAAATTCACAACATTGGTTGTGGCTTAATAGCCTAGTAAATAATGCGTTATATTTATTATAATGTAAAGGATTAACTATTCTCATCTGTTCACTTTGAAAACTTTTCTTTTGGATTTCTTATTAGTTGTAAGAAATCAGTCTCAGTCTACAAACATTTACCCTTTCTCAGATAGGATATTTTTACAAATATGTACATGCATGTAGCCTAGATCAAGGGACATAACTTTTAAAAATCATCAGTGTGTTTATGTCAAACATTTTCATACATGCATTGTAAGCTTCTAAGTAATACAGATTATTTTAATTCTTCTTCAAAGGAATGCTTAAAAAGTATTGATAAAACTGCCTACAACAAACAATTTACTGATCTTCAGAGTTACCTCCCTCAATCCAGATCTACCCCTTAAGCCATGCCCTGTCAGTTTATTATACATTGTAGTACATGTAATAGGTACCAGCAAATTCTTACCTTACAGCAAGTACGACAAAAACAAATCTTCTACTAAAAGCAATAATTAGTAAACAAAATGCAATAAGATTTGTTCATTTCCATGGATGTGATGAAAGAGGGTCTGGATGGGGTTTATACAGACTAAACAATAAAATGTAAAGAATAAATAATAATAAGGTGCTAAAATATACATGATAGAGAATAATGGACCGAAAAAATAAAGAATAGAGCAAATGGCCAAAAAAATTAAAGAAGACAGAAATGAATGCATCCAGACCCTCATAAATATCTTTATAATGTTTGGTATATTACTTAAATTTTTGTTTACTTGTCTTTACCATACAAATATTCAAGTTGGCAATCAATAAAACTATGTGCAGTGAATGATTAAAATATAACAAATAAATAGCACAAGATGTGGAGGAGTGGTGACACCTAGTGGCAGCATAATACAAACGTAAATAATCACAGATCGATTTGTTAATTGACCATAGAGTCATGATTTGATTCAGTGGTTTTGCTAGTGCTTGTCATAATCGCCATTTACGAAACTATTTTCGAAATGACATAAGTATTTCTGATCTATTCCATCAATTAAATTTTGATTGCAGTATAATGAATGCCAATATATGAAAAGAACTTATCCTCATATGTCAATATCCCTCATTTCAAATACTCTCAGCTAGGGTAGTAAAAACATTATGATTTAGATAGCTTAATTCATGCTACTTTTTAAAACTCTTTTGAATGTTATATCTGTAGAAATCTTCTGAAAATGATGCATTTGAACTGATCTAGATGAGTTGTACAGATATCAGTATATAAATGTGTTCTTAAAAACCTGACAAAAACTACATAACTTGAGAATGTTTTACAACTAGATTCTAATCATACAAATCCTTCAATTAGTTAAACCTGACATTCATAATAAATAACAACAGGCTTGTATCTAACAAACAGATTAAATTGATTTTTCGCTTCTTTAACAGTAGATGGCAGAATACATTAATATATTTATTAAATACAGGAAATAATTTATTTTGATATTCCTTGTTTACATTAATTAAATCTTCATTTTCTATCGAGTTTGAAAATCCGAAACATCTTGTTTTTATAATTTGCTAAAAACATTACAAACATGTCAGCATGCAATATACTTTATGTAAGGATTACAAAAACATGTAATTTTCATATTGACAGGTATAAAAAAATGCCTTTCAACAGGATCTTCAATGACTACAGACGCTTTTTGTAACGGCAAGGACACTGGTGGTAACAGCATTAACACTATCAGGTACAAAATGACACTAGTTTTTTTTCAATGACAACAGCATTACTGTTAAGGTAGATCAGGTGTCTTCTGTGATTTTTGCTTGTGAAATAGCAGAAAACAATCAGTCTGGATCTTAAAAGAAATATTCCAATTTTGAGAGCGGAATGTAATTCCTTCAAAATATTTTCATATAGATGGAAGAAAATTATGTGTTTTCTTTTAAAAAAATTATTATTCTGTTTTTATACAAACAGAATATTTTTTCATTGATTCAATTTTATCAACTTAGCCATATAAGGGGACATAACTCTTTTAATTTAACTTTTATAGAGGAATGAATAGTAAATTTACCAATTTTTGTTTTGAAGCAAGAAAATGTGTCTCGTGCCCCATTATTTTTATTGTCTGAAAGCATGTTATAAGAGCTCTCTTCTCATTTTCTATAATTCTATCGTTTAAATTTCTTTCTATTCACACAAACAATTGGTTTTCGATGAATTATCTTTACCAAATCTTAATAAAAGCTCTGTGTTTCATTACTTTTTATTATATTTTTGAAAAGGCATTATATAAATCACATTTTGGCAATGTATTAAAATATTCTATTGGTGTTAATTTAGACCCCCTCCCAATCTACCTTAACAGCAATTACATGGAATAACATTACTGTTAACAGCAATGACACTACTGTTAACAGATATGACACTTTTCATCACACAGCACTGACAACTGGTAATAGCAATACCACCACTGTCAACAGCACTGACACTAATGGTAACAACAATGTAACTACTTTTAACAGTAATTAATCTACTTTTAACAGAAATGACAGTACCACTTACATCATTAATACCTTATAACAGCTATAACACTATTATTAACAGATATAACACTATTATTAACAGCTATAACACTATTATTAACAGATATGACACTACTCCTAACAGTTATGACACTACTGTTAACAGCAATGACACTACTTTTAACAGCAATGGCACTACTATTAACAGCTTTGACACTACTCATAAGAGCACTGACACTACGGTTAACAGCAATAGCACCACCAGTTACAGCAATGACACAAGTATAAACAATGACAGACCCATAATATAACAATTCCACAAAATGTAGTCATGTAAAAGCCTAATGGTAATTGCTTACAAACAATAAAACTTGACTTGTGACACAATCTGTTGTACAACAACATCACTTCTGAAAGGCATTTCACCTGGAAGTAGTTGTCTCCCTTTATAAAAGTACTCATGCTGTCCTTATGTACACTTTGGTATCCTCCATAGAGGTCATTGCCGCTAAAGATTTCTTTATCCGTAAAGTTGTCAATCTCGCTGCAGCATTATGATACCAACATTCTTTCATTAATCTTCCCATCAATCTCAATGACTACAAAGAAAACATTTAATGTAATTACTGTTGATTCATTTTTAATCATGTGTTACTAATGTTTGTATACATGTAGGTGAAACACACATTTCAAATTTGAACTTATGTAGAATTTGTCAAACCCTTGAGCTTAAGTAGTGTGGCCCTTCTAGGTAGCATTTAAAAGATTCAGATTTAATATTTTTTTAACCAAGGCTTACTACCTTCTACAGTTTATTCTACAGTATGCATCTACATACTTCTGATTTAGTTTTTAAAGCTTAATATCTATATCAACATGTTCAAAGATTGAACTGTTTCTAGTAAAAATTTTACAGGAAGTGAACAAATTGAAGCAAGTTATTAAAACCTAAACTAGTCAAGTTCCAGTGAAGATTTAAATTAGGCAGCTCTTATGCATATTTGTCTCATTGAAACTCATACCACATCTACTTATCTTTATATCAATCTAATTTTCTTAATCTTAGCAGGCCATAATGTTGGGCATTGGCACATTTTGAGAACATTGTAATGGCAGTTTTTTTGTTTTAAATATCCTGCTACCATCAGTCATAGTTCTTAACATTAGGCCTACCAGCCCAAGCTTGTAAATTTCTATCGGGCCTGTAAAAGTTTCTGATACAGGCCAATAGAATCTATACAAAGTCAGGAGCCTGTTGTCGAGTGTTGTCGTTTGTTGGTGTGGTTCATAAGTGTTTCTCGTTTCTTGTTTTTTATATAGATTAGATCGTTGGTTTTCCTGTTTGAATTGTTTTACACTAGTCTTTTTGGGGCCCTTTATAGCTTGTTGTTCAGTGTGAGCCAAGGCTCTGTGTTGAAGACCGTACTTTGACCTAAAATTGTTTACTTTTTACACATTGTGACTTGGGTGGATAGTTGTCTCATTGGCACTCATACCACATCTTCTTATTTATAAAGTTTGTTTTTTTTAAAATGAGTGTCAGGCTCCAAAAGTTTATTGTGAAGATTAAACCATATATATGTAATCGAAAAAAATACATTATTTAGTTCTTTCAATTTAAATTACTATATTAATTCTGTTGGGCAATACATAGAATATTTGACTAGAAAAATCATGTTTTGTTTTTATTGCAACCAAAGAAATAATTCCTTTTCTTGGGATTAAGCCATGAAATGATAGTAGATTCAGTACAAGAGGCTGTCAAATTGACAACAAACAGGATTTTCCTGCATGAAAATCATATTTACAAATCTGGACCCCTGAACAGGATCAAGTAAACTAGAGGCTCTCAAGAGCCTGTGTTGCTCACCTGATTCTACTTTGGTTTTGGAAATCATGTAAAAATAGATTAAAATCATAACAGATACCCTAATAATGAGTGAGGCCAAATTTGGTTAATATTGGTCCTGTAATTTAATAAAAAATCCTGGTGGCCATCTTGAACAGTAAATCAGCAACAAAGTAGCAACACTTAATCAGCACCTCATAAGAAACATTTATGCCATGTTTTGGTTTCATTCCATTCAGTGAACCTCTAGAAGAAGCATTTGTATGTATTTCCCATAGGGTCTTATGTTAAAGGAAGTCCCCCCATTGGCAGCCATCATGGATGAAGGATCAGCTTCAAAGTAACAAAACTTAGTCAGCACCTCATAAGGAACATTCATGCCATGTTTGGTTTCAATCCATTCAGTACGTGGTTCTCTAAAAGAAGACATTTGTATGTATTGTCCATAGGGTCCTTTGTTAAACATTGTCCCCATGTGGCAGCCATCATGGATGAAGGATCAGCTTCAAAGTAACAACACTTGGTCAGCACCTCAAAAGGAACATGCATGCCATGTTTGGTTTCATTCCATTCAATGGTTCTCTAAAAGAAAACATTTGTATGTATTTCTCATAGGGTCCTATGTTAAACTAAGTCCTCCGCTGGCGGCCATCTTGGATTATGGATCGGCTTCTTAGTAACAACACTTGGTCAGCACCTCATAAGGAACATTCATGCCATGTTTGGTTTCATTGCATTCAGTGGTTCTCTAAAAGAAGACATTTGTATGTATTTCCCATAGGGTCCTATGTTAAACTAAGTCACCCGCTGGAGGCCATCTTGGATTATGGATCGGCTTCAAAGTAACAACACTTGGTCAGCACCTCATAAGAAACATTCATGCCATGTTTGGTTTCATTCCATTCAGTGGTTCTCTAAAAGAAGACATTTGTATGTATTTCCCATAGGGTCCTATGTTAAACTAAGTTCCCCGCTGGCAGCCATCTTGGATGATGGATCGGCTTCTTAGTAACAACACTTGGTCAGCACGTCATAAGGAACATTCATGCCATGTTTGGTTTCATTCCATTCAGTGGTTCTCTAGAAGAAGTTCAAAATGTAAAAAGTTAACGCCGACGCCGAACGACGACGGACGCCAAGTGATGAGAAAAGCTCACTTGGCCCTTCGGGCCAGGTGAGCTAAAAACAAGAATGTGTCCATAGTACACAGATGCCCCACTCGCACTATCATTTTCTATGACTGTGGACTGTGAAATTGGGGTCAAATCTCTAATTTGGCATTATAATTAGAAAGATCATATCATAGGGAACATGTGTACTAAGTTTCAAGTTGATTGGACTTCAACTTCATCAAAAACTACCTTGACCAAAAACTTTAACCTGAAGCAGGACAGACGGAAGGACGGACGGACAAACAGATGCACAGACCGAAAAACATAATGCCCCTAGGTTGGGCATAAAAATAAATGGAGAATGTGTCCATGGGACAAAGATGATGCCCCCGCTTGCATATAACTTTATAAATGGACATAACTATAGAACTTTAAAAGTGACGCAACCCAAATTTGAACTTGGTCTGTGTTTTAAGGTAGTAAGTATTGTGCATAAGTTTCATAACATTTCGGGGGCATAAAAATTAATGAGTTTTTGTAGGGTTCAGAAATGCAAAGGCCAAAATCAATCTAAGTATCATTTTTCGCTACTTAAAGATCTACAACTCAACAACAATAAAAACTAAAATCGTGGAAATCGAACTTGACCTTCATTTAGTCACAGGAAACAACATATCTAAAAGATTTTGTTAAAGCATTTTCAAGTTATTGCACGGAAAACCCTAAAAATATCACTTTTCGCTATTTAAAGGTCTCCAACTCAACAACGAAAAAAGCTAAAATCATGAAAATTGAACTGGACCTTCATTTAGTCAGAGGAAACAACATAAATAAGAAAAGAAATAAGAAGATGTGGTATGAGTGCCAACAAGTTATTGTTATTTCAACAAGTGTGCAAATGTCAAATCTCTCAAAGGTATGGTTGAACTTTGAACCCACTAATAAATCAAAAACAGTGTTTTTTCTATAGATATAGGAAGATGTGGTATGAGAGCCAATGAGACAACTCTCCATCCAAGTCACTATGTGTAAAAAGTAAACCATTATAGGTCACAGTACGGTCTTCAACACGGAGCCATGGTTCACACCGAACAGCAAGCTATAAAGGGCCCCAAAATGTAAAACAATTGTGCCTGTTCCAAGTCAGAAGCCTTTAATTCAGTGGTTATTGTTTGTTGCTGTTCATCATATTTATTTTATGTTTATTGTTTTGTACCAAATCTCCTTTCTATATTACTCTTTTGTTCTGAGAAATCAAAGTCTGATGGTTAAATGCAATTTTGTTGTTGTTGTTTTTAAAATAGTCTATTTGTCAATTCCAGTAATTGACCCTGTAATTTGATATCCATTCTTTAGTTGTCTCCCTTAGGAGGAATATAAATTTCCATTGACAATCAAGAGCTTGCAGAGAGAGCAAATTTATATGTGCTTAATGTGTGTAACCTTTAAGTTATCAAATCTTTTGATAGCAAAAAACTTGATACCAAAAAAATTGATTAAAACAACTATATATCACTTAAAACATATCTGTTCGATATAGAACCAGTCCGCAATTGATAAAGGAAAGCAATTTATTATAAAGTGTGTAATAACAGAATCAAATCAGTAATTCATGCTTTACATGTGCAGAAGCCAATTCTGTCCAGTATGGAACCAGTCTACAATTGACAAAGGGAACCAATTTGTGTTAAAAGTTTGTAATAACGGAATCAAATCAGTAATTGGGAAATGTTGTTTATTATACCTCTACTGTTTGCCATCTGTTGGGTATGCCAGGTCTGTATTTTTCATCACAGACAATTTTTCTCATTTCTTCTAAAGAAGGATCTGATGGAACCATGTCATAATATGGTAACTGGTACTCTTCTACTATCCCTGTGAAGAATTCAACATATAGTACAATCAGTTTACATACACTAAAAATTCTGGAATTAAGGAGTGCATTTATTATTACTTATCCTTGACCATTGGCAAAAATGTGAAATTTAATTAATGAGTTTGCAAAAATTCTATCAAGGAAAATCACTACTGATATTATGAATGTGAGTTTTCATTATTGTCAACCTGATACTGTTACATTTTTTTGCATTAATAAAAACGCTGCAATAATTTGCATTAGGATTCATCCACTATCACAAGGAAAATTAGTTAAGTTTTTGAATTCCTTACAAAATAAGTCTACAGTTTAATCGGAGTTGTCAGATTTCCTGAACATGCCCACTTGACAGTAAAAATATTTATCATGATTAAGCCTGAGTCACAATGCAGTTAGTTTTTATTTATATTTTTGTCTTCCTGGTGTTTTGTTTGGAGTTTCAATGCCTTTTATGATTTAAACACTCTATCAAAATAACTAAATGTAACTTTGAATTATTTCAACAAGTGTGCAAATGTCAACTCTCTCAAAGGAATGGTTAAACTTTGAACCCACTAATAAATCAAACACAGTGTTTTTTCTATAAATATAGGAAGATGTGGTATGAGCGCCAATGAGACAACTCTCCATCCAAGTTACAATTTATAAAAGTAAACCACTATAAGACCCTATAAGTGAATCAATATTAAAGCCAAAATATGCAATCTTTAATGACCTGACAACAGTATCGTAACTATATCCCTTCTTAATAAGTCTGTTTAAAGGTTTTGTTAGCTTTTGAGGTGAATACTGACATTTTTGTGCTATGTAAAGAATATTACCATAAAAGATTGGATGTGAAATACCCGAACGTATAAGATGTCTGCATGTTGAGTTATATTTACGAATGATGTCCTTATACCGATGATAAAATTTAGTAAATGTTTTGACTAGTTTATGATATCGAAAACCCTGGTGTAATAATTTTTCAGTAATACATAAATTTCTCTAGCTAAAATCTAATATGTTTTTACATACACGAGTGAATCGTACAAGTTGAGATATATAAACACCATAAGATGGTGACAAGGGAACATCACCATCTAAAAATGGATAATTAACGATAGGAAATGAAAAATCATCTCTTTTATCATAAATTTTTGTATTAAGCTTCCCGTTAATGATATAGATATCAAGATCGAGGAAAGGACAGTGGTCATTGTTAGTATTAGCTTTATTTAAAGTAAGTTCAACAGGATAAATTTCTTTAGTATACATACTGAAGTCGTCATTATTGAGAGCCAATATATCATCCAAATATCTAAAAGTATTGTTAAATTTTTGTATCAGATGTTGTTTCGATGGGTCTTTGCTGATACATAAAGGTCCTTGGAAATGTTAAATAAATGTAAAGTATGTTCTTTTTGGGAATTTCTTGATCATTATATAAAAGGCAATCAAAGCAAATCTTCCTAATTTTCTTGACAGACTTGCCTACACTTACCTCCAATAGAACATCGCCTTGCTATCTCCCATAATACTAAACCAAAGGCATATACATCTGCTCTTTTGAAAGACTCGAAGTGAGTTCTGTTCAGAGTAGCATCTAAGACTTCTGGAGCCATGTACCGTTTCGTTCCAACTCTGTCATTGGGAGCTATATCCACTGAATCTGTGGCAATATCATGACGAACAGCCAGCCCTAAAAGACAATTCATGGAGAATTTCATATGCATTTCATTTAAGTATATATTCATTTGATTTATTAGTAAGTCATCTTCATTGAGAAAATCAATCACATATAAAGGACCAAATGCATCTTTTATATATATATCATAAGTGTTTTTAATCTTATAATCTGTTGTTTTGAATAAGTAAAAATGTGCTTTAATGTATTTTAAATTTTTATGTATGCCTTTTTGAAATTTTTTTTTTTTACAGAATTGGGGGTTTAAAGTGTAAGGTCAATCCTCCTATGACGGAAATTCCCCATAAATTGGGAAAGTGGGCAAACTACACATTTTTGAAAACACCTTTTGACCCACCCAGAAAAATCAAAAGTAGCTCCTAAACTGTTGCAGGAAATAATAAAATGCTCCGCAGGGCGCAGCTTGATACGACCGCAGAGGTCGAACCCTGAACAGTTGGGGCAAGTATGGACACAACATTCAAGCTTGATACAGCTTTGCATTTGGATTGTGATTAAATATTTGACACAGCATAGGTTTCTGACACAGAATGAATGTGGTCTAAGAACTTAAAAATTTTAAATTGGACATTCACCTATTATGGTCCAATATCCAAAATCTAAATACATGGTTAGATTCAGCATATCAAAGAACCCCAAGAATTCAATTTTTGATGAAATCAAACAAAGTTTAATTTTGGACCCTTTTGACCTCAATGTGGACAAAGTTGATAACAGGGCCCAAAAATCAAAAATCTAAATACATGGTTAGATTCAGCATATCAAAGAACCCCATATATTCAATTTTGTTGAAATCAAACAAAGTTTAATTTTGAACCCCGATTTGGACCAACTTGAAAACTGGGCCCATAATCAAAAATCTAAATACATGTTTAGATTCAGCATATCAAAGAACCCTAAGAATTCAATTTTTGTTAAAATCAAACTAAGTTTAATTTTGAACCCTTTGGACCTTAATGTAGACCAATTTGAAAATGGAACCAAAAATTAAGAATCTAAATACACGGTTAGATTCGGCATATCAAAGAACCCCAATAATTCAATTTTTGATGAAATCAAACAAAGTTTAATTTTGGACCCTTTGGACCTCAATGTGGACCAATTTAAAAACGGGGCCCAAAATCCAAAAACTAAATACACGGTTAGATTCAGCATATTTAAAAACCCCAAGAATTCAAGAATAAAACCCCATTGAAATTGGTCAAGAAATAAGCAATTTATACGAAGTATCTTCTTTTGCACAATACTGTGCAATTAAATATTTCTTGCTATTGCCCAATACTGTACAATTGACAATTTCTTGCTATTGCGCAATATTGTGCTATTGGATATTTCTTGCTATTGCGCAATACTGTGCAATTGAAGATTTCTTGCTATTGCGCAATACTGTGCAATTAAAGATTTCTTGCTATTGTGCAATTGAAAATTTCTTGCTATTGCACAATACTTATTATATAATAATTTACATATCCTGTTTGGCGTGTATCTCCTACCATATCATTATTATTTGCTTTTAAATATAAATCAGAAATAACCGACTTAAAATGGAAAATTTTAAAAGAAAAAAAAAAGGAAAAAAAGAAAAAAAAGGAAAAAAAAAAAAATCCCCCCTCCAAATTTTTTGAACCCCCTTATGATTCATCACCCCCAAACTCAATCCCAGCCTTCCCTTTGTGGTATGGTACTTTGCAGTACAATTTCAGAGAGATCCATACACTTGAACACAAGTTATTGTCTGGAAACTAGAAAAATGTGTTTTTTGGCCCCTTTTTGGCCCCAAATTCCTAAACGTTTAGGGCAATTACCCCCAAACTCAAACCCAGCTTTCCCTTTGTGATATGGAACCTTGTAGTACAATTTCAGAAAGATCCATACACTTACACACAAGTTATTGTCATGAAACTAGAAAAATGCTTGTTTTTTGCCCCTTTTTGGCCCCTAATTCCTTTACTGTTGGTACCATAACCCCCAAAATCAATCCAAACCTTCCTTTTGTGGTATTAAACCTTGTGGTAAAATTTCATAGAGATCCATTCACTTAAACTAAAGTTAGAGTGCGAAAACCAATGTGTCTTCGGTCGACGCCAGACGACGACGACGTCGACGCCAACGTCATACCAATATACGACCACAAAATTTTTTTTGCGGTTGTATAAAAACTAGAGGCTCTCAAGAGCCTGTGTCGCTCACCTGTATTTACTGATGCTTTGGAAATCATGTAAAATAAGGTTAAAATCATAATTAATAGTATTAGATTTTAGATATTATAATGATATCTAAGATAATAACAAAAAACTGCAAAATTTCTGTAAAATTACTTACTCAGGGCAGCAACCCAACAACGGGTTGTCGGATTCGTCTGAAAATTTCAAGGCAGATAAATCTCAATCTGATGAACATTTTTGTCACCTGTAAGATTTGCTCTAAATGCTTTAGTTTCAGAGATATAAACCAAAAACTGCATTTTACCCCTATGTTCTATTTTTAACCAAGTCGGCCATGATGGTTGGAAGGCAGGGTCATCAGACAAATTTTTAAACTAAATACCCTAATAATGATTATGGCCAAGTATGGTTAAATTTGTCTCAGTAGTTTCAGAGAAGAAGATTTTTGTAAAAGATAACAAAAATTTACGAAAAATTGTTAAAAATTGACAATAAAGGGCAATAACTTCTAAAGGGGTCGACTGACAATTTTGGTCATGAAGATTTAATTGTAGATCTTACTTTGCTGAACGCTATTGCTGTTTACAGTTTATCTCTATCTATAATAATATTCAAGATAATAACCAATAAAATGCTCCGCTGGGGCGCAGCTTGATAGGACCGCAGAGGTCGAACCCTGAACAGTTGGGGCAAATATGGACACAACATTCTAGCTTGATACAGCACTGAATTTGGATTGTAATTAAATATTTGACACAGCATAGGTTTCTGACACAGAATGAAAGTGGTCTAAGAACTTAAAAAATTTTAATTTACCTATTCAAACCATATCATTATTATTTGCTTTTATATATCAGAAATAACCAATTTAAAATGGAAAATTTTTAAGAAAAAAAAGGAAAAAAAATCCCCCCCCAAATTTTTTGAACCCCCTTACGATTCATCACCCCCAAACTCAATCCCAGCCTTCCCTTTGTGGTATGGTACCTTGCAGTACAATTTCAGAGAGATCCATACACTTGAACACAAGTTATTGTCTGGAAACTAGAAAAATGCTTGTTTTTTGGCCCCTTTTTGGCCCCAAATTCCTAAACGTTTAGGGCAATTACCCCATAACTCAAACCCAGCTTTCCCTTTGTGATATGGAACCTTGCAGTATAATTTCATAAAGACCCATACACTTACACACAAGTTATTGTCCTGAAACTAGAAAAATGCTTGTTTTTTTGCCCTTTTATGGCCCCTTATTACTTAAATTTTGAGGGAATTACCCCCAAAATCAATCCCAGCCTTCCCTTTGTGGTATGGTACCTTGCAATACAATTTCAGAGAGATCCATACACTTGAACACAAGTTATTGTCTGGAAACTAGAAAAATGCTTATTTTTGGCCCCTTTTTGGCCCCTTATTCCTAAAAATTTTGGGCAATTACCCCCAAACTCAATTTCAGCTTTCCCTTTGTGATATGGAACCTTGTGGTACAATGTCAGAGAGATCCATAGACTTACACACAAGTTATTGTCATAAAACTAGAAAAATGCTTGTTTTTTGCTTCTTTTTGGCCCCTAATTCCTAAAATTTGGAAGCAATTACCCCCAAAATCAATCCCAGCATTCACTTTGTGATATGGAACCTTGTGGTACATTGTCAGAGAGATCCATACACTTACACACAAGTTATGTCTGGAAGTTACAAAAATGCTTATTTTTGGCCATTTTTTGGCCCCTAATTCCTTAACTGTTGGTACCATAACCCCTGAAATCAATCCCCACCTTCCTTTTGTGGTATTGAACCTTATGGTAAGATTTCATTGAGATCCATTCACTTAAACTAAAGTTAGAGTGCGAAAACTAATGTGTCTTCGGACGACGACGACGATGTCATACCAATATACGACCACAAAATTTTTTTTGCGGTCGTATAAAAACTGCAAAATTCCTTAAAATTACTAATTCAGGGGCAGCAACCCAACAACAGGTTGTCAGATTTGTCTGAAAATTTCAGGGCAGATAGATCTTGACTTGATAATCAGTTTTACCCTATGTCAGATTTACTCTAAATGCTTTGGTTTCAAAGATATAAGCTGAAATCTACATTTTACCCCTATGTTCTAATTTTAGCCATGGCGGCCATCTTGGTAGGTTGGCGGGGTCATCAGACACATTTTTTAAACTAGATACCCTAATGATGATTGTGGCCAAGTTTGGTAAAATTTGGCCCAGTGGTTTCAGAGGAGAAGATTTATGTAAAAAGCTAACGACGACGACGGATGACGGACGCCAAGCAGGCCATAATCTTGCCGGCGAAATGACGATTTAAGTCGCCAAAGAATTTTGAAAATCGCTAAATCTCGCCGGCCGACTGACTTCATAGCGAAGTCAAATCGCTATCAAAATCGGTAAAAGGGAGACAACTTGTAATTGACAAGTCTCACAGGTAAAAAAAATGGCGGCTGACAAGGAAAATCGAGATTTTCGAAACGACCCAGGACTAATACTGTCAACGATCAAATTAAATAAATACAACGGCGACTTTGAACATCCTCGGATATAACTTTCAAAACTGTTCAAACGGAAAACTGACCGTCTGTTTAAGTTATCATTTTACGATAATTTTCATCTGAGGATGTTGCGTAATCACTCAGCTGATTTGTTTTATTTTTACAACTTACACGAGTCGATCAGTTTTACTATTCGGTAGGTAAAAGGTTGGAATTAACGGTAGATTTATTATATTGATTGAATAGAAATTGAAATATAAAAGATAGAAAGACTGCTGATGGATAATGTGATGGCAAACGTACGACACTCGACCAGGTTGATCAGCAGTGGATTGTTTCTCACGACCATTTCGTTGATATGGATGATATTTTTAAAAAATAATAGAAATTAGCTCTTTGTCGGATAATTAATATGCGATTGAAAAATATTTTCATTTATAGACTTACAATCTTTAACGATAATCTCAATTTACAACTAACCTATAAACAGATAAAATCACGGTCCTGGACATTCAATAATGTTTTACAAAATAATGACAAGTGGTGATATAAATTAAATTCCCAGTCATGTGAAATTCAACAGGAAAACTGGGAGTTATATTTTTTCTGGACTTAAATAAATTGAGGCAGTTGCACATGAATTTAATGCATCATAATCATGATAATATTACTAGGCTACTCCCTCATGTCCCAATCAACAAATTTTATTTAGAACACAATGGTATCAATAAATAAATAACAACTATATATTGTCTAAACCTTTTTATTAAGAACTTTCTATTTATACATTGTGTACAATAACATATGAAAAAACTGCAAGTATATCTTTTATTGAATATAAAACAATTTCCTTAGTGATAAGCATGAAAACACGATGCAACCGAAACGGTAATGGAATCTCACTTCTCCAAGAAATTGACCACTTCTCCCTTCTCTCTCTTGGAAGGAGAAGTCACTTCTCCCTCTTCAAAATCCTAGATTAGGCCCTGACGCCAAGTGATGAGAAAAGCTCACTTGGCCCTATGGGCCAGGTGAGCTAAAAAAAGAAAAAAAAGATGATCAATTAAAGCAAACAAAAACAACTTTAAGAGCGACAAGTGACATAGCCACAAAAAGCAAGCTAAGCATTTTCCTTAAAAACACTTAGAATGCAGAATGTGTTAATCAATTTTTTTTTGCAGTGGTTAATCTATAAAGAAATAAAACTGTTTTCAATATCACAGTTCAAAAAAGCTCTCATTAAATGATATTAAATTGACAAATTTGGAAGAAATCAGATACACAAATGAATTATTTTTTCTGAACATGGATGGAATATTTGCCACTGGGCATCGAACTAACAGAAATCAATTCATAAATAAAAATTTAACAGTAATAAAATCTTGTGTGCAGTTCTGACTGATTTAAATGTGACTTTACCTGATTGGCTGATTTACTGCCTAAATATTTGATAGGTTTGTATAAAGGGGCAGATACTGATTGACACATGATGACACACATGTAGTTGTGGTTGGATTGAAATGTTGTTGTGCAAGCATTTAAAGAAAGGAATTATCCAATCTTGTCCTAACTACAATCACGTCCCATTTTCCCCCAATGTGACCTACAGAATAAGGCTTATCACAGGGTTTGTACTAATATAAGCAACACGACAGGTGCCGAATGTGGAGCAGGGTCTGCTTACCCTTCCAGAGCACCTGAGATCACCCCCTATTTTTGGTGGGGTTCGTGTTGCTCAGTCTTTGGTTTTCTATGTTGTATTTTGTGTACTATTGTTTGTCTGTTAGTCTGTTTCTTTGTTAGCCATGGCTTTGTCCGTTTTTTTTGACTTATGAGTTTGAATGTCCCTTTGGTATCCTTTGCCTCTTTTTTGTACATGTTTTACATGATGGCGACTATAGTCTAAGTTATTTTACTTTTAAAAATACTTCAAATTCACTATAGAAGGAAATGTTCTAGGCTTTTAAACTGTGCTTAAACAAAAAAATCTGGGCTTTTAACAGTGCTTCACAAAAATGTCTTACCTTTCAACATTGCTTAACCATAAATGTTCATAACATATGAGCTGTGTCGGATAGAAATTGACATTATGCAAGTGCACATATACATGTATATGACTTTGATTGATTTTGGATCATTCAAAAACGAAATAAAAGATGAATTTTGGTCTGTTTTGTAAGGTTCTTTCTTATGACTACTCAATTTTTCAAACAGTTAAACACTTTGAATAGAGATTTTTTCAAGCTGAATTAGGACAACAGATGTATTTCATATTCATTTGCATAAGGTCTCTATCCGTTGCAGCTCATAGAACCATATTTTTGTTTTGTTTTATCACATAAATTTTAAATGTATACCCTCTATACAGTCACTACCTTGACCAATCAACCTTGGTCTCTGTACAGAACATTATAATCTAAACACCTACCTAAATCTGCTATACAACAGGTCAGATTATTTTTTACCAAGATATTTTTACTCTTCAAATCTCTGTGTGCAATGGCTGGTTTGCCTGCATGAACTGAAGAGAGAAACAGAAATACTTTATATCATATACCGTAGAAAGGCTTGTATAGTTCGCACTGGTACATAGTCCGCACCCCCTTCTCCCCACGAAATTTTAGGTAAAAAAACTTTTTGTAACTGTTAGAAAAGGTCTAATGAAACTCCGGTAATTTCAAATCCTGTGCGGTCGTTTGCGGTATTTTCTTGGGAAAACCTGTTTTCCATCATCAAACAGAAGCTGAAACTGCTTGTAAATGATTCTAGAACGCTTCATGATTGTTAAAATAAGTTTAATTCACTTAAAAAACAATTTAGAAACTTGAGTATGCTTAAACAGGAAGTTTAAAAAGCACGTGTAAAAGAAGAAACTAACCGGTGAGAGTCGAAATCCGTACATAACAGATATCACTATAATACGACTTTGAAAGTAAAACAGTTCCATCCTTTTGTAAAACAGTCTTTAATATATCTATCACATTAATGTTTGAAGGGTCTTAAGCTAATACAAACCATATTAGTCAGTATAAAACACCAAAACGGAACGAACAATAACCGATTATGTTTTGTAGTTTACAAATTCTAAGCTGGTTTACGGTTGTCTTTTTCACTATGTTTGTATCGTTTCAATCAAGCAGATACCAGTTTATTTCAACCAATGCATTGAAAAGAAACGAGAAATTTGTAATGAAAGGTTTAGTTTTTATATTTATCAGTATTAATTTGATATTGAATAGAAATAACTTATTAATATGGATGAGTTAAAATTATTAGTTTGAAAAATGATAAGAGCGCCCTCTACAATATAAATAACAAAGATGGCGGAACGTAAACAAACCACCTCGCCCGCGAAATTGAAATTTTTCTCTTATTTCTTGCTTATTGTACTCTATAGTCCGCACCCCGTCTGGATGGTCCAATTTTGGAGAATAAAACCGCGGACTATACAAGCCTTTCTACGGTAGTGAGTTACAAGATTATCCGTTACTTGCAAAAAATAGAGCTAATTTCCTAATGCTTGTAGATTAAGACTTTGGTTGGCTTACTTGCTTTGTTTGCATAAATGTTTGCTCAAGCATTGTAATTAAGATTGACATCTGCAAACAATAAATGTAGGCGGAGTTAAACCTGTATATAGTTAAATTTAATTATTCGACAATCTCAAATCAAATCTAAATATAATGTATACAGGTTTAACTCCATCTATTTATATTGCTTGCAGATGTCAATCTTAATTACAATGTTTGAGCAAACATTTATACGAACAAAGCAAGCAAGCCAACCAAAGTCTATCTACATGCTTTAGGAAATTAATTCTAAAAGAAAAAAATTAAGAATTTTTTTACAACATTTGAATCTCTGAATTCAAATGTTTTAATTTTTTGTTATACATATATTCACAATGATTTATGTTTTTGTTATTTACCAATTTGTGAAAGTAGTGCCAAGAAATTGCATGCAAAAATTAGTTGCCTTACAGTAAAAATTAAAGAGTGTATTCTTGTATCATTCAAATTTTTAAATTGACCTTAATAGGGAAAGATTTCCTTTGTGGGTTCTATTGTTAATATGTCTGTTTGGCCGTGTAGGAGGTGTAAATACTCAGCCACAGTCTGTCAGAATGGGAATTTAAAATCACATTAAATTTCACGCTCTCTGCACATTAAAGAACTATTCAACAACTCTTTCATGGTCCATAGGGGCCAGTTGCAAAACAAAATTTCTGCCCCATCATATATACGCTCATTGACGTTGACAGTCCTTATTTCCTGTCTTTTATCCCTACCTTTTGTATTAATTATTAAAGTTCATGTCCTGAATATGTATAAAATAATGGGCACTGGACATTAAACAAGTACATACCTTCTGTGCCAATAATCTCCATGTGAAGATGACAGAGACCGTTAGCTGCAGACAAGGCTAACTGTATCATCTGAGGAATATTGATTTGGGTCCTGTTTAAATAGTCAAACAGGGAACCATTTTCATGATAGTCTGTAATCAGCCATAACTGTGTCCATGTACCATTGTCTGAAATCATAAATTTACCATGAAATAGTGTGTAATTAAACATTGAAAATATCTTTTACTTTTACTTTCATAACAAACAAAGAAAAACAATGTAATACCAGTTACAGATGTTTTGAACATAAGTGATCTGAGGTTTTAGTTAAGTTCTTTTATTCATGTATATGGGTATCAATTGACAAATCTTTGATTGTTTGTAATGAATATATTCTAGAAACTAATTTAGAATTTGCCATTATGCACGTCTTTCAGTATAGCTAAATATACATAAATATTCACAAAAAGGTCACATTATATACTAAGAGATGAATTCTTTAGAGAAAAAAGTAAAATTTACAGCAACCTTCCATGCTTTGTCTACAAAAAGTCTATTTTCAGAATTGAGAAATAAAAATATGTCACAAACATCCAATTCATACATAATGAATAACAAGCACAGAATATTGTCAAATTATTTCAAAATCTGAAGAAATAAAACAAAACATCTGTTACTCAATTTTTATGGATGTGTATATGTAGTTAAGCTTGGGTACAATTTAGATACTCCTCATTACAGAATCTTGGATTGTTTGGGAGGTCATATCAAACCCATTTTTCTATGATTCAGTATGGATTCAAAATTAAATGTGAAACTTTATAGTAAATAAGGATACATCTGTAACATAAACACGTAGTGGCAACTTTTATCTGTTTTTTAAATAAATGTAGGTGAAAAACTAGATGTGTCAGTACAACACGAATGGCTCCACTTAAAAATTGTCCAAAGACCATAATTTTGGCAAAAATCAGCAGAGCAGAACCAAACGAAACTCAATCTGTAACTCATCATAGTAGACTCCCATACTAAAATTCAGATCAAATATGTGAAGGCATTTAGAAAAAAAGTCTGTATAAATGTTTGTTGCGGAATGAAGCAATGATGGATAAGGGTGAAACTATATGGCTGCGACCACTTTGTGGCAGGGCTATAAAAAACTTTTAAAATATGTGCAATTTGGGTACCATCACGTTAAACACCAGCTGAATAATAGAAGTATTAAAATCTTACAGTCAAAACAAAACCATTAGACATACAAACATACAAATAATCCTAACTTACTAAAACAAGAACATTTACCTCATCTTTATCATGCTTATCTAAAACCCTATCAAGGAATAAAGGAATGAAAAGTTTAGACCTTTTATTATATTGATATCATTATCTCTGGGGGGCCTTGGTGGCCGAGTGGTCTAAGTAGTCCAACTACTGTATCACTAGCCAGTCAACACTAAGGTTGTGAGTTGGAATCCCGCACGGGGCAGGTGCACTCGATTCCAATCTTAATTGGCTAGGATTGTCAGTTTTCGGTGGTTCTCTCCAGCTTCATCAAACAATAAATAATGACCGCCACGAAATAGCACAATAGTGTTGAAAGTGGCGTTAAACACCAATCAATCAATCATTATCTGAACCTTGCCCTCTTACCTTTATTATCTGCAGCTATGAAACCTAAAATATTTTCATGCCTCAACATGACAGTCTGATATAACTCAGCCTCTCTGAACCAGGAACTTTCTTCTCGGGATGAAAATATTTTAACAGCAACATTTTCTGCCCTCCACTTTCCTCGCCAAACCTCCCCGTATCTCCCTTTTCCAATGATTTCACACAGGTGTATCTGTCTGGCTATAGTCCTCTGAACCAGCAGAGGTAACCCTGGAATAAAATCAAATCAATTATTTCTTTCTATTCTTAATTCAAATTAAATTGAACAGTATATAACAAATCCATTTTGACAGAAAAGTCTGAAAACCAAAATAATGAAATAAGGCAACTCACTCTTTTATCAGACAAATCAAATGTCTATTTCAATAAGCCTAAACAATTTTTGAAATTAATTAAAGATTCAATCACTTTAATACTCATGTTACTTTGCTTGAAATTTGCAGCTGAAAAATGGCAATAGTTATTAATTTTAAATGACCATTTCATTAAAGATGATTTAAATTTTTCTACTCAATCAGCCATGTTGCTGTTGTGCCAAAAATATTATTGTGGAAGCATATATTGTTTTTTTTTTATTTTGTGCACCAATTGATAATGAAGATTTGATTTTGAGTCACATGACTGCTTTTACACCCATGAAATTGTCAAGAGGAAATTAGCAATGTAAAGTAGATGTGTTATAACTGGCCCTCAATATTAAATCCATATTTTCAAGATGAAAATTAAAGTGTTTTAATTTCATGCATATTAACATATAAAGAAATTAAAACAAAATGTTTTTGCAGACCTTTTTTTATTTTTTATTTATGGTATATACATGTACAACCCAAATAGACCAACAATAGATATTTTGGTGAAGGTTGACAAAATCTTCCAGATTTAATCACATAAAGGCCTAGATCCCAGCATTTGACAGGCTAAACATTTAAGTTATAGGTTATTTGTTAATTAAACATGGTGTTAAAAGATCTTTTCTGGATTTCAGGTCCTCAAAAATAATCGAAGTAAGACTCTTGTTATTGGGCTTAGTTGAAAAATGACATTTCTACAATTTTTTTAATTCCATACCTTTGCTAACTATTTAGTAATAGTTTTAAATTGTATAAATATGATGATGGCTATTATACCTTTTAAAATTACAAATTTTAACTAGAATAAGGGCATTAGTTTGGCCTATTTGGGTCTACTCCTTCATTTGATAATATTTCTAGTTAATGAAGGAAACTTTATAGCTGATATCCATACACAGCGTTCTATCTAGGATTTAGAGGCAGAGGGGTACAGTTTTAAGATGAAGGGCAGATTAGCACTGTTTATCATCTAAAAATTCGTAAGGGTTCCGCGGAACCCAGTGTCTCGCCTACTTTTGCTGTTAATCGCAGGCTCAACAAAAATGAGGAAAAAAATTAATAAAATATTCCTCTCTATACTATCTTTTGATTGTAAGTAGCTTCTGTCCAAGTTTGGTAAAAATCCAGGATAGTTTATGAATCTAATAAATGTTTTAAAAACTTAAACTGCAGACTGTATGTAATGTTAACTGGAAGATAAACAAAGTCCATTTATAAGTAAAAAACAGAAAAAATGGAACAAAATTTTAACAAATACATTACGGAATGTAGATACTAGCTTATAATCATAAACAAGCTTCTGTCCAAGTTTGGTACAAATCCAGGATAGTTTAAGAAAGTTGTTAAAATTTAAAAAAACTTTAACCACAGGGTGAATGTAATGTAAACTGGCAGAAAAACTAAGTCCATTTATAAGTTAAATACGGATAAACTGGATTTTTTTTACAAATTTTACTTCTGGATACTATCTTATGATCATAAACAAGCTTCTGTCCAAGTTTGGTACAAATCCAGGATAGTTTAAGAAAGTTGTTAAAATTTTAAAAACTTTAACCACAGAGTGAATGTAATGTTAACTGGCAGAAAAACTAAGTTCATTTATAAGTAAAATACGGAAAAAATGGATTTTTTTTTTTTTAAATTTACTTCTGGATACTATCTTATGATCATAAACAAGCTTCTGTCCAAGTTTGGTAGAAATCCAGGATAGTTTAAGAAAGTTATTAAAATTTCAAAAACTTTAACCACAGAGTGAATATTTGTGGACGCCGCCGATGACAACGACGCCGACGGAATGTAGGATCGCTATGTCTCGCTTTTTCGACAAAAGTCGAAGGCTCGACAAAAATGAACAATGTTAGCATGTTTCTACATTGAAAATTGAAATAATTGAGAAAAAAAGTAATGTTTTATTAATAAATTGCTTGATTTATAATACTTTGTGTTGTGAAAATATTTCTCAGTAGTTAAAATGATTTTACTTTGCATTAAAAAATCCATAAGAAAACAAACATGCATAGAGCAAGACTTTAAGGGCAGAGGGGTGCACAGAAAAGGCAGAAGGGAGCTTGAGCCCAGTATCTTTGGCTAGCTAGGACCCTGTTATACATACCAGACCCAGACCCAGAATATTCAATCATCATCTCTCTCAATAACTCTGTCCCTTGCTGAGCGAACGGTGCAACATCTGCATTACTTGTATCTGGTGGTAGCATGTAACCTGATGGTCTCCTGTGCTGGTATTGGTAGTAAGCAAAGAAACCAATCATAAAAAGTAGTGAGACAAGAACAACTGGACCTGATATCAGTACAACTAGCTCTACAGTCCCAAACTCTAGTTTGTCTAAATCCTCATCTATCAACAAGAAAAAAAGACCATCAGCGATGGATGTAAATTTACAAACAGACAGACAGACAAACACACAAATACAGTTACATTTAGTAAATTCAGAAATTGTTATTAATTTTTTTTAATGTGATAATAATATCTGGCCTTTTAGAGTCAACTACACAGTATGGGTTTTTCTCATTGTTGAAGGCTGTACGGTTGACTATAATTACTTACATCCACTTCATTTGAACTTTAGTGGATAGTTGGCTCATTGACAATCATACCACATCTCCTTATTTTTCATAATTTCAGTACTATTTTTTCTCCTAATTGAATTTGTGCAATCACATTACTTTGATATACTTTTATAAATGCACAGACTAGTAGTTTCTAAATTTTCAGTTCATAAAAACAACCTTCTTTTTTAAGGTTTAACTTTCCATACATCTGTACACGTTTCATTTTTTTTTATAATTGATGGAAATAGTCATACCTTGATCTTAATTGTATTGATGATGTTGATTTATTTACAAGGAAAACAGATGTATAAGGTAAATTGGTCTGGTAAGCTTATTAAGTTATTTCAAACAGCCTTTAAATCATTTGCTTTAGCCACAAACACTTTTTTTTATCTCTTACATTTAATTTGTCAAGTTAGTAAATACAAAATATGAGCATAACTTGGTAATTTTGTTGAATTTATGGAAAAAGATTTAAATCAGAAAAATCTAAAATATTCTAACACAATTAATCAATATACAGATATAAGATATCTGGCATAACTATCAAAACGACATTTTGCAAGTGCAATTATGGGAATTTTTAAGTGGTGATGCTAGCCAATGAACATGTTTGAAGCATTTGTAAGCCTAGAGGGCAGTGCAATACTGGACAAAGATAAAGAAATACTACCTTGCTTGCATCAATGTTCAAAATATACCAGTATACATGTATGTATGTGTATCTATGTACTGGTTTTTTCCTTTTCTATAACACATGACAAAGTTAAATACTCACAACACTAACAAACTACAAGTATATTTCATAGAAAGTAGAAACAAAACATATAACTTTTTTTCTGATATTAAGTGAGATACAAGGGGTTGTGGATGGAGTTTACAGAATAGAGATAATAAGACCCCTCAAAAAAATAAAACAGACAATAATAAAATATGACGATACAGAATAATGGACACCCCCAAAAAAGAGAATAATGGGGTTTCAAATATGAAGAAGAGAATAATGAACAAATAAAAAAAGAAGAGAGAAAATTGGCCTATGAAATTAAAGTATACAGAAATTAAGACCCCATCCAGAGCCTCATACAAGTATACATGTATAAACAATTATCTTAAAAAGTAGAAACAAAACACCAAAAGGGTGAATCTTTTTTCTGCTATCAATGTCAGGTGAAGTGGGCATAGTGTTAAAAATAAATAGTCTATTTATATTGCCATATCTATAAACAAATTCTAATGTTCAGAAAAATCATCTTGTCTTTTAACAAACACGGTTTTTGTCATAATAGGAATTAACTTTACATTTCCATTGATGGGACATTAATTCCACATCCATCTAAGGAAATGATGCTGAAGGAAGTTTGATAGACAGAGGAGCTCAAAATAATGAAAACCTGATTATGGCAAACAAAAATGGCCATCATACAGTCAAGAGTAATGCTTAGTCAGGAGTATGACGGTAGTTTTTCACTTATGTTAGTTGATATCTTTTGATTTTGTCAGTTTTTACGCACATCCCCTTTTTGAATTTACCTTGGAGTTCGGTGCTTTTGTTATACTTTTTTTATGGTAGTCATGATTATTTACTTGAAGAAGTAATATTTACTTGTAGAAGTAAAGTTGTAAGATTTCATTTCAAGATTTGAATACAGGTAATCTCCCCTTAATCTTCTCCAAAAATTTCTTCTGAACATTTTGCTGAACAAGTAATATTTTTTTACAGCACCTTAAATTTTCAAGTTTTTGGTAGGTCGAAACATGTCTATACAATTGGTTTCTAGTTTGCTAATATTTTTTTAAATTAAGACTCCAACCTTTTATCTCAAGAACTAAACAAAGAAATCTAGTACTCTGCACATATGTTTAAAAGTAAATGTGCAAGACCTTAAAAAATTACTTCCTGGAGCATGTAAATGAGTAGTGTTTTAAAGATAACAGGCACATGAGATTTTCATTGTCCATCAAATTATACATTTATGATAAGTAAAGATATCTATGAATGACAGACAATTGACCACTCATTTACAGTAATGTAGTCAAGAGAAGTTCAAGAAAAGATGAAAATATGACTCTGAATGTCTAAGGGCTATAACTCTCTCTTAAAACTAATTCACCAGGACAAGTAAATAAAAACACTTGTATAAGTATTACCCCTGACTGTCATAACCAGCAAACATCAATAAGATTTTTTTTAAATGTATTTCTACTTACTTTTTAATGTCAATATGTCAGACGGTGAAATTAAACAAAATTTACAATGTTCACAAAAAAAAAAATTGTACAAGCAAAAAATACAGAACAAACTAAATATAAGTCAAAAAGCATATGACTGATAAGTGTCAAAACAAACCTGGACTTGGGGTTGTTGTTGTAGGTGGCGCCAGTGTTGGCATCAATGCACGATTACAAAAATCATAATCATCACAACACAATCTATAATTGTCTGTCTTTTTGTTCTTAGCTGTATTACAGCTTACATGCTCTCCATTTAAAAACTGTCCTTCTATTTTATCTAAACATCTGAAATATCAGTAATAAATTAAGTAATGCTTGTTGTTATATAAGAGGTAAATATGCATGATTGTATCACTTCACACAAACCCATTCAGTTTTAATCCTGTCTCCTGGTCAGTTCTGGTTATTTTCAGTTGCTGACTCTGAAATTTCTTGGGTGTGTATTCAATAGATATACAATGATATATCTACCAAAATCAACAGGATGGAAAATCAGAGTGCAATAAGTTCAATCACATACAATCATCCTATTTGAATTCATTGCCTGATCCTGGGGGTGTTCCATTGCCTGATCCTGGGGGTGTTCCAGGGGTTGAAACCCCCTTTTTCGATTGAAAAAAATGTATTATGTGAATGTTACATGGTGTTCCAGGGGTTACCCCCCATCTTAAAATGACTGGATCCATGCCTGCAAATTTGAATCACAATACTAACAAGAGTGATTTTCAATTGGGATAGCTTTTGTGTACCTTAGTATGCTTTTGTGTACCTTAGCATGCTGTAAAGTACAGTTAATTTTGGTATGTTTTTTTAAAATTTCTCACCTGTCAAATATTAGCAACATAATCCTGTTTTTTTTTCTTTATGACGCCACATTGCACATAATTCTTTAAAATAAGAATATAAGTCTGTAGGACACCATGCCCCACCTATTAGATTACCATGTTTAGTAAACCAAGAAATCTGGGTCAAAACAATAATGACATTATAAGTGTTCTTATACATCAAGGCTTGTTGTTTTTGTATTTGTCAGATATTCTTTAAACATATTTTGTTATCAAATTTTTACTTTAACACATTATTAAAGTTAAATTTAACAAAATTTAGGGGCCAATTTTAATCCTTAGTGAACCCTTTACTTTCTGAGTATATAATTTGATAAAACCCACACGTCATGCTACTATTCATAAGACAAATGTGAAAGTTGCGATTACTGTGGATTCATTTATTTTCGTGGGTACCAATTTTCGTGAATTAAGGAAAACTTACATGTTCGTGGATATCTAATTTCGTGGTTTTTGACAATGTCTGCATACAAGCCTATAGTAAATTTGACATTCATTGAACATTTAATTTCGTGGTTAACCTATAACCACGAAATCCACGAAAATTGGTATCCAACGAATAATAATGAATCCACAGTATTACAAATTGTAAATGAAACATATCACATACTGTAAATTCAGAAATTAATGCGACGTTTTTATTAATGTGAAAATTGCGACTCCTTCAGCATTGCAATATTAAGTACTCGCATTCTGATATATGATACATATAAAATATGTATAAATGTAAGAAGCTTTTCCTTATATAGCAATAATTAAACTGACATTTTTGTTAATTCTTCAAAAATCGCAATAATAAATGTACGCAATAATTTCTGAATTTACAGTAGTTTGCACCCTGTAAGATATGATGGTCTAGAGGTAATACTAATTCTCTTCAGTTTCAATATTTTTGGCATAAACAATCTAGTACCTAAATTAAGTCAAGTTTATTTCAAAATCATTCTTATTTTATATTATGATAGCAACAATATCTTAGTTCAAGCTTTTCTCAATCATGTCAATTGTGACTCTTGCGTGTCTTGGGATACTGCTGGTTTGCAATTGTATATATATATAGATTTTGACGTGTGTAAATTATCTGTTTAACTGCGTGAAATGGTTTTATATGCAAGGAATTTGGATATTCGAATGGATCAAAGGAATCTTGAAGGTACTTGGTGTGTGTTGCCATGGCAATAGGTGTTATAAATACCTGTCATATTTGTACTCCCAACCGGAGTTAATGTAGGAGTTAGATACCTATTACAATAATCTGAGTCTGAACAACACTGAGCATTACTCAGACTTGTTTTTTCAGTAGGATTACAAATACTTGGTGAATCTGGTGGACGAAAAAAATTGTCCTCTCCATTGCATCTGAAATGTCATAATACTTCAATACTTGCAATTGGTCATCTTATAATTGAGACTTATCAAAAACTTTTTTACAGTTAAAGATTTTTTCAGGCTATATCTTCATTCTTAAAAAAATAGCTAGATTTCGATGAAAATATATGTACAATGTACTTTTAAGTTCAGTTAAAGGACCCTTAACATTTCATATATACCTACTGATAGAAAACAATTCACCTTGTATTTTTTAGGACAGTAAAAATTGGAGGAATAAATAAATATTGTAGTTTTATTCTTAAACATGTATATATATATAAAAAGGTTAATGTTTATTTTGTACTGTGACGACGATATTGTACAGCGTCAAAAAATATTACGATTTATTTAACGAGCTTTAGAAACAGAGAGAAAAGTAAGGCTCGCTGAGCTTTCCTCCAGTTTGGTTACGAGTACAAATAAATTTTATATTTTCCTACACTGTGCGTATATTATTTTTATCCTGCAATTTAACATTGAGCTAAAACGTATAGGTTTTTCAATCCCAATTGTTGAATTTGTTTTTGAATGAAATCGACATAAATCAAACGCAGACTGCACAGAGGACCCCAACTTGAACTGTGATGTAAACCGTAATTTGAACATACAGATCTAAAATTTTGGTTCTGCATGATCTGGTACCTTACATCTCTGTCAATTTTAGATCTACATCATCTGGTTCCCTATATTTCTGTCAATGTTAGATCTGCATGATCTGGTACCCTACATTTTTGTCAATTTTTTATCTGCATGATCTGGTACTCTACATTTTTGTCAATGTTAGATCTGCATGATCTGGCTCTCTATATAGCTGGTTCCCTACATTTTTGTCAATTTTAGATCTGCATGATCTGGTACCCTACCTTTTTGCCAATTTCAGATCTGCATGATCTGGTTCCCTACATTTTAGTCAATTTCAGATTTGCATAATCTGGTTCCTTACATTTTTGTCAATTTTAGATTTGCATGATCTGGTTCCATAATATTTTTGTCAATTTTAGATTTGCATGATCTGGTACCCTACATTTTTGTCAATTTCAGATTTGCATGATCTGGTTCCCTATATTTTTGTCAATTTTAGATTTGCATGATCTGGTACCCTACATTTTTGTCAATTTTGGATCTGCATGATCTGGTACCCTACATTTTTGTCAATTTTGGATCTGCATGATCTGGTACCCTACATTTTTGTCAATTTCAGATCTGCATGATCTGGTTCCCTACAAATTTGTCAATGTTAGATTTGCATGATTTGGTACTCTACATTTTTGTTGATCTTTAAGCATTTCTTCTGTTTCCAGTATCATTTTTACATCTCATCCTAATTAAAACATATATACATTTACCTGAATCTATGGACAAGACCTGTCTTTCCTTTGACCACAACTGTTAAACATTGAGCATTAGCTATACATGTACTGTTTGGACATAAATCACAATAACATTTCAGACCTGAAAATAATCAAAAGATTCAAATTTTAATAAATCACTGCCATAAACGTTTTTAATAAACAAGTTTTTTAGTTGATAAAAGAGTTCATAAGGATCAGAACCTGCAGGAGATTTCGGATTTGTCACGGTCATGTGACGGTCTAAAGCTCATTCAGTGAGTCACTTGCTAAATATGGTGAAGTGACCAAATAAACTTTAAAATCAAAGAGCTGATAGCCTTGAAGAGGAAGAAGATACATAAAAGAATTTACTTGAATTATAACGAAAGTTAGTCATACCAACCCAGCCTTCTATGTGCTTTTGATGTAATTTTTTCTTCCAAAAATAAAATGCTTTACACATTTCTTCACCAAAGCAGATTAAACAAAATTTAAAAATCTCTGAATACTGTTGATTCAAATTAATTTTTCTATATTTCGATACATTGGAATTTGCATCTAAACATGTTCAACTTTAGGGACAATATACCAGGAATTGATTAAGAAACTTAGAATGACATAAAAGTTTTTCTGTTGAATGTAGATAGTTCTCTGTGGGTATAACTCTTAATTGACAAGGAATGCCAATTTTCCTAGAAAAGGTCAGTGGTTCTCTCAGTGCACTCATCAGGCTTCAACCACCAATAAAAATGGGTCGACACCCAGGGTTTTTGCTGGCAGTCGCCATTATCACATTTTGTGAAAAAATGATGTGTGAATGATTCATCAAGATTTGTCCTTTGAATCCATAATAACTTCATGGACAGTTTTATTTTAATCAATTACATATATCATGTATATATTACCTAGGTTAGAAGTAAAACTGACAGAGGCGGATTTAGAGGGTTTTTCAGGGGGCCCGGGCCCCCCCTTTTGTGGCAAAAATTTGGTTGATTATATAGGGAATCACTGAAGCATGACTGGAGCGGACCCCCTCTTAGGCAGTCAGTGGGCCCCCACTTATGAAAATTTCTGGATCCGCCACTGACTGATACTATCTAAACATGATGATGATAATGGCTGCCTATTTATCGTCCAGTGACAATTCAAATGCATTTTCAGGACGACAAAAGTTAATAAAATGCTCCGCTGGGCACAGCTTGATACAACTGCAGAAGTCGAACCCTGAACAGTTGGGGCAAGTATGGACACAACATTCAAGCTTTTTGGATTGTGATTAAATATTTAACACAGCATAGGTTTCGGACACAGAATGAATGTGGTCTAAGAACTTAAAAAAATTTAATTTACCTATTCAAACCATATCATTATTATTTGCTTTTATATATAAATCAGAAATAACCAATTTAAAATGGAAAATTTTAAAGAAAAAAAAAACCCTAACCCAAATTTTTTGAACGCCCTTATGATTTATCACCTCCAAACTCAATCCCAACCTTCCCTTTGTGGTATGGTACCTTGCAGTACAATTTCAGAGAGATCCATACACTTGAACACAAGTTATTGTCTGGAAACTAGAAAAATGCTTGTTTTTTGGCCCCAAATTCCTAAACTTTTAAGGCAATTACCCCCAAACTCAAACCCAACTTTACCTTTGTGATATGGAACCTTGTAGTACAAATCTTTTTGCGGTCGTATAAAAACAGGGTTGGCAAAACCCTGTGTTTTACATGTTTTATGAGTATTGCCCATCCCAGTGGGAAATACTGGGAAAACCCTGATTTTACTGGATAATACTATATAATATGAAATACTGGTTCGAATCTTTAAGAGGATTCAGTGATCAATTACAAATGCAATACATTAAATATATATATAAAATAGTATTTACATTTTGAAAACCCTGCGACAAAATGAAATTTGATATCAGTATAGACCCTACTTCATACTACATTGTAGATCTACATGCTGAGCCAGTTTAAAACATGCTACATAGTTCACAACTAAGGTAACAGTCTGAAGGACGAAATGCCATCATACCACAACACATTAGTCATTGTTAGTATGACTATGAATCCGAGCCAACCAATCTTTGCTCTTAAGTTATCCCTAAATGCTACGGTGAAGTCAGGTGTATAAGCACAGGGAAGACTTTAGGCTTCACTTTGGTAAACTCATAAAACCAATAATTGGATAATAAATTGTGAAAAAATTCATGACATTCTTTAATTTCATTAAATCTTCTTAATGTATGATTTACTTTCACCCTTAAGATTTTGTGTAATAGTGTTCAAAATTAGGGAAACCCCTAACACAGGTCTTCAAATGTCTGGTGATTTTGGGCATGCCTTCTTAAAATAGTTAATTTTGAATAAAACAAGGATTTTATACTACAAAATACAGTTCAGTTTCAATGAAACAGACTGCCAATGATGCAGAGCAAAAGTTTTTTTTTCAGTTTGATAAAATTTGTCTTGAAATGAAAGATTTTTTTTTAAATGATGTCATAACTCTTTCATGTCTTTAGGAAAATGGTTAAATATTGTTGATCATGGGATTGCAATTATAAATTTGAGCTTGAACTTATCAATTTTAATCTTTTCTCTTCCTTCTGAAGAGCAATACCATTACAAGAACTATTCTATTTATGTAACATTGCGCTTTGATGAAATCATGTAATGCATGATATCATCAGCCACGCAGACACAAGGAATCCCACTGTACATGATAAAGGGAGAGCATTCAAATATGATTCTCCATGTCATAAGAGAAATAGGTTAAACAACTTTTTAGAATATTTGATATTGCTTGATACATGTACAATGTATCAACTCTTGTTATTTCATTTAATTAGTAATAATAAACTCGCACAAGCATTTGACAAGGCTGGTTTATTATTATATTGAAATTAAATAACTCCAGTTGATATTATACAATTATGGCCCGCTGAGGAGTTGAATATCTAAAATTGTCAACCGAGTAAGTGTTATTCCACTAGGGCTCATCTCCTCAATGTGCCATAACTGTTATATTATACGAACAAACAATTTTTTGAAATACATCAAATTAAACTATGACACATGATTCTGTATTAGCCAATCAAATAACTACTATATAATGTAAGGTATAATAACAAGGGATATCCCATTCTCACAGTTATGAAACCTTAAAATATAACAGGGGGTCAAAATCACATAGGACTGAACATGCTGAAGACTGGAAGAAGAAATTTCAGTACATACAATAAGCGATGAATAATTGGTAGGGGAGAACTATCACTAGATATACAGACATTATGTTTATGTTGAAACGACTTTAAATAACATTTTATGCTTTATGATAAGAGATCTAGAGCAGCAAATTGCCAATGATTTTGAGTCGAAGTTGAGATATCGTAAATATATATATATATAAATTCAATAAAAATGTAATATGATTGTTGAATTCATCTTGATTGTAAGATTACTTTCCTCTTACCATCTGAAACTCCAATTAAATTAAGCCAAATCGTGATTAAAATCATAAAAATAAGAAATTTTAACATTTTTCTCTGTTTGTTATTGACCGAGGAACATACTGTCTGCTACACAGGATATCAATCCACCAAAAAAGTTCGAAATAATATTTACTTTGATGATTGAGACTCCGGTTCATCGCTTAGAAATAAGAATTAAATATTATAAAATGAATGTGTTCCATATATTTTTTATATTCTAAAGAACATAACATGAATTTTTTAATTGTGACGAAAAAAGAAATATTTTCCAGACAATCATTGTCGCGTAATGATATATCAATTAACAATCCGAGCACCTGCAGCGATTAACTCCCTTTTCTCTTTCTTGCATACATAGAAGTTTTTCATTGATTAAAAATGTGCTTTATCAAAAAGCACTGAAAGGATATTACAAATTGAGAGGTTTTAATTATAAATTTAGGAATAGACTCTAGTTTACATGTTTTGACCATACAATCAAGCCTATACTTTTATATGCTTCAGAAATTTGGGGTTCATTTAATGTTAACAATCAGAAAATTCGCTCTTCTAATCCAGGACAACTTATAATCTGGACTTATGTTATAAAAATTAACAATAAGTTTTGCAAATTTGTATTAGGTGTGCATAGAAAAAGTGTTAACTTTGCATCACTATCAGAGCTTGGAAGCCGGTTTCCATTACATTATAACATTGTTAAATCTATGTTGAAATATTGTTACCGTTTACAGAATTTCCATTATATGATGCTTTTTCCAACTCTAAAGGTTTGCATACTCAAGGTAAAACAACTTGGTACTCCCCAATAACTCAATTAAAAAAAAATAGATATTAAAGAAGACTTTCTGTCTTCTATTAAAAGAAAATTTGGTTTCATATTAAACCAGAAACATGTATATTTGTCTCTATTTAAACCAAGTTTTACACAAAAAATACATAAGTGATTTGAAAAATAATAGTGAAACGCTTAAGGCTGGAAAATTATCTGTAAAAAGATTGGTCCAGAGAATTATCTTAGTGTGATTAAAAACTTTCATTTAAGAAAAATAGTTACAAAATAATATGTATTTTTTTTATTTTTTTTTGTGAGTGTCATTAAATGCTATCAATCAAGTAATTCTTTCCTTCAGTATTGTTCTTTTGTATTTGTTAAATATGTGCAATGCTATAATCTCATGTTGCCCCTTGTGGGCCCTTTAATTTGGAATATTCTGTATGTTTTAAATACATTGAAACTCGGACCAAAGACAAGTCGGACCAAGACAACTCGGACCAGTTTAAGAAACATCGGACAAGTTGGAAACACCATTCAGACCACGTATGAAAGCAACACAGACAACTTTGAAAGACTGCTCGGACCGTGAAAATAGTCAAAATAGGGTGAACGGATCATAAAACCCGAAGGCAAATATAATGCAAGCCCAAACGGCGAAAAAATATAAAGGAGTCTAAATTGAAAACAACGTTCAAACCTATGATTGCGTTGTATAAAAACCGCAATTTTTATACGTATGCATGCAAAACAAATTTCTTGGTAGAGGGGTCTAAATACAGCACAAACAACATTTTCCAATATAAGTACGTCTGAACCAGTGACAACTCTACAACAGATTTAATAATGTCTCTTCAGTGATGTTAGGATAAATGAAAAGATGTAGTTCGGATTCGCGCAGTGCTTTACACTTGGGTTATATTACTTATAACTACAGTCTCTGCTTCTATTTCTTTACCTTACTCAACTCTAAAAATTTTTGTAAATATATCAGTTTAAATTGCTTGGTTCTTTTCATTTTGAAGGGATGTAAAAGTACCCAGTCACGTTCAACTATTTAACCTTAGTTGAAATTTATTATTATATTTTTTAACTGCTATTTATTTGGGATGTTGTAATTACTCTACCGTTGTCAAATTTGAAATATTTACAAACTTAGATCGGTCAGTGCTATTTATTTGGAATGTTTATTCACGCAATCGTTCTTGTAACATCGTAACTGTCGTCGCCTTTTAAATTTTAGAATTGTGCCAGTTTCTATCGCACATTACTATTTTTATTTGAAGCATATCTTGCAGTCTCTGTTGTAAATAGCTATATAACCTATGTCATGTTTAAAATTTTTAGAATTGTACAAGCGTCTAAACTATGATGTTCGGTTTAACTGTTTTATTGTATAAATTTCAAGATTGTTATAGTTTAATCAAAGTAGATTGATATGATTCATTTGACATCCATGATCATAATCATACTGATGAAGGATATCTGTTATCCGAAATATTTATAAATAACTACATTTATAGTTTTCTTTTTTTTTGTTATTGGTGTTGTTTGTACACTTTTCAGGCGTTTATGAATATATATATACAAGTCTAAATTGAAAACAACGTTCAAACCTATGATTGCGTTGGATAAAAAGCGCAATTTTTATACGTGTGCATGCAAAACAAATTTCTTGTAAGAGGGGTCTAAGTACAGCACAAACAACATTTTCCAAAAGACAAAAAAAAGTGAAAAGGTATATTTTAACAAAACGCATTGACTAACAGGTCGAACAACAAATGTTCTTAAACCCTGCTGACTGCCATTGGCGATTGCCAAATAAACGGATCACTGATGTAATAAATGGATCTTAATTTTAAATTTAATACTAAACAGAAAACAATAAACTTGCGGAGAAGATGATATACCGCAAACAAAAGGTGCAAAGGTTTTTGTACACCATATCCGGATTTCGACAAATAATGTCTCTTCAGTGATGTTAGGAATCGAAACATTATTTGGAAAGCCCAACAATTTACCTCAATTTAGGATAGACTCTTGAATTTTGAGGAGTCAAAATAGGACGAACGGATCATATAAACCCTAAGGCAAATGTAATACAAGCCCAAACGAAAAAATATAAACAAGTCTAAATTGAAAACAACGTTCAAACTTATGATTGCGTTGGATAAAAACCGCAATTTTTATATATACGTGTGCATGCAAAACAAAGTTCTTGTTAGAGGGGTCTAAATACAGCACAAACAACATTTTCCAAAAGACCAAAAAAAGTGAAAAGGTATATTTTAACAAAACGCATTGACTATATATATATATAAACAAGTCTAAATTGAAAACAACGTTCAAACCTATGATTGCGTTGGATAAAAACCGTAATTTTTATACGTGTGCATGCAAAACAAATTTCTTGGTAGAGGGGTCTAAATACAGCACAAACAACATTTCCCAAAAGACCCCAAAATGTGAAAAAGTATATTTTAACAAAACTCATTTGACTATCAGGTCGAACAACTGATGTTCTTAAACCCTGCTGATATATATATATATATGTTGTGTACAAGTTGCAAGTTTGTACAAATTATAATTAGCTTTGTACAGGGTTTTTGTACAAGTTATAAGTTTTTTGACACATACCTTTTTGCACCAGATGATAAAAGTTTATCTTCTCAAATTTATCAGCTTAATGTCTTAAATTCAAATTTATTTACTTCAACCTAACATTTAGTGCTATTCTCTTTGTCCTAAAACTGGAAGTAAGGACATTTGAATGGTTTAAATTCTATTTTGATTTTTATCCTTATACCAAAATCATATCCATAAAAAGTCTTTTTGTGTTCTTATAATGTTTTTTTTTATCAATGCTCAGTATTAGACTGTATTATGTAGTCATGGAAATATGACAGAAATATGCGAAACAGAAGACTGTGTGATTGTATAATCCATCTGTGTTAAGCTGTTCATATAACACTGATAACTTGTACAAAAATTCTGTACAAATTATAATTTTTACAACATTACAATTTGTACACAACATATATATGTGATTGTAAAATAAATCAAAATTATAAAAAAATCAATACATTGAACAGCTAGCAAAATTAGAATCGCTGATACCACGGCAGAGCTGATTAGAGTTAAGTCCCATATGTTATATATGGCCGGGTCATTCTCAAAATTTAAGTCGCTGACTTGTACACACCTAAGATGTATTTTGCATAAAATAATCGTAACATACTTCAAAATGATTAGAACTGTTCTTGATAAGTAAAGACATTGCCCAAACTTCACTACAATACAACACCATGGTTTTTAAACAAGCATCAAATAGTTTGACATGTAAATTCACGTTCATATTGTCCAAATTCTTCTGAATGGAGGAAGCAAATACAAATATATAAGAATATTTTTCATATTTTGTTTACAAAAAAAGTTATTGTTCATGTTGATGTTAAGTTGTATTTTCGTGTTTTACAGAAGTTAAAATTCCAATTGAAGTTACATTTATCTGAGAATTACTCATCATTTTTATGAATCTTCAAGTCTGGTTTTGAATTTTGACATATTTTTAGAAAGACCCATATATATCTCAGCTATTACAAAGAATTCTCAGGGTTATCTCCCTTACAACACAACATTGAAATTAATTTAGTAGAAATAAAATTTATACACAAGTGAGTGACTAGTATTACACGTGTTGTTTTTAAGACAGATTCATATCATACATCTTGTTTACACCTAAAATATATATTTTACATACATCTTAGTCATTACTGCTTGCTATGAATTCAACTTTCTCAAACACAGAAAAATTAAAAAAGAAGATATAACAGAAATAATGTTTTTAAAGAATTCTTCCTTTGGCTTTTTAGTTTGGTATATGTTATAATATAATGACTGAAGTACACAGTTAACAAATTCTCTCCTCTACTGGCAATTTCAGATATTGACCTTTTTCAATATATAAGTTACTGTTGCTAATTCGTATTTTTACAAATCCCATGTTGCTTTTTTGTCAATATCTGTGAATAATTATTTTTCTCTGCAAAAACATTGTTTTAAAATTACGGTATGGTATCAACTTATTACCGATGCCTTTTTGTCATCATTATAAAGGAACACCTCCCAATAATTTTTAAATCTTTCCTCTAGTTTGTTCACAATAGATGAAATTAATTTTGACTTAGAAAAGGAACCTTGATTTTCAAAGCCAATAGGATTTAAAAGATCTTTTAGCTTATCAAATATACTATTTTTAAGTGAAACATTGTCTTTATAAGACCAATATATAAATTTTTTATCTTTTGCCTTTAATAAATATATCCAGTAACTAA